TGCTATATACGACCAGTTTTCCAAAGCGGACTCTAAGATCCGAATTATGGTGGCCACAGAATCATTAGGAACGGGGGTAGATCTCTCGGATGTCACACGAGTTGTCCAATACGGCTTCCCTCTGGAACGACTCTTATGCGTCCTTATCCAACGATTTGGCCGTGCAGCTAGGATGGCTGGCATTAAAGGAGAGGCCATCTTCTTGGTGGAAAGTTGGGCGATAGGTGACAGGATCTTATCGACAAGACCGGCGCTTCTATCCAGAACTCAGACGCCGTCGTGTTTAAGACGGCCTTCCAACACGAGCCGGTTAGCTCAGTCGTACTCTGCTGATCCAGGAGTGGGCGGTGACATCCTAGATGATGAATCGGATATTGCCGTAGACGCCATTAAATATGATATACCAGGAGAGCAGCACCGACGCAAAACGGAGAGAGAACGCCGAACAGACCTACACGATGACTGTCCGGCGCTATTCAATCTTGTTAATCGATCCGCATGCCTACGCCGAATCCTAATGGATTGGCTACAAGAGAGTCTATCGGATCCAGCATCTAGGTTACCGGCTCCTGAACCGCAGGAGTGCTGTAATGTCTGTAACCCAGATCTGGCGCGGGCGGTACCTTTCCCATGGGATACCACAACTGGTCTTCGTAAGCCCCAGACTGGAACGGCATCCGGCGCATTTTATGACCGCCTGACCCTCTGGGGAGATAACGTTGTGAATTCGGCACATCGGATGATGAAGCCAGAACTCTCAGCACGGTTATTCGCGCCGAAGGAAGAGTGGATATCAATATCGAGAGAGTATACGAACATCCGCTCGGCTGCTGAGTTGGAGAAGTTTACGAAATCGGCTTGGATGAAAGACCATTCCCATGAGCTGTTCGAAGAGTTCAATAAAATCAAGTCCTATGTAGTGAGGAACTGGCCCGGACGCTATACACCAGGAACCGCAGCGGCAGCTCAAGTTCTAATACGAAGGGCGCCATTCGAACACGCTCATCCCACAGTCGAACAGCAAGTATCTCAACACAGAGGTCGGAAGAGAAGATTGTCTATAGAAGCAGAGACTCTGATAACTCCTGATCAGGAACGAAGAGTATTACTCGCGCGTGAGCGAGAAGAGTACGTTTCCTCGCTAGAGCGGATCATTGCTCAGGCAAGGGAGGTGTCAGCCTCGTGCTCTTCCCATCTACCTACCCTACCAATGACCATAGTATCAGCGAACTCGTCATTTACATCTATGGGTAGGTTGATGACATCTACAAACGTAGATTATTCTTCTGCTAGGTCAGGTGTTCTCGAAGACGGCGAGAATGAGGTATCAGGTGTAATTGATGGTAATCGGGCCTTGAAACGTCCCATATTAACCCGGGGGGGGGAAGTAGAAACGAAACGGGTCGTCCTCGGCGTTCTAGACTCTAACGCAAGGTGAAGCCCTCGCAACAAGAAAGGGAATAATAGCCGCTACAACCACAGCGAGTGGACATTATAGATAGGTTACTCTGACTCGACGTCCGAAGGTAAACCCCATTCATGGGCTACATCTCTGTCTGCCAAGGGCTGGCGACGTCTGTTAGCACGAGACTAGAAACTCCATGAGCATGCGCATACCAATATCGCCATCGTGTCGCTATTAGGATCTAAATCAGCCGTGGCTCCTCTCCTCTCATAAGGTGGTACGACTATTCGATCTTCATCTCTTATGACCTTTGCATTAAACACCTCCAATTTTTGAGTTGCTACTCTTCCGAGCCCGATCGTATGTATGTCTGGTGCTTGATGTCTTGCCTCCCTGCCGCCGTCATAAAATTTAATCGAGTCGCATGCCAGCTCAAAGGCTAATGTATGAATATCATCCATCGCGGAGGGCACAGAATGTGTGGAGTTGCCCTTCCGGGCGAATGCGTCCTCTACTGCCCTGCGTAGACAAACAGTATATTCTGCCGTTAATGAGGTAGTCTTGAACAGAGCATCCAATCCGAAAGTCGACGTTCGACGGGCCCAAAGCTCTCTTTTCAGCTCCAGGTTCAGATATTCAAGGCTACGATCGACTTCTTGCCAGGTGTCCCGACAGCCATGCGGGTTAACGAGGCTATTCGAGAGTATTGCGCGCCGAAGCTCCTTGTCACAAGCTTTGGTGCTAGTGAGCCGCTTTAGATAGAGCATTTCGAATGCGTAGTTTGATTGTCCAGTCCCCTCGAAGTAAAAGCAACAGACACCAATGACTCGGTCGATGAGTCCTATATCTCCGTTTTTGATGCCGTACTTCAAGGTCTTGTACACAACCATTTGTTGAAGGTATCGAGCATGACTAAGGAACTCCTCATCGACTGTATTGTTGGTATGCTTCTCCTTCGATGGTCGCCAGGCTTCCGGCTCAAATGCGGATCTGCGAACATCCTCCACCAGTTCCATGAACCCTCTAGTATCCATGTTCCGAATTGCCTTGTCAACCCCCTCTTGATCGGAGATATCGATGCCGTACTGCTCGAGGCGAGTATAAAGTAGTCCAACAACTCGAGCGTCGAAACTGTGAAGCACTAGCTCTTCTAGAACCTGAAAAGCTGCACGGTCCGCTGGAATATTCTTTCGTCCCCAGAAGTTGATGTTGTGATAGAGAGTTGAAGCGTCCTGTTGCTCCATGTTTCCGTAATGTGTCTTTTGCATGAGCCATAGAAAATTCATACGCAGGTGAAAGAGAGCAGCGACTCCTATCAGCCAGTCTTTTCTATCATACGCCATAGACGCGTCGACTTGCTCAGCCTGCATAGATCGGATAAGTGAAGAGGTTTTTTGATCGCCAAACGCCAAGAACAGACGGTTGTCGAATTCTTTATTATCTAGTTGGAATTGGTGCTTGTAGATGCTCTCTATAACCTCGTAGGAGCCATCTAGAGTACCTTCGTTGAAGAGAATCGGACCGAGCGTCTTGCTGTCTGTCTTTCGAAGCTCGAGTAACTCGACTGTTGGCATAGCGGGGTAAGGTATACCGGACGTAGAGAAGATAGATTTGATCGCGAGTGGATATACCGATCGAATTGCCTCCGCTATAAAGTAGGTATCAATCTTGGCGGCGGTCTCGTCATATACTGCTGCACCAGGAGAGTATAGAAGATCCTCTATTGTAAGTGGAACCTCGCGGTGCAGCATTGACTGCTTTAAACCACCAGAGGGGATATCGGCGCCTCTGAAAACCTTTCCCGTTGTCACAGAGCGCATTTCTGCGTGATTTGAAATGAGCTGGTGCTTAATACCTTCTCGATAGTCGAAATTGTCATACACAACACAGGCATCTAGTTGCTGACCATATCGACGGACCGTTCCCTAGTTGCAATCAGTCGACGTCTATGCTGAGAGGCGGTGAAGATGCCTTTGCTTGTTCTGCCACGGTTTCGAGATGTCTGTGGACTCCCTTGTAGCCTTCACAAACCCCAAACTGGTGAAGAAGATCGAGGATACGCCGTTTCACGCCATTTGAGTGCAGAAAGGCACCAAATACGCGGGGAAACTTGTTGCTCCCTTCCGACGCCCGAGAATAGCAGAGAATCGACGTGATTATCGCAATCCTGTGGTTGAATTTGACAGGGTCCCGTAGTGATCGATCTTTTCTCTCTCTCTTGGGCGCCATGATGCCATTAAGCAATCCACATAGAAGAGGAGCATGAGTGTTAACTTGCTCGTACATCTGCCCAAACTGCATATCGCCCAGTATACGCTCGTAGTCCTCGACTTTCTGTCCCTCTGGCTCTTTCTCCCTTCCCATGCCGGCAGGTGAAGTTCTCTCTTGGACACGGTCGACTTGGTAGGCACTAAACATACCTCCGGCTTCTTCCAGTGCCTTCATTTCCTTCCTCAGACCCTTTATAGTGACAATTCCTGTCGCACCAGACGCGGGGTGTTCTTGCAGCGCGTCTAAGACCTCTGGTTGACCGTAGACGGCCTCGGCGAGCCGTTTGGCACGCGTGGCAGGGCGCTCTCCATAACCACCAGACCCTTGAGTCGTCGCGTAGACATGGATAAATTCTCGTAATGTAATTTTTTTTTTCCGCATGAATTGGCATATCTCGTTTACTCTCTGCGCTTTACTGCGTCTTTGAGACCTTCTTACTTTCTGACGAGGTGCATTAGATGTGTTTGAAGCAGCAATATGCCGAGGACTTGGAGCGGGAGGCAAGATGGGCGGGTTCAACCGCGCACTCTGACGACGCTGGTTTTGGGCCGACATGGCCCAAAATTCAATCAATTATGGAAAAAGCCCAGAGGAATCGAATGGATGTATTCAATTGATGATGCACCATGTGGTTGTGGATAAAAATGGAGTTAAAGATGGTCTTCTATTTGGCATGAAAGTTCACGGCACACGCCGAAATAGGTGGACAGAATCCTCAGGCTATTTGTTCGAGGAGCACATGTGACTTACCGATTAGGTATAGTCCGCTCCGGTGCCTTGGCACGACCACAAATAGCCTGAGCTTGCTGAGGTAATCCTGGTGTGGCGCTAGGTCACGTGCAAGCCTGAGGTGGTTAGGACAACAAACAAACTAATGACGTAATGATGTAGCGGAGCGGATCTTCAACATCGATGGATGATGTGCGGAATAATCGACACTCGTGCTGTGTAGTCTAGACATAGATGGCTACACTACGTACTTAACTGTAATATTCGTATAAATATCTGAGTATCCCACCAATCATCTGGTTTGCTTAGCAAACCCACTGATGTCAGAATCACGTCAAGTCCAAAGCCGGCGAGCGATCGAAGCTAACATGCCGAATTGGAGACTCGGAGCTCCATCCTTGGATAAGGAAATTGATGATGTAGTCAATCATCGTCGATGATGCTGTCATTGCGAATCAGGCTTTCCGAATACCAATCGCACTTCAAGTGCTACCTACTCCCCCCTTAAATCGTGGCGCTCTGGTCAATTCACGTCTTAAACCTATTCCTGCTTCCTTTAGTGTCCATCCAATCTTACATGCAAGCTGTTTCAGCTATGACAGGAGAATTACTGAAGAGTGGCCTTGAAAAGGCCGAGATGATGGTGGGCGGGGAGCAGAACGCGAAGCTTGCCCAGTTCAAGGTGAACACTAAAGATGTCACCTCAGGGAACGGTGTCATCACCTCCGACTATGGCGTGAAGCAGGTCAATACGGACGACTGGCTGAAGGTCGTGAACGAAAATCATACTGGTCCTGCGCTTCTTGAGGATCCATTCGCAAGGGAGAAGGTATATCTACAACTAGTCCAGCGTGCCAAGTTCCTAACACGGTGAAAGATCCATCGCTTCGATCACGAACGAATCCCGGAGCGTGTTGTCCACGCTCGTGGTTCTGGAGCCTTTGGGACCTTCCGCCTCCTCGAGAGCGCACAGGATGTGACAAGCGCAGGTATCCTAACAGACACGTCTCGAGAGACCCCACTGTTTATACGCTTCTCTACCGTGCTTGGTTCTCGCGGATCCGCCGACACCGTCCGGGATGTTCGCGGGTTTGCCGTCAAGTTCTATACCCAAGAAGGCAATTGGGACATTGTGGGCAACAATATACCCGTATTCTTCATCCAAGATGCGATCAAGTTCCCCGACGTCATCCACGCCGGCAAGGCCGAGCCGCACAATGAGGTCCCCCAGGCGCAAACTGCGCATAACAACTTCTGGGACTTCCAGTTCATGCATACGGAGGCGACGCATATGTTCATGTGGACGCAGAGCGATCGGGCCATCCCCAGGAGCTTCCGAATGATGCAGGGATTTGGCGTCAATACGTACACGTTGATCAATAGCGAGGGTAAGAGACACTTTGTCAAGTTCCATTTCGTTCCGGAACAGGGCGTCCACAGTCTGGTGTGGGATGAGGCTCAGAAAATTGGTGGGCAGGACCCTGACTTCCACCGCAAGGATCTGTGGGACGCCATCGAAGCTGGCGCGTACCCGAAGTGGAGGTTTGGCATCCAGGTCATTCCGGAAGCCAATGAGCACGAGTTCGATTTCGACATCCTTGATGCCACCAAGATCTGGCCGGAAGACCTTGTGCCTGTCCGGTTCATTGGCGAGATCGAACTCAACCGTAACCCGGACGAGTTCTTCCCTCAGACTGAACAGATCGCGTTCTGCACCAGTCACGTGGTCCCGGGCATCGGTTTCTCGGATGATCCCTTGTTGCAAGGGCGGAACTTCTCGTACTTCGACACCCAGCTCTCACGTCTTGGCGTCAATTGGCAAGAACTGCCCATCAATCGACCCATCTGCCCGGTTCTGAACCACAACCGAGATGGGCAAAGTAGGCATACGATCACCAAGGGCACGGTGAACTATTGGCCAAACCGCTTCTCTGCTGGACCGCCGGCTGAGAAGTCGGATCCGACGTCGTATGTCGATTATCCTCAGAAGGTCGAAGGGATCAAGGTTCGCACTAAGTCAGCCAAGTTCAAGGAGCACTTCAACCAAGCACAGCTCTTCTACAACTCCCTCTCACCCCCGGAGCAAGCCCACATCCAATCCGCACTGTCCTTCGAGCTGTCCCATTGCGACGACCCGACAGTCCATGAACGCCTGTGCCAGCGTCTGGCCGATATCGACCTGGGCCTGGCTCAGCGGGTCGCCCAGACCGTCGGGTCGCCGGCACCCCAAAAATCAAACCACCCGAACCACGGCAAGAAGACGATCCATCTCTCCCAAACCGAATTCCCAGGCTCCAACACGATCCCGGCACGAAAGATCGCGTTGCTTATCGCGAACGGCTTTGACAGTACGGTGTATCAGACCATCGAAAAGGCGTACAAGGCGCTTGGTGCCTTGCCAACTCCAGTCGGCCCAGTTCGTACTCCCATCCAGCCCGCCTCAGGGTCTGCGGTGCAACCCATCCACCACCTGGAATCGGCACGTAGCACGCTCTTTGACGCGGTTATTCTCATTGGCGGCAACGAATCCTACCAGGCGACACTTTCCAACAACGGGCGTGCCGTGCACTGGGTACGTGAAGCGTTCGGACACTGCAAGCCTGTCGGCGCGATCGGCGGAGCCGGCATTGCGATCCTCAAAACGGCGGTGGGGACGGTGCAGCAGGTGCAGATTGCCCAGGGATCGAGCGTGCTGGAAAGCTTCGGAGTTGTCACGGCAGGGGAGCAAGCGACACTTGGAGACGAGATGATGAAGCAAGGTTCCTTCATGACGACCTTCACGCAAGTTCTGGCTAAGCATCGTGCTTGGAATCGAGAGACGGAAGGCTTGACGACGATGGTGGCATATTAGGCATTGGGCGAAGAGCTGATCGTTAGCAAATCGTGTACCTACCAATTTCATGAGTGTGTAATGCGAAGTCGTGACATGGAGACTTTAACCATGTTTCTCTGCGTTCGAAACTCGCGAGTAGTAGAAGTATGGTGTGACCATTCCCATCAGTATGCAAAACCGGCGATTACGACACGTAAGCTGGCGCGGACACGCGATTCTCATAAACATTTCAAAGCAAGATGAGAAGTTGATGAGTGAGGAGCCATATAGGATCAGATGTCGTCGCTCAGGAAGTTGGGATGTAGTCAAATCGTGTCGGAGTCGACATCACTGTCCATTCTCCGTGTCCGATGAACCTAACCCCAGTTGACCAGTTCCCATGGATGGACATCTGATCCGTGCAGTCGCCAAATCGCGCTTTCATGGACAACCTCGGCGCGCGAGTTGCAACAGGGCCTGGCATAGGTTCGGCGTGGAGAGGTGTTGAGCGACAAGAAACCAAAGACCACATGCAGGGAGGCTGGGACTGGGGTATAGGTATGGTATGGAATAGGGACTTATCAGTTGACATATGCGTGTATTTTGATTTGATCTATGGATGTGGATACTCTGTATCATGATGACTATCATCTCATTCATCTGGGACAGTTTTTAAGAAGGGAAGAATCATGAAGCACGTGCATTCGGGTCGGCATCTTTCGTCAACCGCTGAGCTTCACCAAACACCTTTCACATGCGAATCCCGTCGACGATGATGTTAGTTTCGGTTGCTCCTGTGTAAAGCCGTAATCTGTAATCTGTACGGAGTACAGACTGTCCTATTAGACTGTAATCCCGTAATCCCGCAACTACCTTAATACCTATCCAGTAGTGATCGGGCGCTGGTCTAGTGGTTACGGGTGGTATGTAATGGTAGACATCATCGCCGAATCCCCATTTTCCCCCATGCAAATCATCCCATGCCACCCCCCATGACATCGGACTTCCCCATGCCGCCTTGCCATTAATATAACCTCGTCGGCTCCCTGTGACAGTCGTAACTCGTAGGTAGCTAGGAACTACGCGTACCGGTAGCGATTCGCTTAACTAGTTTCCCCTCCCTTTAAGACCACCGCCATCACCGTGCCTGCTTCATCAGTATCTTCCGTTCCTTTCCCATATCCATCCTCTCATTCCTCCGGTCTCCATCCCAGCTCCCACATCAACCCATATCTTCGATATCCTCCCTTCTCACCGCCCATTCGAACCGTCCCTCCGACTGAACTTCATCACCATGTCTCTCGCCGATCCCGCCTTCCCGTCCTCTGCGGCCTTCGACGCCATCAACTCGGCCCTGCAATCCGACGACGCCGAGCGGAAAGACGCCATCAAGAAGACCGGCGTCGTCTTCGCCTTCACCATCAAGAACGCTGACGGAAAGGTCGAGAGCTGGAACATCGACTTGAAGGAGAAGGGTGTCGTGTCCAAGGGCGTCGGGAAGCCGAATGGTGAGCACTCTTCCACGATCCGTTCACCACGACAATGGGGCCGCACGAGAGCAGGGCTAACGATTGTTTCCTTCTAGTCACCCTCATCCTCTCCGAGAAAGACTTCGCCGGCCTCCTCTCCGGAAAGGCCAACGCACAGAAGCTGTTCATGTCAGGAAAGCTCAAGGTCAAGGGCGACGTGATGAAGGCCACGAAACTGGAGCCGGTGCTGAACAAGGCCCGGACGAAGGCGAAGTTGTAAATGTGCGTGTAATTATAGACTGCGCGGTTGGGTTTGGGAGGACAATATGCCCGGCAGTATGTGCGGTTCAATGGACCCGATGCCACAGGTGTTTTGTTTAGGTTGTCTGTCCACGTCCCATACGGATGAGAGAACGGCGCTACTGTACGAGTATTCGAAGTATGGGATTCAAGAAACTCCTTATGTCATTACTTCCAGCTGCTATGGCGGCGTTGAGCCTATATCCATTCTAGAATACCCTTTTGAAGTGTGTTGAATGTGACTAGTCATCACCAAAGCTCTCGCGACCCGATTTCGCGCTCTATTCCGCCGGATCGGTGTTTTCATCCACCCCATACTCGTCCACGATCCACTGGCAAAACCGCTCCCACTTGACCATCCACTCCTTCAACCGCTCGGCTCGGACGCCCGTCCCCATGGCGCCCTCTCGCAGCTGCTTCTGCCACTCCTTCGCATCGCAATCGTCAAACGCCGCCCACCGGACGCTGTTCTCTGCCAGCGACCCCAGACCCGCCAGCCCCAGGTTCTCCCACCCCTGCAACGCCTGCCAGAAATCATGCGTCATCCCGCTGGCGCCCTGCCCGAGGATTGCCGGGTCGTCGTTGCAGAGCGACGCGGGTACTCCTTGGGCGAGCAGGGCCGGCAACGGGTGCTGGAGGATCGAGGCGGTCAGGCGGAGGATCTCGTTGCTGATGGGACAGGTCTCGATCAGGATCTTCTTGTTCTTCACGAGGTCGATGAGGAGGGGGTGCTTGAACAGGGAGAAGCCGTGGCCGATGCGTCGCGTGCCGAGGGCGATGGCATCGAACAGGTTGTGGTCGGTAGCGCCGCCGGACGAGTTCGTCTCGCCGGCGTGGAAGAAGAAGGGGACGTCGAGGCCTTGTTCCGCGCAGGATTTGCGGAACCAGAAGAGTTCGGGGGTGAGGTCGTCCAGGGTCCTTCCAGGATCTTCTTGGCCGACGAGGTCGTAGCCAGCGAGGAGTTCGGGGTACTGCTTCTTGATTTCAATGCACTCCTTCATGGCTAGCGAACACATCAGTTCCGTATTCCAGGTTGCAGTGAAGTAGAAGATGACTTACAATCGACGACGGCATATTTATCGAAGGACCGAATGGTGGTCCAGATGAATCTGGCGCCCCAAAAGTCCTTGCCAACGTCTGAGCTCTTGAACTTGTCCAACTCTTCTTGGGTAATTCGGAACAGCTCGCTATAGCCCTTTTCCGGCTCGTTCTTCCCTTCGCAGAGAAATGGGGAGACAAACGTCGAACGCATATCCACGTACTGCACGCCGTCTTCCACGAGCTCCGCCCAGAATTTCTGGAGGAACTTTCGGTATATGGGCTCGTAGAAGGCCAGGTTCCCCAGGACGAGAAACGTCGAGGTGAATTTTCTCCATATCTCATTGAGTCCGTGGTGGTGCAGTAAGGACTCCTGTGGAGTGACTGTGCCGCGGTCTACGAGCCACGCGACGAACCCATCACGTCCTCCTTCGGGGAAGCTGTCCGCTGCAGCGGAGGCGGGAACCACCGAATTCGGTGTGTATTCCGCAGTCCAGATGGACTTGTCAGACGAGAGATCGGTTTCCCCAGGCTGGAACACAAAGTTCAATGGTCCCTTCACCCGCTCCTTCGCCGTGGACAGCTTCCCCGGCGAACTGAAGAACAGACAGCCCGTCTCCAGAGCCTCCCGAACTAACCATTCAACATCGACCATGGCCTGTAGATGACAATGTAGGAGCGTCCCTTTTGGCATCTTCTTGACAATGGACCATAGCTTGCTCTGCTTCTCCATTCGCTCTTTTGCCAGCATGAACATCATGCCCGGGTAAATGTCCCCTTCTCCTTGCCCTAGCGAGTCCTCGTAGTCCCGCGTCCATAGCGTCTGTTGCTCTTCGAAGCGGATCTGGTCGACGATGGCGCATGCTTCACGTGCGGCTGGGGAGAGATTCTCGCGGAACCAATGGTCTGCCCTCCAGCAAAGAGATGTCGTCAGAGGGCTACGGTGTGCTATAGGATCGACTTGACGCACCACTTCGTTGCTTGTTTTCCTGTTCTATTAACGCATCTCTACTCTGATAGTATTTTTGAATGAAAGGATCATGCAGCTGAGGAAATCCTATAGACTCGGCCCATTCCTTCTCGTCGACTGGTTCTGGCATGATGGATTCGCGACAACCAGGTGTTCCAGGTGTTCCAGCGAAAGTGTTGTGAGGCCACGAGAGATCTGCTGTCATGTACAGTCAGAAATCGAGAAAAGCCTGCGATATAAACCCCGTACAGGGTTACATATAATAGTTACATGCGACACCGAAGTCCGAGAAGGGCAACGGGATGGGGGCAGGGGTGTAGGTAGGGAGCAGTTAAGCACAGTAACTTAGTACTGTGTACAATTGGCTACTAAGTACTTAAGTACTTACTCACACTGTTAGTCTGTTACACACAGTAACTAGCCGACGTAGCCGTACAGTCTTCAGAACAGGAGGAGATACCTAAGACCACGATAGGACTAATTAATGGGACAGCTGAGGATGGACTGGAGGGAGTGAGCAGTGCGGGGAACGTCAAGGTCAGGACGTCAGGTCTTGACATGAATAATGTTGAATCTTGTCCTTCCACTTGGGTTGACTATGGTTCGAGTCATTTCTGATCATTTCCATGTGACCAACCGAACCACTGCGTTTGTTGATGCGTTTGTTGATGCATTTGTTGAACTGCGTTTGTTGACTTCACCCGGCAGCTTGATTTCCTTAATATTTCTTCCTTCAGAATTCCTTCAAGTCTAAAGTATTTCCATTTTCCATCTTTCATCTTCCATCTTTGCCAATCTCTATCTGCTGTGTGCTATGTTAAGCTGGTAGTCATTATATATTCGTAGTCCACCTTGATTAGTTAACGGCTTTATGATTTATTCGAAGGAAGTATTGTCGTAGGAGGAACTACGAGTCGTTTCAAAGTGTGCGGCGAATGATGGACTGAGTAGCATTTTCTTTATCGGTAACTAGACAGTAGACATTCAAACACAGGGTAGTCAGTGTCAAGGATACTTTATCTAAGAGGAAATTGAAGAGACACTCTTGTGACTCGAAACCCTTTTTGATGCTATCAGTCATGGTATGATCCATATATGATTTCTCTCGTTTTCCTAAGACTCACAGAAGTGTGCCCTCTCTGCCTAAGCAAGACCTCACCCACATCAACAGACTAGAAATCGAAGCCGGCCAAAATGCACAATACTTAAGGACTTAGGATTTGGCTTCGTCCCGGTAGGCGAAGTTGAAAGACCTATCTCCGCCTTCTCGACTCCCTTGAGCTGCCTCACCAAACCGGGTACACAATACAAAGCCTTCATCTTTAGAGAGGCAAACTAAGGTAACGCTTAATGGATTTCGAAGTCTTGGGGAATATTTTATGGTCAATGAATGTTGTCTTCGCAACCAGGTTTGGTAGAGGATGACATGGTTCAACGATACGCGATGTCCTCTACCCATGCCGATCTCTCAATCTCTGCTCCCCTTATTACTTCGTACCACTTACTGTACTGCAGTGACGATGCAACTATGACTGTGATCTTCTCTCCCTTCTAACTACCCAAGATTCTATCGCTGTGCAATTTGATTTCTTATATACGGCATGGATGAGATATTGAGACGCCATGGGATATTTTCGCCTGGCGTTGACGGGTCGCGTCGCACGACGTCAATGGCGATACTTCAGCACAAGCCGACGATTAATGAGAGATCCACAACTGGAAGAATATGACCGTATGTTCCAAAATGAATTTGGGTCATTAAAGGACAAATACGGTAGGGACGCCCGACCGATTGCCCGCTCATTGCTAACGGGACTAGATGCACCGAAACATCCGATTGTGCTTGCACACGGTCTCTTAGGGTTCGACGAACTTCGCCTCGCTGGCTCTTTTCTGCCAGGGATTCAATACTGGCGAGGAATCGTGAATGCGCTACGATTACAGAACATCGAAGTAATAACTACGGAAGTTCCGTCGTCGGGCTCAATTGAAGCACGAGCGGAAAAACTGGCTATGAGGATTGCGGAAAAGGCTGGAGGGAAGAGCGTGAACATCATCGCGTATGAAACATCAATCTTATCAGCTGTGTCTAGCGGAGCTGACAATCGACAGACACAGCATGGGGTAAGCAATTCCTTGAGAACTTTGAAGGCAGCCTCTGCTCCCATATACCGTCCTAATATCATCCGTAAAGGGGCTTGGACTCGAGGTACATGATCAGTAACTTAAAGCCCGAAAACGTTAAAGTCTTGTCCCTCACAACGATTGCTACACCACACCGTGGATCATCTTTTGCAGATTATCTTCACGAACAATTAGGCCGTAAGGAATAGCTACCTTACCAAACGTTATGTCTGCTAAACCGTCGCAAGCGATCCACTTCAAAAGACTTTCTCGAGTATTAGGCCAAGTTGGAATGGAATCGGGCGCATTCTCGCAGTTGACACAGAAGTATCTGATAGAAGAATTCAATCCAAAAACGCCGGATCGGGATGACGTCCGGTATGTCGTCCCTTGCTGCCATCAATCCGGAATGTTCTAATGGTATAGGTATTTCTCATATGGCGCATCACTTGAGCCCACGGTATGGTCTGTCTTCTGGTACTCGCACCGGATCATTAAGCAGAGGGAACAAGCGATGAATGATGGACTTGTCAGGTAAGCAAGCCCTTTCTCAGATTGCGCCTTTCTGACCTGCGCTCCAGCGTACCAAGCTCTCGATGGGGTAAATATCAAGGAACTTTGACAGGAGTTAGCCATCTTGATTTAATCAATTGTACGTCAAGAGCTTCCGCTGAATTCCGAAAACATACTCGCCCTGAGTCTCCCCTATGGATAAGCTATTGACAAATGGTGTAGGGACGAGCAGAGTGAAGGTTCTGTTTTGGCTCTTGACCGGTGTCAAGAGAAGGTTAGCTACCGAGCCCCTTTTACCATCCATTAACTACTCACAGTTCGTTCAGTTTCAATGCGCATGCATTATACCTTGAAATCGCTGGTACGATTATGCCTTACACGCTCCGCCTTGTCACACATTGATTTGAATCCAGATATGCTCGCGAAAGAAGGCTTGTAACGCAGGAAGGTTGACACGGTTTCTCGTCCTATAATTCCTACAATGCGCTTGGTAAGATGTCTTATAAACTGGGGAGTCCTTCCGTGCAATGGTCAGCTCCAAGTTAGCGTGCCTCCCCTTGGTTCAATACACTGCGGATCGGACAGTGCACTGCAAGTTTTGGATTGAGCAGGGACTTTAAGCGGAGAACAGAAGTGCATAACAGCAGGAACTGGTTGTCACCTGAGTGGCTTTGTACTAGGGATATGCATCAAAAACCGCCAGAACTTACCCCACGGCTTGATGAGATGTCCAGAACAGCTGCCAGGCCACGACCAAATGGTTGATTCCTCTGTCTAAAACTTTATGGGCAGCAGATCAAGTATGTGAGCCTTAATCGTGGGTGAGCATTGGTTCAAGGCGCCAGAAGCGGTCTGGATGCATGCCCTTCTGCTGCCGCCAATTAGGCTCATGCTGCCCTGGCTCCGGGGCAACGTGGTGGTACACAGGCAAATTTATGTTGCCTGATTCACCGGAGAAAAGAGGAAATGAAATGTATCAGTGCCTTATAAATTTCGGAAAGGCTTCCAATGAACCGTTGCCACCTGGTTAGGCATATTTGCAGTTGTCACACGTCACTCAACTGGTTTTCCAACATCGGGATCGCAGACCATTCGCGCTTCTCGAGCAGTAATGTAATATTCTTGTAGATTCGGACGGAACACCGATCTTTTCGAGTGGTTGAACAGTAGCTTCAAACTCTGTAGCAGATGATTCGGAGCCCAGTTGATATGATATAAGTAAGACCTGCACTGGGCAACGATGAAAACTTAAGCCTTTCAAGAACTTCATCCAAGGCGGGTCAGATTTCCGCCACGGCGAAATTGATACACCTCCAGTCAGCCTAACTGCGGAAAACATAAAAACTTCCCCGACTAAATGATATTTGACGGGTGAGAGGGCTGTACATCTAGGTACCGCAAAGTCCCATATTGGAAACTGGTTTGGAGGCTCTGGGGATATGCTTCAGGGCCGGCGGTCTCGTCCACCCGGATTCGATTTCGAAGTTCCTAAGCAGGCAGTGTTATCCGGTAAAAAGGCAATTTGAGGGTGCTAGGAACACTGTTGACCGACCCCATAACGTCATCCAGCACTGAATGAAGTCAATGCTTGACACACACGACCTTCAGGGCCCGGTCAGTGACTCGAGTGCCACGGATGAAGAGACCACTAGTGAGTAGGAAAGAGTACATGAGCATTGCACACTAACCAAGATACACAGTTCCTATATACTCATTTCGGGTTGTCCGTGACCACTCCAGGCTGTGTGCGCAACTCTGGTGGCCTCCCCCTCTTTGAAACTCCTTCCAAGGACCCACCAAGGACCCAATGCAAATGGAGCTCAGCCTTAACAAATCACGGGCGACCCGGCATATCTGTATGCGGCCTCAGTGTACAGACCACGGCGAGGCTCTACCAGTGGGTGCCGAGGAGTGGTAGCTGTCCAAAATTGCGGTTAGTCAACACCAACCACTGATATGCTGGCGTTCAGAGACTCAATCTCGGAACTCACATCGGATGGAATGTCTCTGGAAGAGAGTCACCCTACTGCTATTTTATCAGCCTTAATGTCTGTGGATTGTCTGCCTAGCCATGGTGGATCCCATTTCTGGGGCGGACGTGGTTCCGAACAACTGCCAGGCGGACCCCCCTGAATGATGTGTCGGCGGGAAATTGCTTGGTTACAGCAGTTGTGGCTGTCAAACCGTTAGCCGTTGCACATCCGATAGCAGTTCAAAGACTATCCCCTGAAAAACGCCTACGAGAGGACGCCACTTGCCAAGCGGAATGGACGGGTGTGGAATGGACGGGCCCTTATCCGCCTCTCCTATCCCCCGCCCTTTCACCACCGGACGCTCAGATCGTTGCTAAAATGAATTCATCTCCCATGGAGTGCAATCGATGGTGGTTCTTCTCCTAATACCAAGTTTAACTCCAGGAAGCTCATGACGCAAGACTCCCAGAAGGCTCAGGAGGCCGCGATCCCGAAACCACTTTCATTACGGTCGAGCCAACAAGATACCTCGAGTCCAGACGGGAAATCATTCCGCCAAGAGGTCGGAAATGGCCTGCTGCTGGCTGAGCCATTCAAGTTTCGATAACCAGTCGTCCTCTCCGCCCAGTCGGGCAGCCATGAGGTATCACAGTGGTGATCAGGACGATGCCCGAGAGCTTAATGGCAGCTCCATGGCCACAGGGCGGAAATGAGTTTGGAAAGAGTCTGAGACAATGGGCGCAGTGAGATGTAGCACTCATGAAGGGGCAGGGAGATGAGACTTTGGCGTGGAGTTTCAGTGTGAACAGTGAGGAAGCTGGGAATATAAAAACCCGACTCACGGATCGGTTCTTACGACACAGTTGCCAACCAGACTGTGCCAGATCTTCTTGGTTAGAAATTGCGATCTTTCCTAAAGCCATTTCGACATGCCATCCCCTCCAACCCCTCCGCCGTCTCCGCCGCTGTTCGTGTATGTGTGTAACAAGTATTGCTGCTACTGTGGACATGGACCATGGCCTATTTCGTGGTATGACCACTGCCAAATTTGCCAGCATGAGTTATGTGACGGTTGCAGAGAAGTGGATGAAGAGGTTGCCCGATAAGAGCCGTCCCTTATTTGTTACTGGTTGGAAGAAGACGAGAATACATGGTCAATCTGCACAGAACGCACGACACGGATCTACCTCGCCCCTTCTACAGTTCCCAGGTTGCCAACGGAGGGAGCCCAATCAAAGCAGGTAGTTTCTATTTGTCAACTGGGTAAGTGTACAAAGGGAGATTTTATACAATGTTCGGAATTGCTTATGCCACGACAGCACATACAACCCGTTACCGCTTCCAACGATCTCGACTTTCGTCACAATACCGTATCTAGGACATCAGGCGGGTCATGTCCGCCCTGATACGAGAGTAATCCAACAATCCTTCGATCTTCCCCACGGCAGAGATGGCGATGTCCTGGTCCCACAACTTCCGTTTGGCAAAATTCATCACGTCCTTCTCAGTGATCTGGCCAACGACACGTTCAACCTCTTCCGGAGACAGGCGACGGCCGGTGGTGACGATCTGGCGGCCAATGTCTTCGGCAACGGCGGTGGTGCCATCGAGCGACAGGAGGATGGATGCCTTCAGTTGGGCCTTGGCGCGTTCCACCTCGGAGACTGAGACATTGAACGACAATCTCGACCACTCCCGGAGAGTGAAATGGACAAGATCATCAATGCGTTCCGTGGCCTCAGTGACCATATAAATGCCCCACAATCTGTTTTATGTATCATTAGTCCATTACTCATACTTGGAATTATGATTCACACTTACCCAGTGTCACTGTAGCTTGTTGAAAAGCTCATGAAGCTATTCGCGAGGTTGTGCTTGTGGACGAAAGTGCTCAGCTTGCTGCCCAAGTATGGTGAATTGCCCATGGCTCGGTCCCAGTTGCCGACAATCGCTTGCGTGACCAACGCCGTGAAGTAGTCCGGGTCGTTCCAGCTCACGCCCTCGACGGCAATGGCGATGTTAGCGGTGGGCAAACCATCGTCTCGCATCCGCACATCGGAACCGACAAAGTCGGGCTTCTCCTTATACTTCTTGGCGCTCAGCGTCGAGCTCGGGAGCTTGGCGAAATATTGTTCCGCAAGCTCGACCAACTGCGCGTGGGGCACGCCACCGGCACCAACGAGAACCATACGGTCAGCGGTGTAGTTCTGACCGATATAGTCGACCAGATCTTGGCGCTTGATGCTTTCGATGTTGGCCCGAGGTCCTAGGATCGTACGACCGAGAGGTTGTCCTTGGAAGGCAGTGGCATGGAGATGATCAAAGACCACTTCCTCCAGTTGCTTGTCGACCTCTTCTTGCTCGCGCAAGATCACATCACGCTCCCGTTCGATGGCCTGTGACTCGAGCCGGGAGTGTTGAAGGATATCGGAAAGGATGTCCACGCATTTGGGGACGTCGGAATTGAAGCTCTTGGAGTAGTAGACGGTATTTTCTCTCTGCATGGTGGTTAAGACGAATTCACTGTTGGGAGGTCATCGGAAGACATACTGAAGTATACGCGTTCAAATGTCCGCCCATATTCTCGATTTCCATCTCCAATTGCTGCTGGGTTCGCTTCTCCGTACCCTGGAATGGATAAATTAGTCGAGATCTCGAACATGTTCCCATTGAGATGTTACCTTGAAGGCCAGATGCTCCAGGAAGTGCGCGGTGCCATTGTTCTTGTCGGTCTCGGCGCGGCTGCCGGCATCGATCCAAACACCAACTGTCGAGGTCTGAGCCCATGGCGAGTGTTCGGTAGCGATCTACCAGGAGTCAGCATTAGAGGAAGAGATGTTTAGCGGGTAGACGAACCGTGAAGCCGTTGCTCAAGGTGGTGCTCTCCGTTTTTGCCCCGTGGCTCACGGGAGTCGCGAGACCTCTCTTGACGGGCCGGATGGCATTGATGGCAGCGCGGCTCCGTAAGCTCTGATTGAGCGTGAGGGCTAGCCGCCTGGAAGCCATTGCTGGAGTAATGAATGGATGTCCAGCGGGATGTGATGGGGTCGGATGGGTTGGAGATTCAGTGAATGAAGTATTCCATGAAGATTGAGCTCGACTTCGGATTCAAGATTGGTCGGTGCACAGGAAAATACGCGCTAGGATTGAAATGGAAAATAACATGACTAAGCACAGGGCTCTCCAATTTCGGGTATATCAAAACGATCATATAGGTAATAGAACACACCGACGCAACGCCACCCTTTTCGAAGACAAGATCATAGTGGCTGGGAGAATGGTTCTGGATTAACCTCCGCCTTGGATTACAGATAGTTTTGTATTGTACAATTGTTTCATCCGGATGAGAATATGAAGCATCAAGTCTGAACTCAGAATCAAGCCAGACTGTAACGTACTCAGCTCACCAATTCGACTGCTCCAATTGGTCCATTCACCTCGCCTCGTAGCAACTAAGCACCTCCACAGCGCCGGTCATTCCCGAGGCCCAGCGCCATATCACGGGAATCTTCGATCAACGCCGAGCAACGCCAACGGCACAGAAAGCTGCCAATTAATCCTGAGACCCTCCCATCACCGATCCCCCATCGTCCAGAATCTTTCCAACCCCATTTACCATCGACAATGGCGGCCATCATGCGACCTCAGATGCTTCGGCAGACGTGCGCCGCCGCGGCCGGCACGCGATTCATCTCGTCCGCCGCGCTGGCCTCGTCCCGGGCGGCGTGGCAGACCCCGCTGGTTCAGCAATGCAAGCCGCAGTCCATCGTTGCGAAGACCGCTCGATCGGCCTTCGTGAGGGAGCGGCTGCCCACCGTGTCGAAGGTTGCGGCGTTCCATACGTCGAGGAAGAATCAATTGCTTCCCCCGCCGGCTCGTAAGTCTTCGATGATGCTGCTGTCCGTCCATAATACTGACACTGGTCGCAGAACGGATAACTGGTGGTGGTACGTATCACCGAGTTGGATGATTAGCTAGGATGAGTTGCTAAGAAGGATGACAGTCAATGATCCGGCACCGGTGCTGCCAGCGGACCCGGTACACGGGAACTATCATTGGGACTTTGAGCGGTGGGTGCATGGAATCCATGATGGATGCAGCCGACGTATCTAACGCATACCAGAATCATCGCCGTGTCTCTCATCCCCTTGACCATCGCGCCGTTCGCAAGCGGCTCCTTGAACCCCCTCCTGGACGCCACCTTTTGCGGCCTCATCGTCATCCATTCCCACTTTGGCTTCGAGTAAGTGGTCCCCAAACCCCCCGATCCCCAAATTTCGCCGGTTCCCTCCCTGGATATGGGACCCGCTGACATGATCGCCCACGTAGGTCGTGCATCACCGATTACTTCCCGAAATGGCGCGTGCCCAACACCCAACGGGCCTTGAAGTGGGTGCTGAACGGTTTCACGCTGCTGGTTGCCTACGGCCTGTATGAGTTCGAGACAAACGATGTGGGCGTCACCGAGGCTGTGACGAGGGTCTGGAAAGCGTGAGCGATGGATTTTGAGGCGGGCGAGGGCACGTTTGATCCGGCGGCATGGACGCATGGCATTTCAATGGCGGTGTATCATATAGTTTGCTTAGAACTTCCGCAGGTCAAAATCTGATGGGTTATTTCGATTGGAACTGCACATAACATAGACTTAGAAGTGATGGACCTTCCATTGTATGGCTTCCTTCTCGAATATGCACTAGGGAGCGTGAGGATTCTCCCAACACATGCGCGTCACACAATGCATCTGGAGTGGGTAATGTAATTCTGTTCGTTGTTCTAAGGAAGCTAGGTAATTGAGGGTTACCAGCGACCGTTGGACCCGCTTTCACAAGAAGCCAGCATAAAGAAAAGAGTTGACAAGCATAGCAAACGTTTCTTCCTTTCCCACCTTAGGCCATCAACACCGTGGGACCTATGACGATCCACGTTTCTACTTCACACTCAGCAATGTAGACCGCCCCGTGTAGCACTATACGTTAAAGGAAACCGAGCCCCAGATCATGCCAGGTATCGTTGATTTTGTCTGGGCGGATAGCAAATCGATCCCAACCCATTTCAACCTGTGTCGAGTCTGTTTTGCCTCAGGGGATCGATGCATGGTGGGGGGGGAAGAGATCTACTCCGGCTTGGGCTCCTCCGTCGTAGCAGGGACGGGAGCAGCTTCGGTAGGAGCCTCCTTGGTCTCAGCTGCTGGCTCAGCTGCTGGCTCGGCATCGGACGAAGTCCAGAGAGTCTGGAAAGGATTAGTTGCTATCAATATATAATCGGCGAAGGAACGCGTACCAAGTTGTCCCTCAGCAATTGCATGATGAGAGTGGAGTCTTTGTAGCTCTCTTCACTCAAGGTATCGAGCTCTGCGAGACAGAGTTAGTCGGCTGTATGAAAAGTAAAGATGAAAGAATCCTACCAGCAATGGCATCGTCGAAAGCCTGCTTCGCAAGCTGGCAAGCCTGATCAGGGCTGTTGAGGATCTCGTAGTAGAAGACGGAGAAGTTGAGGGCGAGGCCAAGGCGGATCGGATGAGTAGGAGCCAGGTCAGTGGTCGCGACCTCAGTGGCAGCCTTGTACGCCTCCAACGAAGCGTCGGCAGAATCCTTGCGCTTCCCGCCAATGGCGAACTCAGCAAGGTAGCGGTGGTAGTCTCCCTTCCTGTTGTAACAATTAGCATTGACCAAATGGCAGGACGAGCGGGATCCGAACGCACATCTTGTGGTAGAAGACCTTGGATTCTCCGCTCTGGGCCGAAGGAATGAGGTGCTTCTCCAGGACCTCGAGGATATCCTCGCAGATCTTGGCAAGCTCCGCCTCGATCTTCTGGCGGTACTCCTTGATCAAGGCAACGTGGCTCTCGTCGCCCTTGGACTCTTCCTTCTGCTCGATGGAAGTGACGATCCTCCAAGATGCACGTCGGGCGCCGATGACGTTCTTGTATGCGACGCTGAGGAGGTTTCGCTCTTCGACGGATAGCTCTTGGTTCGAGGAGGCCACGATCTTCATGTTCTCCACCATTTCTAACGCATCGGTCAGTAGCGATTCGATGTGGTGGCGGCGCGTGGGATCTTACCCTCATATCGCTCAGCCTGCTCCGCGAGCTTGGCGAGGTAGACGGAATCTTCGTACTGACCCATGGTTCTGGACGCAGTTAGTAAATGTGGGGGGAAGGTTAACGCGTGGCAGATCGATGGATGCATGATGCCAAAATCAACGATATCGGGTCGAAGCTGGTGGCAGGTGTGGGCAAAAGGAGAACGATTCGAGGCTGGGGTCCGATGCGGCTCCAAAGGCGGCTCCCCTAAGCAAAGACGCCTGCTAACATGAAGGTGCCGCTCGAAGAGATGCCATCCTCATGCTATCGGGATCGTATTCGGGGATGTAGGGGCCGGGGCGGCGCTCGCGCATTAAGGGGCAGTGCGGACACGATAATGGCGATGTGAGCCGTCGTCGACGGCACCCACCATTCCCAGCATCCAAACCAACCGCATTCGACGGTCGCGAGTGTGGCGACCACGTTGGCGGATGGTGATGGGCGGTGCGGCGTGCTAGGAAAGGTGTTGCAAGATGATGTTGGGAATGACGAAATAAGCGCAGCTCCTCACCTTGAGATTGGACGGATACCTGGGAGGGATGGAAAAGTCGGTGGTGCGATGGGATTGATGAGAGGACGGTGGAAAGTCGATGGAAGGGGAAGTTCACAATGGGGAGGGGATCGGGATGGTAGAAAGTCGAAGTCGGAAGTAGTTGGCGAGAAATGGAGAAATGGAGAAATTGGGTGTTTGTTTTGTGCTGGGGATGGATTGACTGGGGCAGGAAGGCGATGAAGGCGAGAGACGCTGAGACACACCACAACTCACAACCAAGAGAGCGAGTTGGACGTGAGAACTGAGGTGAGACCTGGGAAACAACACTACATGTAAGTTACGGATAATTATGTTAGAAGGATGATGGGTTAATGCCACTTTACGGATTAGTAATTGGCTTTATACAGCATTAGATCCGAAATCTATAATAACTTAGGTATTGTATTTATCTATTTGGATTAAGTGACCGGTATGTACAGTACAGTATTGAATATCTGTCATCTGCCACTAGTATCAAGGTAAGTCCGACTGGGCTATGTGAGGAGTGGATCGGATAGTCAACTGAGGCATCAAGGCATTAAGGCATCAAGGCTGACGTAGGGTGCACCTGACCCCGAGTGAGTCGCCTGATATCATGGCATCTCCCTTTGGACTTTTGTCAACGTCGCTCTCGTGACAAGTCACATGACCTCGAGCTCTGACCCAAACAAACTCAATCACCATCTTGCTCCTCCCTCCATCGACTGACGCACTTGACAACCATTAAACCCGCTTCCTCTCAGCCCACCTCGACACCTTTTCCATCCCATCGCTTTCCCATCGAGTCACTCTTGACCATCCATTCGCACCCCATCGAACATGTCCAGGACCGCAATTGCTCGGGCTCTCCGCCCTGTGCCTTCTTCCCTCCGCCTCTTCTCCGTATCTTCCCGCACAATGGGCGCCGGTGATGCCGGATCGGGTTTCTCGCGGCCAGGAGGCATGCGTTCGGGGTATGTTACCACCGATACCGAACTGGTGTATAGATCGCTGATCCGTGCCATGCAGTGATAGCTTCACCCGTCGCGAGAAGGCGGTCGAGGATCAGTACATCCAGCAGGAGGAAAGGGCTAAGTCAGTCCAACCACCATCTTTCAAGCTGTCGCAGGATCACTGACGAGCACCCGGTTAGACTGCAGCAGATCAAGGAGAAGCTGGAGCAGCACCAGCAGCATCTGAATTCATTGAAGCAGACCATGTAAGCGGAAACCGCCTTGCCTTCGCCATTCGATCACGGCTGATATACCATCCACAGTGACGAGATGTCCAAGGAACAAGGTGGCGAGCAGCACTAAGGGACATAAACTATGGCACGAATCTCGGACATTTGATGCTTGTATTATTTTTTGGAATCCTGTTGCGTATCTGCCATCGCCTCTCGACTCGGTCTGAAGCTCTTGGCCTGAGCAACCTTCTCAACAATGTCATCGACTCGAATGCCAATGATCAAATCCTGTTATAAATCTCCCCAGTGCGCCATTATCCTAAGTCCATGGTGCCCTGTTGTACACTATAGTCCAATGATTACGTCGTGGCATGTTCGGAACTGGCAGACATGGTATCATCCTGAATCGCCCTCAACGCCTGACACGGAACGATCGGTAGAAATCGGCGGCCGGATCACTCCCCATCGATTGAGACCCGTTCCATGACGCATTCGCGCGAACGCTATCCTTTTGCGCTGCCTCGACCTTCTCCTTCAGACCTGCCGTAGCAGTGTCCACCTGCTGCAATTGCTGAAGGTGGCTGTTGAGCACCTTGACGACATGTGAGAGCTGCACATCGTGGTTAGTAGGCAATTCACTGTGAAACGAATCTTCAAACTTACCGGATCATCGGGGTTGTTCGTTTTGCTAAGAGATGACGACACGTTGTTAATCTCGTCAATGACATCCGTGACATCGCGGTTCAGCCCATTGACTCGCTCCGTCAGCCTCTCCGCAAGTTTGTACCTGGAATCCATTAGCATCTAAAGTCAAGGGGATGGACACGAGCAACTCACGTTCTCTCCCGCTCCTGGTCGACCCCTTGTAATCCAACGCCATCCGGGCCCATGACACCACCCTTCACCAACAGCTCGTCGATCTCCCGTTCATATCGGTCGAGAAAGTGCTGGAGCTCATCCTGCTGGCTCTCCACCGTCGATAGCTGCTTATCGATTTCGGCCGCATCCCTCTCAGCATGGAAGGTCTTGCTGTACAGCTTGGAGATCTTGTCGGAATTCTCCACGAGCAGCTGGTCCCATCCCGCGACTTGCTGGGCGGATCGTGTGAACTCTTTTTGGTATTTGGTCAGGTCCGTCGCCCACTTGGTAATGATCTCATCCATCGACTTATTCTTCAACCGGGAGGTCGGGTCGGGAGTCGGACCGGTCGATTGGTGGAGTTGCGCAGGACTAGGTCCCATTCCTGGCGGAGCCATCGCCGCCGTGGTCGCCTTCGCCGCTGGAGCAGCGGCTTGGGTTGATGCTGGAGCAGCGGTAGAAGAGGCGGGGGTGGTTGTCCCCGTTGTCCCCAATGCGGACGACGTAGCGGCTCCGGGAAGTCCCGATTTCTGGAAGAGCCCCGTGCCAAGGGTGGGAGCAGTAGTGGCGGGTTGGGCGGCAGAAGTCGTTGTGGATGCAGGAGCTGCAGTGTTCGCTGCGGTGGAGGTCGGAGGCCCCGACGTGGGAGCGTCGGCTTTAGTGGGGAAAGACTTGAATAGACCTCCGGTTGCAGGCTGTTGTGCAGGCTGCTGTGAGGATAGTGGCGCGGTTGAAGCTGGCTGATTAATCTTGGCTCCACCAGCAAAGGGGGAGCTCGAGAACCCATCGCTAGTTCTGCTGAAGAGAGATGACCCTGCAGTTTGAGTGCTCTGGGCCGATGCTTGGGGTTGCGAGGCAGTATTCTGACCGAACAGGCTAACTGCAGAACCCTGCTGAGGGCCGCTTGGAGCAGCAGTCGCGGGGAATGGTGTGGAGGTCGAAGGGGTAGATGCCGAAGAAGGCTGCTGTCCCGCTATCCCGCCTTGCGGTTTACCGACTCCGCCAAAACCAGCCATCGCAGTTGGGCCAGTTGAAGTGGCTCCCTGATTTGCTGCGACGCCCCCGAAGAGTGACGCAGGCTTTTGCGCGTTTCCGAACGCGGAACTCGTCGTTTGCGATCCGCTAGTTGGGAATGATGGCCCTGATGTCGCGGGAGGAGGGCCAGCTGGAGTGGTGGATGTCATGAATGAGAGCGTCGGTTTACTGGTGGCGGGTGTACTGGTACCAGCTGGTCCCGAAGCTGGCGCAGGAGAGAATAAACTTCCGGATCCCGCTGGCTTGCCAAACATTGAGGATGCTGCTCCGCCTGCATTAGAAGCCGGTGTAGTGTTGGTGAAGTTGTAGGAAGATCCTGGGGTATTCGTCGATCCTGGAGTGGGCTGATTGCCTCCGCCGCCCGAATTCGAGGGCGCATTTCCAGCTGGATTCGGCTTCTGAAACAGACCGGAACTTCCAGCTTGTGGTGTCGTGCTCATGAAAAGCCCAGGCGTCTTGCTCTCCGCCGGCGTAGGTGTGGCTCCCGACACTCCGAACGGTTTGGGACCCTCGTCTTTCTGTGCGGGCGCTCCTCCGAAGGGACTAGATCCGCTGGGTTGGCCTGCTGCAACGAGTTAGCTTGGTCCACCAGTTTGAAGCAGGAACACCTACCAAGACCACCAAAAAGGCCGCCTGATTGGGGTGGCTTTGCGCCGAACGGTGATGAAGATGGTGGGTTTGCAGCACTTCCTCCGAAGAGGGAGGAGCCAGGGGTCGAGGCGGTCGCGCTGAACGGATTCTTCTTCTCACCGCCCTGAGAGGTTCCTCCAAAATTAAAACTAGACATGTTGCGTGGTTGTAAGGCTGGCGAAATGAATGCTTGAGAGTAGGCGAGTTTCCGAAGCTTGATCGGGTCGTTGCACTAAGATTCCGGCGAACTCAGGCTGTGGAAAGGCCTGGTCTTTATCCACCCGCGATAGAACGTGTCAAATTGTAATAAACCAGCAACACGGGATCGATGGATCGCAGGAAAGGATGGTGGTGGAAGAAAATCAGGATGTTCGGAGGTTCATCGTGGTTTGTAGCTTGGATTGAAGGGATTAGAAGTTTCGAGGTGAAAGGGGTCTGAGTTCAACAATGAATGGAAGCAGCGTAAGACGGGAGCCTGTCTTTGCCTTAGACTCTTCCAGACTCTTCAACTGTACAGAACAACACACTGCAGGTAAGCTGGATCAAAAGTCGCGTCGCGTGTGTTACAGTCTTGCAGCAGTTAATACAGATCCCTCTCAATAGATATGGCACGTGATGGCCAGAGTTTGGAGCAATGATTTTGCAAGGAACATCAATTATTAAGATTATTTATCATGAATCCATTCCATATCTGGTAATTTGATACCGATATGTATCCGTAAAATTGTCAAATAATACCAGACATTCATGTCCGACGAATAATTAGTAATACAAATCAGGTGTCACGTGCAACCCCGGACTACAGCCCAGGCTCCTCTGCCATAGGGTGGTGGTTCGATCCCCTACACCCAGACCTCTCAGGCTGTAAGAATCATCTGTCCTCCATACACCCTCCGTACATAATATTCAGTATTTCATGTTATTATTGCACTGCCCCATTCAAGCGCTCACTTTCACCTCGCTCTCACCGGCACACCTTGGCTCCTTCACACGTGCTTTTCGATTCTGCTGTCCCTATGAACCTCTGAACCGCTTAACCTCCCAGCTGCAATCTATTGCGCATGAAAATGGAAGATCTACAGCCTCCTAGGAAAAGCGTAGAGCTGGAGGATGCAGGAGCACATGAGCTTGGTAATATTTAAATCCCCCGCTTGATCTGGACTGTAGCTGACAATGGCCCCAGAATCGTCGGATGAGAACGACCACTTTTCAGATGCAAGCGAAGGCCGAGAACCTATATCGAAGGAGTCCGGATCCGAAGACCACTCGTCTATACCGATTACAAGAGTCGAGAGAGTCGACAGCCAACCCGGATACGGCGAGGTCCCCGGCACCGAGGCATACAAACGTCGGGTGACCGATGCAGTCCCTGATGAAGTCGAAGTCGTACCGGAGGGATTAAGAAGCCGGAGCTCTTCGCGAGTAGGAGGGCGGGAGAGATCCCACACCATCGGCGGGACACCAATTCCTCGTACCGTCGTTGAAAAGGTGGACCCTGATGCCCCGAGCTATGGCGAAGTCCCTGGGACTTCGGCATATCACCTACATCTAGCAGATGCCCAACCCGATGAGATCCACAGAGCGCCTCCACAAGCAACTTCTCCCATCGCAGGTATGTAAGTCTACTTAGTCTCGCAACTTTCAGGAACCATTGACCAATGAAGGGTTGCCAACGCTGTCTCATGATAGATCCGAAATATCCTCTGTTTCCCGAGAGGACGAACACCAAGGATCGTCCATGAGTGCTACTCAGGACGATGGTGGGGGTGGGAGTGGAGTAGACGACGAAGACCACCAAGAGTCTGGTGACGACTTCGACGATTTCGAGAGTGGGGAAGACGAAGATTTTGGGGATTTTGGAGAGGAGATAGGAGAGCAGCTTCCGCAGCCTAGTCTGACCGACCAACCTCAAATCCATGCGTCCGTTGATGCACCTCCCCCGCATTATGTGAGTAGAATATGTCGATTTTTAATAGCATCGACCCGTCAAACCTTACCTCACGACTAAGATGCTGATATTTCCATGCTAGAAACCCTTTGATTTCATGAAGTTTACATCAGCAGAGCAACTGCAAGGTGCATTACAACCCCATATTTTGGAGATTTTCTCCGAATCACCCAACGCGAACCGCAGAGATCCACTGGGCGAGGCCAATCCAATGTTGATGTCGGAGCGGAGTCAGTCCCTGTGGTCTCAGCTTGTAGCACCGCCGCCCCTGCAGCCCCCGAATTGGGTCCGGTCACGAATACGTCGCCTCTTTCTTGTTTCCTTGGGAGTTCCCGTCGACTTGGACGAGATCTTGCCGGCGAGCAAACAAAAGAAACTCATCTTACCATCCATCAACATCCCCGGTGATCGATCACCAAGAGTGTCATCCGACGAGCGAGGCATCGGTGCCATATCTCGCCTGAAGAAAAATAACGATTCCTCCGCATCGGTTACATCAACGGCTTCGAAATCAGAACGCAGGAGACGCGGTCCGCCGCCTCCACCTGCTTTAGATGTCAACCGTGCCAATTTACTTTGTTCCACGACTGATGCGGCCCTTGGCAACTTTACCGATGAGGAGCTTAAAGTTCACGTTCAATCTCTCCAGGTCTTCATTGAGCGCGCCAAAGAGGTGCGGGAATACTGGGAGAAGCGGAAAGAGAGTGCGATCGGAAACAAAGAGGCATTCGAGGGTGTCATTGAGAATTTAGTGAAGCATGCAAAGAAAGTACGGAAATGAGGTAGCTTCATACCGGGCTATGCCTCATTTCAGGACGAGTCCTGGCTTATTGGAGACAACACTTCTCCAAGGCGATCATCTAGTTTCGCAATGCTGGACGCGATGCAGCACTTGTCTTCAAAATCCGTCATGCTTGGTCAGATGTCAAGCATGCACCGACGAAACATTGACGGACAGTTATGAGATTGAGACGGGTGGTCTAATGGATCACATTCGATGCGTGCGTACCTACCGCAAGCCTTGTATTAGATTCGATACGACCAACGTTAGGAAGCGCACGAAACAATTTGCAGCACGAGGCCGAGCTTCTGCTGTGGCCAGCAGCGACTCAGTGTCCTGTCCGGGTCCATTCCAGTAGCCGCAATACATGCATTGGATGTGTATAAACCACTACAGCATGGAGTCATGAACACATGCATACCTTGTATCATGGTTTCAGGTGTGAAATGGATCTGGGGCGAGCGTCTCGACACTCCCAGCGTCTAGCCGGCTACTGGCGATGTGAGCGCATTGGGAAGAAGTACTATCAAATAGTTAGGGAGATATCAGACCTCGTACGCAGTATATAGTTAACATTACTGGATGCCGATATTGTTGTAGGGCAGTTCCGCGTGCCAAATCGATGTGCATGAACGAAGCAGCTGGCCCTTTTGACCACTTGTGCTATCTCCACAAGTATATCATCGACGTATGTACACACCGTACAACCTTCAGATCTAGGGACGAGAGGTTGAAAGAAATCGCCCTCGCACATGGAGCCAGCTTTACTATCCGACACCACGATACCTAAATTTAGAGAGCCTCGAGGTTTCTCCTCTCTGGAAAGATTCGGTCGGCTAATTAGTTAAGTTCCGGAGTAGCTCCCGCAGTTTTGAGCAACAATCCCATGGAAGCCATGATACCCAATCTCCAAAATCAATCTGGCATTTTGGCCATTGATATTCGGTCAGGGGTTCCACCAGTGACTTATTCGTTATTACGAAGTAAGTTAATATTTCAGTCTCCAGCTTATTACCGACATTTCCGTCTAGCAGTAGGAAGCCGCTGGAGGCGTGTAGGACGCAGCAGTCATCGTAGCACACTGCGCACTCTGGTCCGGCTGTTCTCAGTCCTACCTGAAGAAAGCTTGAAGGACACGACGGGATAAGGCCCGACCGAATTAAAGCATTTTCGTTTCTGAATGGCGAAAAAGGGTGACACGCTATCAGGCTCAGAAATCCGAACCTAACAGAAGCGTTAGTGGTGGATCGCACACGCTTTCCGTCCATGCTACCAAATACAACATGAACCGAATGATGCTTGCGATCTTGTGGTTCCCTTGTCTTAGTTGAACGCCTTAAGTTAAACAATACACCTCATACAATATACATATAAATACCCATCCCAGAACTGAAGTGTCCGTCCGGTATCCGAATGAGCTTATTGTATTTCCTTCTGCCGCCTGCACCCTGCAGGCCCGTAGCCTCGCCTCATGCTTGCTATTGCCACTGTGCTAGGGGGGCCAGACCCCCTAAGGCCTATTAAGTCCACCGTCAATAATAAGGCTAGGCTGGTGATTTGGTGACTGACGTCCAAGCCAAGCGGTCTAGTCCGGTCTTTTTCCATACCCCTTCTTCACCCTTCGGCTACCTTGTCTGTGCTGAGGATCGGGAACTGAGGCTCTTCCATGCGTCTGTCCTTTCAGCTTCGTTCTGCGGCCAACGATGTACATCCGACTGCCACGCGCCAGCAGCTCGTACCCTCGTGAGAAAATACGCGGAAGGCGAGTTGGTGCGCCGGAGTCCTCCCCATCGACCTGCGAAATATGAGACGGAGAACGATATTCTGCAATTCGAATTCGAAGTCTCGATCAAGACGAATGAATGGGAGTTGACCGCGGTGTTGATCGGCGGTCCATTGTTCCTCGCGGCTGATCCTCCCAAAGCCTGGCATTGTGACGATCATCTCGACGCGATTATGTTAAGCCCGTTCAGAATGCGAATCCCGATCCGGGAACAGCTTGCACTTCTGGTTTTGATATCCGCCTTGGTTGGACTTACTGTCATATCCGTCGCAACATGGATCACCAATCAGAACTTCGTTCTAAGCGTTCGGTAAGGCTGGCATTCCCGCACTGTATCCTCAGAGGACTGACACAGAAAACAGGGCATCGGAACTCGCACTGACGGCGTCCCTGAAAGCGGCGCAACTCGCATCGAACTTGCAGTTGATGCAGTCCCTCGTCAGCACAGTCTCTACTCGATTGATCATCCAGCTCGCCCTCGAGCGCTATTACGGTGGAAATGATACCGAATCGAATTGGACGCGGTCCTTCGATGACATCCAGGCGGCTGTAAACGGAGTTCGCGACGGTGGTTTGGCTATGCAAGCCACCGTGTCGCTCAGAAATGAATCTACCGTCGTAGTGAATGCTACGGCTCCCGATCCAGTCGAGCTGCCGTACACATATCCGAATGGGACTCGAGTCACCCTTGGAGATGACAGTCCTGCGTACCCTCGTATAGGCTTCCCACCGCCGCTCTACCCGAATTTCACGTTCCTTTGTATTCCGCGAAACGAGAGTTTCTGTGAGCCTAGGGTGGAGTCGGACGGCTTCGTGCTGAGCCAGGACAATTCCCTGCTCCTTGGTCCATATATGATCAACGAGACGTTCGCCATGGTGTCGATCACTCGACCGATCATCAATAACGCATTGAACGCGGATATTCTGGGTTGGTTGACAACATGCTTTGACGCTCGGTTGATATTGGACGTCATCACGTCACGAGAAGGTTTGGATCAAACTGGCATCACCCTCGTTCTTGGTTCCGCGAACTCCACGAACCTTTTCCCTCCTGGCGTCGTATACAATGAAGGTGAATTCGACCAGTCTGCGCTCAACGATGAGCCTGTACGTTTTGTGCTATCTCCGAACGATACGTATGGAAGACATGGATTTCGTGCTACCTCCTCCTTACTGGAGAGTTTCCGTTTGGGTGACTTCCGAGGGCTTGCTCACGCTTTCAAAAGGTCGGACATGATCAACAATGCTGGAAGCATTATCCGCGCAAAGAACGAGGAGGGCAAGGAAGTGTCCATTGGCTATGCCATGGCGCCGACGAATATTGTAAACTGGGTCATTGTCATCGAACACGCTCGTAGCGAGATCTGGGCGCCTATCAATAAACTTCGGACTATTATTCTCGGTTGTATATTCGGAACAATTGGCGCCGTTCTTATCTTGGCCTTCCCGGCCGCTCATTACTCGAGTCGGCCTATCCGTAGACTGCGGGAGGCAACCAAGCAGTCAGTCGACCCTCCAGGTTACTCGCCAGAGGACGACCATCTATCCAGATCCAGTGGTCACAGCGACGGCCATGACGAGGAGCTAGCGCGGAAGGAAGGCTTCTTCGCGACCATTCGTCATTGGGGTCGCAACCGTGACTTGTCACGGGAGGAACGTCAGGATCTTCAACGCCGATGGCAGTTTCGCATCCCAGCGAAAGTGCGGGAACGAAAGCACCTGGTTCAGGATGAGCTTTCCGACTTGACCAAGACCTTCAATGAGATGACGGATGAGCTAATGATGCAATACACGAAACTGGAGGAGCGTGTTCAGCAGCGTACGGCGGAGCTTGAGACGAGCAAGCGAGCGGCAGAAGCGGCCAACGAGAGCAAAACCTTGTTTATCGCAAACATCTCCCACGAGTTGAAAACACCGCTGAACGGCATTATGGGCATGTGCGCCGTGTGCATGGGCGAAGAGGATCCCGTCAAAGTCAAGCGTAGCCTTGGAATCATCTACAAGAGTGGCGACTTGCTTCTCAACTTATTGACCGACCTCTTGACATTTAGGTACGTACGTATGATCCATGCGCTTATTCCGCTCCCTAACAATCAGCAGTAAAAACCAGGTTGGACAGTACCTATCACTCGACGAAAAAGAGTTCAAGATCCGTGATATTAGTTCTCAGATTTTGGCCATTTTTGACAAGCAGTCGAGAGACAGCGGTATCAAATTGGCCGTGAAATTTGAAGGACCAACTGAAGCCAACATTGTGGATGGTGGACTTTCTGATAAACGAGAGATGGGGCCGTTTGGTACAGGCAAAGTCCGCAACTTGGTCCTCTGGGGTGACCAACACCGCATACTGCAGGTTGTGATCAACCTTATATCAAACAGTCTGAAGTTTACGCCGTCGAAAGGCAGCATAACCCTTACCATTCGTTGCCTCGGCGAGTGGGATCAGGCTAGCAGTAGTCGAAAGGGGTCGTTTGGGTCAAAACACAACAGTGGACGCACATCCCAACCCAAAGCGTCGGATTCAGAAGGCAGCGTCGCAACTGGCAAGAATCACAGCACTGCGAACGAGATCAATCCATATGATCGACAATTTAGCAAGTTCCACGAGCGGAATTCCAGCCCTCCGCCAGGCAAGATACTGTTGTTCGAATTCGAGGTCAAAGACACTGGCCCTGGCGTCCCAGAACCTCTTCAACAGCGGATTTTTGAGCCATTCGTCCAAGGAGACTTGGGTTTGAGCAAGAAATACGGCGGAACCGGCCTCGGGCTCAGCATCTGTGCCCAGCTGGCGAGCTTGATGAAAGGTCACATGGTCTTACAGAGCGAAGATAGCAAAGGATCCACATTCACGATGCAGATACCGTTACGACATTTAAGTTCCCGCGCTGACAGTACGGCTTCGTCCAGCTTGTCAGGAGCCGATCCGCATGCATCCGCAGACGATCTGAGGGCAACTCTGAAGACACCAGATTCAACACAAAGCGCGCCTGCCAGCACCGGACCTGGTCCAGTGCCTTTCGAAACGGACAGCAAGCCTCGATTAGTCGGGTTGAGTACGCCATTCTTCGCCAGCACGTCGCCGCTCGAAGGTCCCAATAGCCAGCAGGCGGCCATTCAAAGGGTTACTGCGGAGGCGACGAAGCGTGGAGATAAAGTGAAGGTTCTTGTTGCAGAAGACAACAAGACCAATCAGGAAGTGGTGCTGCGGATGCTGAAACTGGAGGATATCTTTGATATTACAGTCGCAGAAGATGGTCAAGAGGCGGTAGACCTGGTCCGGCAGAGTATGGAGACGCACAATCCATACAACTTGATTTTCATGGATGTGCAGGTAAGTGAACTCTATCGTAATCCGGTCCCTCCTATCGTGACGCTGATGAATATCCTACGCAGATGCCCAACCTAAATGGTCTGGAGTCTACACGCCTTATCCGACAATCTGGATACACGGCCCCGATCGTCGCTTTGTCCGCCTATTCCGAAGACGTTAACATCAAAGAATGCCTCGAGTCGGGCATGAACGATTTTATCTCCAAGCCCATCCGCCGTCCACGACTCAAACAGGTCCTAAAGACATATTGTCCGCCGATTCCCGAAGAATCGGAAGAAGCTGGGCCGTCGCGGTCCAACTCGGACAAGGCCAGGGTGGATGGTAACTCCGGCGAGGAGTTGGCCGACGATACTAGAAATTTGTCGGTCGTCCACAACGCTGCTTCTGAGAACCCAATCATTGTTGGGGATGTCTCAACGCATGATTATCATAGAGGGAATCAACCAAAAAGTTGATTCCTCACAAAGTGCTTGGGCGATTTCGAATACCCCGTTTCCTACTCGTGGAGTTTTGTACATGGTTTGCTGCATCTTTTGTTAATGTGAGGATGCTACGACTACATATACCTGGACCTGGTGCTTATCGTACACCTGGAAGACCCCGTCCGGCTCCAGCATTTGTGGTTTGGCGTACACAGGACCAAGGGCACATATTGAAAAGTGTTTTGGACAGGATTTACGCATTCGAAGGCCAATGGTTGGGCTACGTTTCCATATACTGAGCGCTGGAGTTAGAGCATGGCAATATCTTGGAGGGGGAATTTCATCTGCTTGGACGTTATTTGGATATGACATTGTATATGTTCCGCAAGCTACGCGTCGAAGCTTCACGGAATACCATATGCCTTACGGAGAGTTTGCTGAGCGGGCTGGTTGTCTCTTCACATCTATTCCGTATTTTGGATAGGGACGAATCGAGGCTTTCCCAACGTATGGTCATCACACATGTAATAAATATTACAGTCTTCTAGGAGAAGAATTGATGGTAACACGCCATTGGCATACCCTTCAAGCCCACCCGAACTATCTGTACCTCTATCGCCTACCCAGGATGAAATTGCCATCAAAATAGTAAATACCACCAGACACCACCAGCTCAGTTCTCGGTCCTCAGTCCTGGAGTCTGGACTGAGGTGAAATATCCCGAATCAGACTAGTGTCGGCAATAACTCAAAATTCAAAATTCCGTCTGTCTAATCACTAATGTCTAGCCGGCTTTGCCTGGGACCCGCGGGTTCCAGAATCCAAACCAAGGAACTCATTAATAATAGTGAATAGAGAGCTACTCTGACAGTATGTAGCTTGAGCCTTTTGCATCTCTACTACATATATCGGATTTCATATATTTGGAAGTTGCTTTTTCAAGCCACTCGGCGTGTGCTGTTGGATGCTGGATGCTGTTGCGATGCCGGACTGGTACAACAGGTTACTGGGGCGAGAACATGGTGCTACATATACCGGAACGAGACCGATCTTCTTTGATCTACGCAGCAACAAGTGGTTCGTCATAACATCCATCAGTTTAGCTGTATTTACAGTAAGTTGATTGCTTTTCCGCCTTCCGGAGTCCCGTCAGCATTACCAGACTCCCCTTCTTTCATTATTATCGGTCCTTATGCACCTGGTTGCCTCGAGGGTAGATGAAATTCGTGGCACACCATCTTTGACGAACTCGTCCACGCTGTCATAAAGACCAAAGATGGACATGTTAGACCGTTTGGCCAACCGGAGAATCATGTGGCTGTTCTTTGGCTTCCAGATAAAGTAATGTCTCAGGCATAGAACGCCTAGGCGTTTTCAAAACTCTAGAAGAGAATGTCAAAGGCTGGCAGACCATCAATTTCATCCATGCTGGGGTTATACTGGTACCTCTGCTAGGCTTGAATGCGTGTCAGAGGTACCAGAGGCATCGAAGGCATCGCACTGCAGCGCTGAGTGGATGCCGAAAGGATCGAAGCTAACAAACAAACGACAGGACATCTTCCTCTACGCTGTTATAGTTCCCGTGATACCATTTGCCCTTTCGGGACGCTCAGGTGTTGCACCTGAACGAGGTGAGACATGTCGCCGTTGTAACATGTACCCTACGGATGACTTATATCGGTACAGTTCAGTACTGGGTATCGGTTCTAATCGCCGTCTACGGCGCAGCATTATTCGTCGCTTCCCGTACTGTGACCTTAGGTTTTGAGTTTCAGTATACTCAAAACCCCACCCTCTACAGACGTCTTTCGCTGACTTTCATCCAGCAATATGCGGTTTCTTAGCAGACCGCACCAGCTCGCGTCGACTCCCTCTTCTCTGGGGTTTGATCGCTTTGGCTGCATCAACTGTGATTCTGAACGTCGGCTCTTCCGTCGCCGTGCTGATCGTTGGCCGGATTCTTCAGGGACTTTCCGCTGCCGTTGTTTGGGTGGTTGGCCTGGCGCTTCTCGTTGATACCGTAGGAGCCGGTGGTATTGGCGAGGCGGTCGGATGGATTGCCCTTTCAATGACCATGGGACTCATGCTTGGGCCACTACTCGGCGGTGTGGTCTACCAGCGAGCCGGATATAATGCCGTGTTTGCCATGGCGTATACACTAATCGGCATCGATATTATCCTGCGACTCATGCTTATCGAGCAGAAGGTTGCTCTTAGGTGGATCGAGAGAAAAGACGGAAAAAAGGAGGCGGTACAGCTAGAAAATCGCGATTCGAAAGACCCCCAGGAGCAATGCAAGCCTAAACCGGCTGTTGGTACGGAAGGGGCGGACGAGGGAATCTCGCAAGGCATTGCACCCTCAGCAACGACCTTGCAGGGTGCGGTGGCTGTGCATCCACCGGTGCCAAAGCAAAAGGCCATCTTCGATCGTCTCCCTCCAGTCATCACACTCCTTGCTTCCCGCCGCATGCTTGCCGCGGTCTGGGGCATTATGGCGCAAGCATCTCTCTTGACGGCGTTTGACGCCACTCTACCGCTCTTCGTCGCCCAAACATTCGGGTGGGATTCTGTTGGTGCAGGCCTGCTATTCCTTACCATCGTCATCCCATCCTTTGTCTCACCAGTGGTTGGCAAACTCTCCGACAAATACGGTCCTCGGATCCCAGCGGCATTTGGATTCCTGTTCTCTGCACCGTTTCTAGTCCTGCTTCGATTCGTCGATCATAACTCCCTACGACAGAAGGTATTACTCTGTGCTTTGCTATCCATGGTGGGCTTCGCACTGGCTACCTGTCTCCCACCGCTCACAGCAGAGATATCATATTTGGTCGAGGCGAAGGAACGCCGTTCTCCCGGCCGGTTCGGTGCCAATGGTGCCATGGCACAAGCGTACGGCCTCTTCAACATGGCCTTTGCGGCTGGTTGTGCGATCGGTCCTATTTGGGGAGGAATGGTGCTCGAGAAGGCTGGGTGGCCGACGATGGGCTGGAGCCTAGCCCTATTTAGTGGAGTCAGTGTAATTCCAGTTGCCATTTGGTGTGGTGGTAGCATCTTTAAAAAGAGGAGGCGGGCAGATGAAGAAGAGACGGGAAACGTTGGAAACGTATGAGATTAATGACCCAGCCCGCTCCGCGGTGGCCGATTGATGGTCCCGAAGTTACCTCCAGAGGTTTCGAACACTCGCCATCTCCAGTCCCATCCGTCTTATTCTAGAAGGCCGCCAACTATCTCCTCCCCTTACAAAGCATCGTTTCGTGATGGATTGTTGCAAGGGGCGGCACCAAGCAAGTTAGACCATCAACTTCAGGCCGCCACGGAAGTCCTTGTAAGTATCACATCTCCCCTCAATCTATAGAAGCATCTAGCGTGCCCGTTCACAATTCACATGTCATACCAGAGGAATACTCACTTCGTGTACACTCTTCATACTAAAGATATTTTCTGTCACTGAATTGGGGAACATTGTACTCGGGTCAAAGATAGGGGATGCGAATGCTCTCGCATCCTAAAGTGGTTGAACCAACCCCCTCACTGGAATGCGTTCTCTGCATAGCATCTACCCCAACCTCAACGTCATGCGTAATCATCGCATTATTTCCAGCCTCGCCAACTCGTACCGTGCAGTTTTCATATGAAATCTTCCATATATAAAGCAACTGTTTGTAAGGTCCCCATTTCCGTTTAACAGACTTATAGCACTCACAAAATGTTGTCAGTGACTATCCGAATTCCGATCCTTTACTTCCTCATACTTCTCAGCCCGCTTGTCAGCCATTGCCTGTCGCTCCATGCTCATCGTCACTCGAACCGACATATGCACCGCCATTGAGCTGTCACGAGCATCCCCGGTATAATAACAATGCCAAAGGCAGACGGTTGAATCAGTGACCGCCCTTCCGGCACCAACAATTTTCCCACGGCGGACCCGGCTGTCGAGATCCTCCAAGATGTCCAGTTCCTATAGTCCCTCGTGAGTGAGCTGCCCAAAGACCTGCGGGATTTTCTCAAGGACATCGAATCAAGGCTCAATTTCTTAGAGAGCGGCCGAGCTGCGCTCTTGCCATCGGAAACATCAGGGCTCATTTCCTCAGGTCCTCAATCAGAAAAATGCGCTGTGCCACTGGCTCCACAGGCGACGGAAACTGCCTTATTTGTCAGTCTCCTTCCCCCTTTTCCTCGCCCCCCAGCAACCTCACCCTTGAACAAACGTGTCGCGCCAACTCCAGTACCACCGTCTTCTTCCTCATAGAATCTCTCCTGCCTCCCCACGTCTCTTATCTTCCCCGTTGCATCGACCCCTCCCCCTCCCACTCGACCCAAAGCATAGTGCCCGACTGCAGTTCCCTCACCGATGAGGCATTCCAATGCCAGATGTTTGGGCAAGTTGTTCTCGGAGCCATTTCCACAACCATGGATCTCTCAACCGGGCCGTCTTCGGCCCCAGGTGGTACTTCGGCGTTCGCATCCGCAGCCGAGCTATTTTGCCTAATTGACCTCGGAACGGGACCGGAACAGGGCCCCAAGCCTTTGGGCGATGCACAGATCAATGGATTTGATATCTATGTACCGCAGATGCGGGAGGGGGTGGAAGGGGCACCTGGGGATGCATTAGTGAGGAACGAGTGGTTCGAGGTGTTTTATCGCGGAGTTAAGGACAAGGATGGTTGAAAAAGGGTATTTGTCCGGCAGTGTGCCATGCAGAGTGGATCCTGCTGTCGAAATGAAAATAAACACCACATTGGATGTGGTGTATTACCAGGAGGAGCGCTAAGACCATTAGACCAGCACTATAAGCAGATGTGAAAGCAGCTATCATCGTCTTACATTTAGTATCACTGTTGTTCCATATCTGACACAGAACTAATTAGGAGTTCGAGATCAATCATCAAACATGTGACCATCCAAGGAGGTACAATATTGATAGCATTAATAGTAAGAATTCATACTATCCACTGAAGGCACTAAGAACCCATAACTCGAATTATTCTCTCCAATTAAATTAATCATTCCTTTTTCAGGTCATCAACTGCAGGATGGCTATCGATTACTACAATATATGTACCATTAGCAGCACTTAAAATACCGGTCCGGTACTGTACCCTGCCATGTAAAGTACAGTGCTGATTCTCTAGTCAGTATTGAACTAGTCTGGTCAACAATACTGTTTACCAATAACTACTGTATACTGTACATTTTAGTACCACTTGTCCTATACCAGGCTAATATAACGTTTCCGTCTCATTACTATCACATCTTCAGCACAATTATGAACATGAAGTAGTCTGTAGTAGACACACGCCTCACAACTCACAACTCACAAGAACTCCTAAGCACTCCTGTGATCCTTTCCCTGGCGCACCAACCCGTATCTGCATTATTCTGCATCGGATTCTGTATTCGGTATCACCACAGGACAGTGACAAGACACAGAAGACACAAGTCCCTGACCAGTGACCGGGAAAGACCGTTCCAGCTCCCGGCCCATTACTCCCTGTAAACACCACCTGTACTGGAATTTGGATCCAAGAATCCAAAGAAGTAAAGGATTAAAGAACCTCCCAGGATCCATTGATTAATCATTCAGATATTTGTGTTGATCCAGAATCCGGGATTGGGTTCGAGCTACTGTCATTTGCTGCTCTTGTGGCAGGCGGTCTCCGTCCTCCACACTCACTCCACAATCCACACTTTCATTCAGTGATACAACAGGACTGATCTGGAACTCCCTTCTACAATCCGCTCCGACCTGTTCCATTCCCTCCCTTCAACTCGCCATTTACGAGCCTTGCATCGCCTTCAAATCAACTCTTCCACCGACCCTCCACCTCCTTTCTTCCTGATCCTCCCACCATTCCCATCTCTCCACCGATTCTGTCCTTGCCGACCGCCCTCCCACCCGCAACACTCAAACCGCCTCGTTTCAGGAGCCCGGTCGCTGCGCCTTGTTTAGCTGCTGCACAGGAGCTGTTCACGCCTTCGTTTTTACCCGTTTCGCGGCTCCCAACCCATCTGGCTCCGAGCACAAGACCAACCCAAAGTTCCGACCCTAAATTCCTCCCTTAACCCCCTCCCTGTTTACGAGGTCTATCCATCTGCCGCCGCTCCGATTCCCACCCTCCTACTTACGTCCATACGCACCAGTCGATTACTGAACTTGCAGTAACACCGGCCTTCGAACGAAGAACGAGGGCGTCCTCGATAGACGTCACGCGCGAATCTCCAAGCGTTTACAGGTTGTGGGTTTTCGAGAGGAGTAGCTGAACCGGCCAGCGCAATGCGGCGCCAACACAAAATCTCCGACCTCGTTCACCGCAATATCTTCCCGAATCCTGGCCCGGCCGATCCACCCGACTTTGCTACCCACCTTCAAAAGAACCTCGTCAGCGAAGTACGGGTTGAAACAACCCGGTTTTATGGCTCCCTAGACACCGTCGAAGCTCGTTATCCGGGTCTCAACTACAGCCACCCTCCTCACCGAAGACGGCTTTCACGCTTTCCACACCATGCACGCCTTTTTCAAGCCTTCGATGATCTGGGACTTACGGAAACGGAGATCGGCATGCTGTGCCGTTGGGAGGGAACGCTCTGGGCTCGAGAGCGATACGAACGAGACGAAGGGGTGAAAGTTGTCGACACGACGGGCACGGAGATTGGAAAATGGGTCGATCCTCGCCGGTCATACGCCAGAAGAAACGGAGCAAATGGCGCCTCGGATGGGAATGGAGCCGCCTCTGGGAAGGAAATCAAGGTTATGACGGACATCGAGGTGGAGATCGAGGATGCTAACCAAACAACAGCTGGAGCATCTTCCTCCAGTATCCCGGCTTCCATGGCCTCGGTGATCCGTAGGTCTCGGGACACTCCAACGAGCCGCGTCCACTCCTCACGGCGAATGCTCTCTTCCGCGATCAATGCCCGATCGAATTCCCAGGCGGCATACATGGCGCGCGATATGCAGGGCCGTCGATTCCGAGCCTCTCCCCTGCGCACAGAATCGCCTCGACGAATGGGAGTGGAAACCGGCGATGTTGGCGATGGAAACACAACGGCAGGCGAAGCGCTGCTCGATCGTGGCCTGACCACTCTCCTGAACCGCTTTAACGCAGTTTCCACAATGCCTGCGAACCCGAACCCCCCTCCAACATCCACGACCCCCTCTTCCTCTCTGCTCTCGAGCGACGTCGAGGAAGGCCACCCGACCGTCGATCCCTCCCTGGTCTCGCGCAATACAGCTGGTCCGACATCGGGCTACTCTTCAGCATCGGATGCCACGTCCACATCCGAACCCCTTTCTTTCGGACGCCCTTCTACTCTGACCGCGCTATTCAACCTTCCCAATCCTCAGCGCAGATCGCTCACATCACTTAACTCGCTCCGTCTACCCATTAATGCTACAAATGCACGGAGTTTTCCCATTCCTCCAGCCAACCCTATACTCCCTCCTCTTGATGTCACCTGGGAAGATATCGCTCGAATCCTCCCCCCCGATGTTGACCGCGCGGCCGTGGCTGAGATCTGGGAGAATCTGATCAAACATCTATCCGAGTCGATGGACGGACAGGAAGGGTCGACAGACACGGCACTTGATCCTTACCTTGACGCGAATACCATTGCTGCCACAGCCGCCAATGCGTTGCATTCGGAAACCGGCGAGGATGCGGGGAATCGCAGCGAGCGCGGGACACACCTCGCTGACTTCTCCCGCATGTCACACCCCGAAGGGGCTATGGAATTGCACCAGCAGTTACAGCATCACCAAGAGCAGATCGGGCATATGACCAGGGCAATCCAGGAGTATTACCGTATAAGGAGAGAATTGGACGGGGGCCAGGGGGCCACTGCCTCGAGCTGAAGCCAAGCGGTTCAGAGGGAATGTCGAGAGAGGAATCTATCAAATTTGTGTGTTGAGCTCATCCGCTAATGGAAAAGATCACGTCCGACGGGCACCCAATGCTTGATGAAGACGGTCAAAATTCAAGAGAGTTTTCAGCTTGTGGCGGGGAATAAATGGGGTTATCACAGCCCGTGGGACGTCTGGGGACCCAGCAAAGCTCTAAGACGAAAGAAAGTACAGGTTTGAAGCTGAGGCGGTCAAATACTCGAACCGACAATACATGGTTTATAAATGTTCAAAACCTCGTTTCTAGACGCCCAGGTGCAATTCTTCTCCGTGAAGACCGACAACCGGCCGCTCTATGGTGCGTACGCGCCGCCCCATGATGAAATCCAACATGCCAGCAGATACGCCTTTCCCACTACTATTAAAAGAAATGAAGTGATCTCTTCCGCGCGTATCCAAATTTCTCAATGCATTCGCCCACAAACCTCCACTTACTTAAACTCACACGCTTGCTCCGGGGGCGGCACCCCCGCCCCCGTATTCGCGTCCCGCTCACAGCCCACCACGACCTTATCAATCAACGAGGACGCCCGATCCTTCCACGTCTCCTGGCACCGCCACCCGACGTCCTTGTCGTTAAGGCAGAACCGCACGCAGCAGCCCGATGTCCGCGGCGTGAAGATGTACGACTCTCCCATGAACGGGAGCACGAAAATCCCCGCGCCAGGCACGTTCGCGTTGATTCCGGAGTAATTGGCCTCATCGTATAGCGCGAGGGAGAAGTTGGCCGCGGGCCACTGAGGAGATTGCACCGCGAGCGTTGGGGCGGCGGATGACGAGGAAGAGGTGGACGAGGGCGACGCGGACAACGAAGCGGACGACGAAGCGGAGGAAGACTCGGTGGAATTGGCGGCGGCACTGGAGGGCGCGGGTTTGGGGCTCTTCGCGGCGATGCTGCCGCCCACGCCTCCGCCAATCGCGGCTCCCACCACGACTAAGGCCACCACGATGAGGACCAGCCAGAACACGTTCCGCTTCATTCCCAAAATCGGTCGTTTGGCCTTGGGCTTTCCCTCGCCGTTCTCCGCATCGTTGCCGCCCGATCTCGGCGCAATCGGCGCACTGGATCCCGCCGCAGCTGGAATGTCGTCTGCCACATGCTCCGGCGCATAATGCGCTCCGGAAAGATATCCCGGCGGCCGTCCGATCACCTTGTGGTGACCGACGACGATGTATTTCTGCTGCGCCTCTGGGGCGGTGTCGTCCGCGACCAGATACTTGGGCGAATCCTCCGCTGTCTTCTCGTCTTGGAAGATGTACTTCCTGGGGTCGGCCTCGGATGTCGCCGATAGGGGTTGCGGGTGCGATAGAGGGGTGTCTGGAGTCTCCGAAGTTGGCGAGTGCGACCCCGAGCGCGGCACGTCGGAGGCGTTGGCAGCGACGAAGTACTTGGGTTCAAGTTCGCTTCGTCTTAGGCGTGGATCATGGGATGGGGAGATCGAGCTTGGGACGAGGTCGGACTCGCTAGGGAGATCTGTCGGGGAGGCGTTGTCCGTCGGGCTGGTTGGTGGATTGCTGACGGGAGAAGCGACGGCTCGGAGATTGAAGTCATGATGATCTTGAGGTCCGATGGGGGAGACGATATCGATAGGCGGCGAATTCGCGGTGGCACCAGGGCGGTCGCTCATGATCGCGTCCAGATTTCCACCCTTCTACGCTCGAAACCCACGAAACCCACGAAACCCGGACAAGAGCACCCGTAACTTTTTTGGCTACATCCAAACGTACGACAAATATACGCAACTTGATGGCAGTGGACGAGGAATGAGGTGAAGAATATGAAAGAGAACATTTCGATACGTACATTCGGACTACGGGGCCATGATTCTCATTTTCTAGCTCTCTTCCAAGTTCCAAGTTCCAGGTCAAAGCATTCAAGCCATTGAGCACTCAAGCACTTGAGCGGGAGTATAATTACCCCTCCAATCTACTTCCGCTAAATGAGGCTGAGCGGGTCCAAAGCTCGTATTGCGATGCAGGCGGCATGGAGTCTGGGGACTGGAGAATGTTCCTGTTCAACGGCGCCATGGCTCTGATTCGCCCTTCGGATTTCTCTACCCTGTGCTGTGAAACGGGCCGATCGCTGCTTGGGAGGCGGATTTGGAAAAAAGTCTGGCCATTTGGCAATTGGCATGATGGTGGGAAAACTCGCATGCCGGGGTCTGGTTGCACTCTGCAGTGGTGACGCCAGTCTGAGACTCCGTCCACCTCGCCTGTGTAATATATTAGATACATCTTCCAGTCCTGGTATCGTTCCATGTTCCACCACTGCTAAAAATAATCGTGGTTTCAGCGGTTACATGCGTCTTCTGTCCTCTGTACACCCCTCAGTGGTGACTTTGAAGTTTGCACCACGGGAGTGAAGTAAGAGACCGGATTGAGCATTACTATTTACACGCGCTGCCAAGTGCAATCTCCGTCCCGCCGTCTCTAACAATGACTCCTTTATTGACCTTGTTAATTGCCTACCTAAGCAGCTGCTTCATGCCTTAGGATCGCTAGTTAAGCATTAGCACGTTTAGCACAGTCTTTGTGCTTCCTGTGTGAGCGGTCGGTCAGTTTGCTAGTTGATATGGTCAATCCATCGATGAAATATTTGAACGGGAGATGATCATCATATGCCAGACCAGAATTACGGTACCTCCGTAAATCAGTAACTCTCTCTCTCGTGAGATGATGAGAGAGATGAAATCGAAGAGTCAAGAGGCGAAAGCCGGCGAAATATTCCGTACCGGTATGGGGATTTTCACCACCTTGGATACGTCTCGGAGCACTTCTCCATCACCAACTTTTGTCTACCACAGACCACAGCCCACATATCCTCGAAAGACCGAGAAATGCGTAACTATGAGGACCAATCTTGATTCTTTTGCCCTTAGAAACCTAGGATTGCTCGCCAGCCGATATTAAATTGTTAATAATGCACACCTAATGCCAACGAGCTTTGTTGACCATCGGGGACCAACTCAGCCTGATTTCATGTGGAGTGCACCGCATTGCAGGGAAGAGTTCTTAACTTGCATCAATTGCGAGGCAACCCCATCTTTTGTATCCCTCATCCTGGAGGGGTTATGCGCTCATATAACCAGGGGAAGGGAGAGAAGCAGTTGGGAGTTAACAAAAATCTTGTGATTGACTTTGGAATTTGCATGAAGTGGAGCTGGGTAGAAGTGTCCATATCCACAAGACGAGCACATCTCTTGAGCATGGCGAGCTCTCCCCCGGCCGGATACAGACGGTCTAGGTCAGTGGAGATATCACATAAGATTTAAAAAGACCTGGTCTCAGTCTAGACCTCGGAATATCTCGCTCCAAAGATATCCCGTAATGGACACTCGAGAAGCTACCTGTCAGCAAGCTAAATCTGCAAGTCATTGGGATAGGAGAGCTTCTGGTCCCCAAGCTACATTATCGAAGTACAGCACAAGTACAGCACAAGTACACGTGGATCATCATGCCCAACCTCCTCAAAGACAAAGTCGCGGTCATCACTGGCGGGACAAGCGGCATCGGAAGAGCTATCGCGTTGGAATATCTCAAAGAAGGTGCCAGTGTGGTGATCAATCATCTTGGCGATGACCTCTCAACCCGGAATTTGGAGGGTATGAAAAGCGAGGCATCGTTTGGTTCCACTTTGTTGGGAATCGCCGGGGATATCTCGCAGCAAGAGACGGCCGTCGAGCTGATCCGGTTTGCGCTGGAACAGCTCGGCCGAATAGACATCTTCGTTAGCAACGCAGGAGTCTGTCAATTTGCCGAGTTCCTTTCGTACGTCCTTGCGATATCATGGCCTAAATTGCATTCCCGCGGTGTGTGGATACGCGTTGACGTGTTCAAGGCTCGAGAAGGACCTCTTCGACTCCACCATCTCCATCAACCTCTCCGGCGCCTTCTATGCGACTCAAGCTGCTGCACGCCAAATGGTAGCGCAAGGAACTGGCGGCTCGATCATTGCAATATCGTCCATATCAGCATTGGTCGGGGGTGAGTATCAATCCCATTATACCCCCACGAAGGCAGGCGTCCTGTCACTTATGCAGTCTTGTGCTTGTGCCCTCGGCAAGTACAACATCCGGTGTAACGCGTTGCTGCCGGGGACGATCAGAACACAGTTGAACGAGGAGGATCTGAAAGACCAGGAGAAACGGAAGTATATGGAGGGTCGCATTCCGCTGGGCAGAACTGGGGTCCCAGAGGACCTCGCTGGACCAGCGGTGTTCTTAGCGAGCGACATGAGTAGATATGTGGTATGTCTTCAAACTGGTGACTGAGTGAAGCACTATGAATGTGGATGCACTGACACACTCACAGAATGGAGCACAACTTCTTGTAGATGGAGGACTATTTGTCAACCTTCAATAAGTGTAAGACTGTCACGGATTAGTCTTTTCAAGCCAAGAATCATTTTTCAGGCGATATGCTTCAGTAGCTGTGCCGATCCATATTTTTTCCCTTTCGTTCTCGGAGGCAGTGTATCGCTCGACAATCAGTTCCACCACATTCCTCCGGTGCCGCCAGGACTGTTCCAATCCTGGTCCTCGGACGGTGCAGACAGGCCAGTCACTGCCGAACATAATCCTTCGCGGTCTGAAGGAGTCAAATATGACATCTAACCACGGCTTCATATGGGACATAATCTGGGCCGGCTGTATATTCTGGGCGTCTTGTGGTCGCATGTCAGAAAAGGCGCCCGATAACTTCAGGTACGTGTTGAGGAATGCTGCAAAAGCGCGCATGAATTTGCTCCATTTTTGGAACGCCTGGTCCTCCTTATCCCATTCTTCCGCGCTGTTTTCCATATCAGCTTTGCACAGATGGTCTTTCCTTCAGTCAGCCCAAGCCCTGATAAGTTATAGACATGTACTGTACGTACTCAATACGAACGTCACCCTCTTCTCTCCTCCCTTTTCAGCTGCCGCATTGACTTTCCTCATCATCTCGACGACCATTTCCATCTGCCAGACACCGACACTCCTCGAATCGACGCCTATATCGAAAGCCAGCCCCTGCCTTCCAAGTTCTAACAGAGAACTTTCAAAACTCCCCCTGTCAGTCTGCATCCGCTGCAGGGCTTCCGGCTCGGTGGCGGCTTGGAGCAGCAACCGTACTCCACAGACTTTCCCCCATAGCCGCTCTCCTGAAATCAGTTTCGCTCGTTCCAAGTAATCACGCATGACCTCTTCTCCACGATCCATCGGTCCCCAAATGACCATTCCTTGCACTGTCCCGTTGCCACTACCGGCTTCCTCCTCTTCGAGCTCAATCATTGCCCTCACATCGGCAATCTCGGCAAGCTTCTCCGTCGCCCAGCCATCAATGTTGTCGTCTGGCAGACCCCTGGGGCCTTCAGTTCTATCCGTTTCTATGTATATGGCGCCGACGACGATGTACGACGAGTCGGACGTCGATTGTGCCTTGCTAACAGAGCGGTACTCTGCAATGGTGGCTGGAAAGGCCAGTATATGTTTGGCGTCCGATGATGGGGGTTCCATCCAGGGGTGAGGGAGTGGGGAGGCCGCGTGGGAAGGCCATAGGTGGATATGGGAGTCGAGGATCAGAGTGGGAAGCATTTCCAGCCCATCCGTTCGCTGTAGGCTGGGTGGATTGGACACCTTAGACTGCTGTTAGATAAGGTAACTATCAGTAATTCCTCGATTATTCTCCGCTACCTCGAAACCTGGCAGATCTCCGAATTGTATGTATGTGAGTTCAGGAAGAGCCACTCCAGGTTACATCGTCCATTATCGTTCGGCGGAAGGTGAATCTGATTTACGGAAGAAGGCATCTGCTTCGCTAGTCCTTACGAAGCCCCACTGTTCAGAATTCAATACGGGCACTTTCAATGATTACTGAATTCATACTTGGCCTGTAGATGATCTGAAATCAAGCCTTTTTCGAACAAGCACCAGAGTTGAAGTCGTCACGCCCCATCCATTGAGAGTGTGTGGACACGACCGGCTGTTCTATTCTGTTGAATACATGTGTGGGGCATCCCGTACCCCGCGTTCGGTGGAAAGGGTCCCGAGTCGGATAAAAGGGGCGATAATGATGTCGGACGGATGATCTCACACGCTGCAGCTAAGAAAGGTGTCGTGTCTCGTGCGGAGTGCCGACGCCATTCACTTTCAGCAGTCCTCCGTATACGATAGAAGTGGTAGAACAATCCCAAGCCCTCACTGTTTGCGTTTATTGAATCGTTTACCGATTGCCAGGATCAATTTCCTTATTCTAGTCATATATATTCCAACCTGAAGTCAAGCGCAAGCATGGTCGCTTCTCCACCGCCAGGGATATTTGTGCCGGTACGATTAGGTGGCTTATATTGTAGAAACGACGCAGAAGTAAATACTGATATGCCTCTTTTTCTATACAGGTCCCTACATTCTTTGTTTCCAGATCGCACCTGTCCTACAATTCAGCTAATCCTCCCATTGATCTCGCTGCGCAATGTGCCCACGCATTACACCTGGCCTCAAACGGCATCCGTGGGCTAGTCCTCCTCGGCTCGACTGGAGAAGCAGTTCATTTGACGATGATGGAACGGGATCACGTTCTAAAAGGAGTCCGAAAAGCGCTAGAGGGGGGAGGATTCAAAGGATACCCGCTCATTGCCGGTACAGCGAGTCAGAGCATCGAGGAAGTACTCCTCCAGTTACGTCAAGCCGCCGATGCGGGCGTACAATGGGGATTGTGCCTAGCCCCAGGCTACTTTGCGAGTAATGTCAGTCAGGAAGGAATCAAACAGTGGTTCAGAGAGATCGCAAATAAGAGTCCGATACCGATTATGGTGTAAGTGGAAATGTGCTGATGCACCCAGTACTCGCCATTAGTACAGCGGTCAACAACTCCCATTGAAAGTCGATGGCCCTGGCGCGCAAATGGAGTGTGGACTAACTCTACGCCCAGATATCATTACCCTGGAGTGTCGAACAATATCACCGTGTCTCCAGCAACCATGGCAGAGCTTTCTCAACATCCCAACATTGTCGGCTGCAAACTCTCCCATGGCGCTGTCGATGACCACGCTCTTGTTTCTCTAAATCCAAAGATAAACCACGAACAATTCCGCCTCTTCACTGGATTCGGCCAGCATTTACTTCCCGTGCTCTCTGTCGGGGGTGCTGGGGCCATTGACGGACTAGCGGGGATTTTCCCCAAGTGTGTCGTGAGGTTATATAACCTTTTCGAACAGGGTCGTAACGGAGACGAGAGAGTCTGGAACGAGATGCGGGCGCTGCAGTTTGCAATCTGCGGAGGGGAAAAGCTGATTGCCAAATGGGGGACTATTGGTATCAAAGAAGCAACCAGTCGGATTGTGGGAATAGGGGACAGGGATGGAGGGAGACTGCCGTTACAAGGTGGAATTCCTGGAGGCGATGCGGAATGGGAGCAGTGGAAGACGGTTATGGATGATCTGGTGGCTATAGAAAAGAGCTTGTGAGACTAGTAGAGTGACTGATGTTGATCATATTGCACATAAGCATCCACGGTCCGAGTCTCACCCAATAAGGCCGCCCATTATCCGTAGAAAATCAATGGTTAGAAAAGCGCCCTCTTTGGTATGCCCCTGGCTATCATCTTCCCCCTTTGCTAAATTCATCAATATAATCTAGGAAGTGATTCGGCCTCAGAGGTGTTGCGATGCATAACACCACCTTGTATGCCTGTCTAGAAGCTGGTGGTATACTGACCCTTTTGACAGTCTGTATGGGCATCAGAACCAGATTATTCGCTAAATTGACTATTCCAAAGGATGGCTTCCCTGAACTCGTGAACCAACAGCGAGAGTTGGTTGAATCGATAATTAAGCCGCCATATGCTGTTGAGCTTATGGAAAGCGGCCACTAACCGACCACCATCTACTGCTTGATATGATTCGCATGAGGCATTGGGGCCCCGCAAACGTCGGCAGCCATCACTGCCTTTCGAGCTGGATTTTGGCCAGGGGTATTACCGGGTGCCCTCCTTTAATTGCTTGGAATCAAGCTCTACATCAACAAGGTTGGTGCGAAAGGTTTGTAGTTCAGTCCGTTCAGTCCGTTCAGTACCGGAGACAATGTCCACACACACTCCCTGAACTAGCGCATTGATCCCACATGCATCGATATCGACTAAGTTGCAGGCAATGGAGGCAATCAAGAGCACTCATTCGCGTGGGATTGACTGATAGTTTCAAATAGGAGAGAAGGAGATGGATTACCGCAGTCATCAAGTCAGGTTTGCCATTTCCATTTGTATATTCTAGATTTCCGTATGTCGGCCTATCGACGAACCAAACAGAACCGGGGTATCCGGATTTGAAGGTGTAGATGGCACTGCAGCCTCGCTCCATCCTTCAGCCTACATCAGCGAAGTGTTGTACCGACTTATACAAAACTAAACGATCATACAAAAGGGGATGTTAACTTAGGCTATAAGTGTGACGTCGAGAAATTTCGAACCCGTGGATGTACGCGTCCGCCCGGGAACAGTGTTATACATATCAGGATGACAGGCCGTACTCTATCTAGTGTCCCCAGAACCGATATCAGGTCGTACTAAACTTTGACGACTAAGCAACGACTGGTATAATGCGTTACGGAGCCGGACGGATGGTGAATCGCTTGAATGCAAATCTTTGGGACCTGCCACATTCTTAGCATCATTACGGTTTAGTACATTTGTCCCGTACAAGGATGCGGACCCGTATCTAGGATGTAATAGGAACTACACTGATCAAGACCAGGGGGATTGTTGAACGCTGAACTACTAGCCTACTAGTATTCCGTATCGGCTACTGTGCTATGGCTCTATATCGGCAGCGTACTTACCCCAGTCTAGTCTTGGGTTAGGTTAATTGCGCAATGCGGGTATCAATGTACGATGGTTCGGTTACATGGTAGAATGCCCAATGGAATTCCTCTGTTAAAATGCTCATGCAGTCTCTAGCGCCATAGAAAATTTGAAAGAGAATCCCCAGCATTCCCATCAATTCGACGCCATAATCAGTCAACAACTCAGGGGAGACCCAGCCACTGCAGAGTGTTGTGGAACGGTAAATACAGTAAGGATTAATAAGGAGTGATCGAACGATGCATGCGGTATGCTAGTTCGGTCGTCAAGAGCTATGATGGGCTTGAGATGACTTGCATGCACCGTATTAAAGCTGATTTAGCGCACTGATTTGCATCGTGACTGGTGTATATTTCCTCGAACAAACCTGGCTGCTTAGAGTGTATCTAAGATGGTCTGATCTTCCAGTGAAGATGCCTTTCTCGGACATCTTGATTCTTGCCCTATCGCCGACCGCGTCCAATATCGGATCGAACTATCGGGAGGAAGTGGGCCCTAACAGCTAAAACCTGGAATATATGACGAATCCGGAGGACGCCATGGTAGATCCGACCCTTTGACGATCAATGACCCCAAAGATCAGCTCTTTATACGACGTTACGGTACCAAAAATCCATCCCATCCGCTAATGTATTCTGGCAACATAGATAACAAGATCATGAACATCTTATGGAGCGAATAGCGCGACACTAGATGATATTCCGTATTATAGGTGTGTGCATAAGACCTGTGAGGGGGGGATGCCTGTCTCTACAACAACCAGAAGTCTGAACAACGACACACCGATGACTCCTACAGGCCCCAGAAAGAATACGAATCTTGAGATACAATGATCCAGTTACAAATATCGCAATGAGCTCTTTCCTGCGCTCGAGAATGCGTTAAACATTAATACGAACCAGGTGACAGAATTCAATTTCCATAAAAACTCCCATAAACTCCGTGATTTGAGCGATGCAACTCGCCAATGCGATTGGACACTATTGGACTTGATCCAGACACACATGCGCTGAAGAATAAACTTTTGAATAGAAACAGTCGAATGAAATATTGGAGCATTCGGTGGTTTAGTGCGGGTAGTCATCCAAAGGACCGCATGCACATAAGCTGCAGCTGCTTAGACAGCAGCCATCCTTTGGATATCTCGCTCACGTCCGAAGCCTGAGCTGCCCTTGTGGGGAAGCATTTGCTGCTTAGACTCGAACTTCTTGGGCCGTTTTGTCATGCCTGTCGGCACGGATATTGGGGAGGGCTTCTGTCTCCGTCCTGAACTCTGACAGCCCAGGTCCCCAGATGGTTTGACGGGTTCCCCAACGGCGGTAGCCGCCTCATAAAGAGGCAACGGCGACATGTCGTCGTGCAGGTCGCCAGACATGTGAGGTTCCAATAAGGAATTTTTGGGAGCCTCGCGGAGGTAGGCTGGAGGTTTGATTAGACGTTCGGAGTCATTCTCGTCAGCACCTGGTCTGCTACCCCAAGCTGTCTAAAAATGAGCAAGTTAGCTGAATGGACGGGTCGTCCGAATTGGGGAATGACGCGCAGGACAGAGTGAACGTGTCCTTGTCACCTTCAGTTGATGTTGATGACAGCTCCAGACTTCGGAGTGGGGACAGCACTGCTGTACGACGCTGAAAAGCCGAGAGAGGTGGAGAGAAGCATGGGGGACAACTACTTACCCTATTGATGGTGCACATGGCCCAAAACTTGATGATAATCGTATGAAGGTAGCCAACAAATGGCAAGAGAGGGAGGTACACCAAGTCCTCAGGGTACTGTTTCCAATGCTCAACGTATTTCACGGCTCGACAACCCCAGAAAATCCATAGGCACATTATCGATCTTAGGCAACATTGCCACCCGAAGGATATTCCTGCCGTCATATTCCAGAACGAAGTGGAAAGGGCAAGATCATAAATGGGCGACCATGATGTTAGGGTGGTTTGGAACACCGCGAAGGAACTCCACGGGTACCTCCTGAATTGGAGCGATTAGCAAACATAAGTCCCTTTATGGTTTGGACGGGATGTGCTTACTTCCAGATTGTCCGTTCTTGGAACATGCTCTTCAGGTTGCTTCGCCAGTTCGTCCTTGACCAGCGGAGGCATTGGCTGATATAGAGCGGATTGTTTTCCAGTGTGGTCAAAACCTCACAATCGGGATGATTCTGGATCCACGTGTTCCACCCATGATTGACCATCCAGCGGGTCAAAAAGTTGTCATCATCAACATTCAGGAGATATGTGCGCCATGTTTCGTGAGTGAATTCCCACATGAATGCCGGGTCCTGCAGGATTTTCGCCCGGTAGGCCACCGTTCGTCCAGAGAGGCATGGAAGGCCGCCGTCAATCTGCGCGCATGCAGTGCAATCGAAATTCCTGCGGATCAGGTATTGCGAATTCAAGAAATCCCAGAAGGTGGACTTTGGCCCCTTCATCACCCTTTGATTGGTCCCCACCCCTCCGATTTTGGGATCTCCGTCGAAGGGGGCTAGCATCCATTTTAATAGGTTTCGTGGCCAGACAACATCGTCATCTGCAAGAATGATGATCTTTGTCGAGACCCCCGGCAGGGCCTCCAAAATTTGCCTTCGTTTATTTGGCCGCTCAATGCTCAAGACCGTAATGCGGGTTGAAATCGACTCGGCAAGGGTGACTGCCTGGCCAAGCTTTTCGTCAATCGTAACAAGGAATATCTCTTTCGGGTTATTTTGGACACATGTAGGGAGAAACCGTCGGAGGCTTTCCTGAGAAGGATCCAGCGCTGGAACAATGACGGTAACGTCCTGAGGAGTCAGGGGTTCCTCTGAGTTGTATTCAGGTGAAGGTTCACGGCAGGCTTGGAAAGACTTCGTGGGTTGATCATCTGATAGATCGGATTGGGGGGCGAAATCCTTGTTGCCCGGGGACCGAATCAACCTGGGAGCAGTCCCGGGGTGAATGGGTTTGTATGTCCCATACCCAATGAGATTCCCAATTAGGCGAACATATTTAAAGAAACTGATCGAAACCAAGTCAGTAGGAGTATGGAATAACAGCATCGATTAAAACTTTGGCAGGATATCAATCCACTCACAATAAAAGCCCGAACGCAATAGGTAGCGTTGTGAAAGACCCAAACATGTTTAAAATATACCGCTGGACACTCCTAAGAATAAAGATGACTGAGGAACGAACGGCATGACAAGGTGGACGGAAGTTCCTCCACCTGGGACATATACTGGGAAGGAGATCTGGAAATGATGACGAAACTTGGAGAAGGAATTAGCTGCTGATATATAGCAAACCGAAGTCGAGCGCTTCAGAGCAGGAGAGGCTCTGGGAACCAGACCACATCCAAATCAGTCTGTCGCATTTGGTGACTAGCAACCAGCGGCATTCCCGGACAAGGTGCAGGGCCAGGAAGCGTCAGGGCAACTGGCCGCCTGGCGGCTTGCATCAATTGCCCCCATGTCCTTTTCCTTGAACGGTGGGTCAAGATAGGTGGTGTGCTCTTGATCGCCATCCCGAAAGCCGTTCAAATTCCTCGTGTTATTGAGAGTGCCGTAGCGGATCCAGGATGAACCAAACCGAAATCAATAGGCCCCGCAGTGGGAGTGAGGTGAGAAACGCTGAGAGGAGAAGAGGGATGTGCCGGACCTTGTCGCTTGGCACCATCGAATGCGGTCCAAAGTCCAAACACAGACAAGGAAGCATCGCGGCAAGCATGAGCAAGAAAACATCCCCGTCTGACGCCACGTCCGCTATGCACGCCCTCCACCCTGAGTCCAGAGTCCACCATCGAATAATAGTTAGTGGAAATACTTCTGAAGTTCTGGATAGGATCTGGTCTACGTCGCCTAGACTCTGGAGGAGGTCGATTGGAGGAATCGGGATTGCGGGACCATTAGACTTGGGAGCAATAAATCATCATGCCTCCACCCTGCGCGGACGCAGCCGCCGTGCGTACGCTGCACCCTCTCCGGCCGTTTCGTATGGTCGAAGTCTCTCCACAACAGGCGCTTCCCACTCAAGTTGCGACCGCACAGCAGCGCAACGCCGGTCACTCGTGCCGTCTTGCGATCGTGGCCAAGTGGGCTGCGAGCCTGCGACAGGCTGGACTCTGGATAAACGGAACCACAGATGGCGGCCTGGGGCTGGACAGTGGACCCTGTCAAATGTCAAGGTCTCAGGAAGCAAGGAAGTTAGGAAGTTCGGAGCGTCGCACACTACACCACACGCCAACTTCTGACATCGGGGGAGGCCACCGAGTCCGAATCGGTGTTCCGCTTACGGAGGTAAGGTATCGCTGCAACAATACAATCAAACTATCCAGTTTCCCGGGAATGCGAATGAAGCGGTTTCGGCTCTGCGACTGTTCGCTTCCGCTTTCATGCTCACACGGGCGACACGGCAGCCCATGTCGGTGCAAAGCTTGCAGTTTGCATGTTGCAACGATCACCTCGGCCAATAGACCGGCTACCTTTTCTTAACCGTCGTCGCGAAAAGACGATCTCATTATTCTCGGCAGGCCCGTTCTGGAGGCGATTTTGCCATCGAGGGCATCAGTTATTAGTCCGCTGCAGGTGTTCATGAAACAGGAAACGTTAAGCTGGACGACGCGTGATAAGTCCGGACGAGTGCATTGGAGTGGCGTCTTCGGAGGTACTCTGTAGTCGACGGCCGAAATCAATCGGGGAGAACCGTCGGGGCGTCATTCAATCGGCTTCTCGAGTGCGGACAATCTGTCATGGCTGGATCATTGTGCAGAGGCGGGCGGCGATAGCTGCTTTTGACCATCCCGTTCTGCTATCGAGTGCTTAAGTGCACCATTCCCTTGGGTTATGCAATTTCCCTCGAAGCGCCCTAGAGAATACACAGTAGGGATCGGTTGGACTCACCTTGAACTTGTGGATTCTCCTTCCTGATGTTATCATTCTGATGCTCAGATTGGGGCTGAGTCCTTCAGACAATGTATACAGGTTATTAACTAATACTTCGTGAGTAAGGAGTAGAGTAACAATCCACCAAACAGTCATTTGTCCAATATGGTTGTCGGTTGCTTGTCTCTGGCGCCCCACACCTTTGACGCCATTACTCGCCATGAGGATGTCGTACACTTACTAGACCAGACGCGACATGATCGGAATCGCGACGGGCCGGCACGTATGGTCGCTCGACGCAAAGCATCCGAATCCTCCCTGGTTCTCCCTCTTTCGTTTAGAATTCAGACAGCAGTCCGTAGGGAAGGTTCAATTCCTTCGAGTCACCGTAACCCCCACCGCGCCCCCCCCCCCCGATTTCTGCTGTCCAAATTTCCAGGCAATTTTTCCCCATTTCAAGAAACGAGATTTTATTAGCTGCAATGAAGGTTTAAATACTGCTAGGGACCGCTGCTCTTGCATTCGGGAGCGCTTCCCCGTAACAAGGTTTGGTTACTGGTATTTGGCATGTCGCATGGTGTTAAAAAGGTGCATATCCGTAGACGTGGGAGTGGTGGGATGTTCGACACATTGGGCTTCTTCTGCATCACTTGATTTCTATTTCGCAAGCCCGGGGTGGGATTGGAAGGAGCTAGGGGTGGTTCGGGACTTTGCGCGACTGTGACATATCAAGTCGAAACCAAAGACTCGCACAAGAGTCCAAAGGTCGACTTCATAGCACGTGAAAGGTAAATGATCCTTCTGGCATAATCAAGCTCTCTGGAAAAAACGTGCGAACCAGGATCCGGCGAAAGGATGCGACGGGCCGCTGTGTCGCCTTCCACGAGGTCTTGTGCATACCGACATCTACAGGGCTGCATAAGATCGAACCGGTGTGAAATTGGAGGCACGATCTCGACGATTGATGGACATGAACGCCATTCCACTCCCTCCTGAAGCATTGGCCGACGCCACAGCCGTAGATAGGAAGATGAAATATCTGCTCCGGAGCGTGAGAGTGTATATATGTAAGAATGTTCCGAATTCGGCATCTTCGTGCATAGCTTCTAGTTAAGCAACGTATCGATCTTGGAAAGGTCCCTAAGGTGCGAAAATATCACATAGTGTAGCTGCTCCCCCCAAGGCATGGCCAATTGCTATATCTGACAGTGGCTCTTCAGTGAAGGGTGTCCGTCGCTTCGTAGAGTACTGGTAACATAGCCGTGGACCTGTACTCGAGAACTCCTAGATCATAGAACCTTACGGACCTAGAAGAAACGGCCAAGACGTTTCGGCGGTGCCTAGGAATAGGAGGGCTCATTGATCCTACCAAGATTGTTCGGAGGTTTGGCCATGTCAGATCCCCTCGCGGTGCCACTGATGGACACCATCGGAGGCGGGCATCCGTAGACCAGATCTGGCGTCCCCGGAACCGCGCGGTTGTTCCCCAGAGGAATTCGTACAATTGTACTGCAGTCAGGTACCTTGCATGACCCCGATCATGTCCGTCCCTGATAATAGTATTTGTCCCACCTTGTTGAGTGGCCAGGGAGATCCGTTCAACAACAAAGGCAAGTTCCAGTGTGCAAAATCTGCAGCCCTGCGACATGTGACAGGGGGTGGGATCACAAAGTCCCAGAATGATCTTTGAGTGCCTTCTTCGGACAGGAATTGGCTGGAATTAATGCTGTCTGTTCAACTTTCGCCCACTGTAGAACCGACAGCAGTCGTGAAAATAGGCAGGAGAGTGTAGAGGTTGTGAAAAAGAATTAAAAAAGAAAGACGTATGTTACTCTAACAAAGCTTCATGACTGACGGCGACTCTTCTAGGGCCATTACACTTGATATAGGGTAGAGGTTGTCCCAGGACCATCGAGCTACTGCGTTTGCACGCGCCTCTGATTACATACGCCATACAGAATGCTTTGGCTTGTTGACTTGCTTATCGTTATTTTGCTGTGAAGGCGATCAATTGAAATTCCGGTATCTTTGCGGGCTTTCAATCCCATGGCGTTGGGAACGGATGAGGCACAGCAGTTTCATGCATACGAATTGTGCTTCCGGAGAAAATCTGATGGAGCTACTGAACCATCCCGAGTCAAAAGGGGTAACGAAGGACAAGCCAAACGAAGGAGCCAAACGAAGACACAATACGCACTCTTATTGACAAAGTACATGTAGAATACAAATACTCATGACAATGATGAACTTGGACGTTGAAAGTTGAAAGGTGAACGAACGCAAGGGCCTTCGCTAAGTACCGACTTACATGTAAGGTAATTATCTTCACACGTCGACGCGTTTTCCAGAGCCTGGGACTTCCTCATGCCCGGCAATTACCTGCGTTTTTCCCACTCCTCCACCTCTGCCTGACTAATATGTCCGAAAATGTTTTCATCGTCCGATTTCCTTGTTCGGTGCTAGTTCTTTACAATGTCAATCGTCTATGGCTGTTAGTCTCGACTTTCGCTTGACTTGAAAGAGGGGAAACGTATGCTGTAGAAGGGATGGTCGACCAACGTTTTCAAACTGGCAGAAAAAGGGGGAATATATGGGGCAATATTTCATGGAAGATGGAATTATCATAATTCATAATCTAGGTTAACTTCCCGAAGCTGGATGATCGATGGATGGAGGCATCCGAGACCTATCAACTGAAGCTGTCAGACTAGAGAGTTAGGTCACAGCCACCACAGCATCGATTTTTTCGCAGTTTGTGAGGGACTGTGCGCGAGTCTAGTCATACGGGCTACAGCAGTCAGTCAATTTTCCCAATATGCCAACTGTCTCTCAGGGGAGGAACTGGTCGAGCCGCTGAAAGGCTCGCTCACTAGTCACTACCTACTAACTCTGCTTTGGAATGCCAACCACTATCCACGAATAAAACGTCTTATCCATCTACAATGGTTTGTTACCCTTCGACAACCGGAATCTGATACCTCCAAGAGAAGGAGAAAAGAAGGCGGGAATTATGCACGCGGATTATAAATCTCCAACATAAATATAGGATGGATACTCTACAGTTCCCCTTTTATTTAGGGGTCCAGGTCATAGACTTTGGTCTAGCGGAAGCCCCCTACAGTATGCTGTATGCTACCTACTTGCCGGCACTACTTATTCATAATCACAGCTCGATATTCCATCTGATACAACCCACTTTGGGCGTTACCCCACAAGTAGGATTGTCCATCGCGCCGTGACGTGCTCAGGTGTCATCCAAAGCGACCCGACATCAGGAACGCAGTGTTCTGAAATTGAATGTCCCCGCGGGTATACTAACTTATCCCGCACTGCTACGACTCTTCACGGGTTTTCCAATCGATCTTGTTAGTCTCGTAGGTAATATGTCTCGGGCGATTAAGTACCAGGTTTGAGACTTTGAGCGGATCCCTTGGGCTAAACGAAGGGGGTGTCACTTGTCAAGTAGTCTTATTATGTTGCAATTCGATTGACGACACTACATAACATGTGTCTACGAGTTCACTTGCCTGGTCTCATTCCTCCGTTCTAAGCCAGTGCAGCATCCTAGCTAGCTGTCTGGAACAGCTTCTCAATCGAGAAAACCCGCATTCTCTTCACCAGGATTCTGTTGGTATTCCTATCGGAAGGACCGAGAACATGATTGGTTTTCTAAGGCGGAGAAACCAAGCATTCCTACTCCTAATGAGTTCTTTCGAACCTTGAAGGGATTGGGGCGCACTCGACAAACCGTCAAGGTCGTTGCCAACGTATCCTTGGGTTGGAGGACGGAATTTTGGACCGAAGTACAGTGTGGATGCTTCTGGATTAGGACATGCACTAGACAATTTAAACGCCATGTTTAGCGCCGATCCGGAACGGGGAAGAGGTTCCGCGAAGGCCTTAATTCATGGTATCCGAACGTGCTCATCCCCACGTCGGCGGTCTGTATTACCTCGTCGCCTGGGATTGAAAGCACAGCGTGGGAGGCAGATGCCCTTGAGACAAGGAATTTTGCTTAGGACACGTGTCCTCACTTCCGGTCCTCTTCGACCCGAGTTGCCATGTATATTTCGTAGTCTTCAATTCTCTGACGCCGTGTCCAAATGCCGATCATGCTATGCGCTAGAAGGTGTGCCTCAAAATCCACTCGCTATGCAATATCAAATCATCAATCGTCTCGCAACGCACCGCGTCTGGAACCGTTATGGTCAATATCGCTTGTATTTCTGAGACAGGATTAGGCACAATAATTCGTGATCGATTCGTGGGGAAGATCCTTACCTCATCCATCTTCCTTTGACTGTCCTTATCCAGCGCATTGCTTGCCCCTAACAGAGTCAATCCAATTGCTTTGGACGCTCCGATGACGGGTCGTAGAATAACTGTTGGCGCTCTTCGCGCCATCGCTGCTACTGCACCAGTGGGGTTTTCACTCTCGATCACCTCCGCCGGTACCGCCACAATGGCATCTCGGGTCGTCAACAGGTCTCGCTCCAAACTCCTTGCAGCCCCTCGTAATCCTGCGAACACGCCCATCGGTTGGTTTGAATAATGAGAGACGGCCCGCTGAGCATCCGTCGCAGGAGAAATGCTCCCTGGTGGATAAGACGCTACTTCCCAGTCCGAATCACCACGGGGCGTGGATGGCCCTGCAACAGTGGTAGGTGACAGCAAGCCTTCCGCGCCAGAGAGCAAGTCGTGCGTTCCAAAAGCAACTTTAGCTCCTAGCCGGGCCAATTCTCCCGTGGTGGTTCGGGCAAATGAAGCGGCTCCTTTCTGAATGCTTCGGACTATTCTACCATCTTTCTTGTATTCTCGCAGGGGGATGGTAACCAAGTCAAGCACACCGCCGCCAACATTGACGAAGGGTCGAACCGGAGCCAGTCCAGCCAAGACCTTGGGGAGTTGATTTCTCTTGACATCGGGCACCCAGATATCATTCAGCATGTTGTGGAGCCTATCGAGTCCAGAAACGCCATAGAGGATGACTCTTCGAAGGAGAATATCGGCTTGGTCAAGGATAAAGAAGTTCATGAATTCGGTGGTGTGACCAGATCGTAGGCCCGTGTAGTCGACCTTCTTCGGTTTGTAGTCCAATCTGAGTCGGACAGTATTGATCTCCATCCTCTGGATGAACAAATCATCGCTGGGGGTAGCTGATCCCTTGTGTGGTTTTGTGTCGTCCTTGAACTCGAAGAATCGCGTGATGAACTCCAGCGCGTCTTGGTCCACATGGAGACGCAGTGGCAATACATTTACCTTGATAACTAGCTCTGAAGCGGCGAGTTCGGGTACAGGGCGGACGTTCAAAACTTGCAGTTGTATCATCGGCCTACCGGTTTCTCGTTCGCCAGCGTCGTGCATATAAGTGCAGAACTTCTTCCATGTTGATGACGGTACATGATCGAAGATTTCCAGGTCATGAACCTGCAAAACCAGGGACTGCTGCGTTTCGCCGGAACCGGGAGGGAATACTATTAGATCAACCGATATTCCTTTTAATTCGAAAGTGATCTTGTGGTGTTGGCTTCTTTCCAATCTGAGCTTCCTGCGTTTTCGTGGAGCCGGATTCTGTCTGGTTGCAGTCCTTGTGGTCGAATTTGAGACAGCATAACTTTCCGATTCGCTTGCTGCATCGTCAATGTTTCGGTTGATATGACGACGGAGGTCCGCGGCTTCGCGATTCGGGGGCACTTCAATCCAAATAGAATTGAAGAGAAAATCCCCAACGGCAGACTCTTCATCCTCAGGCTCTGCGGAGATGCGTCGTTTCCGGCGGCGTTCCTCCGCTTTAGACTCAATATCCTGGACAACTTTTCCAATGACATCCCGGGTTTTGGGCCAGTCGTAGCCATCGAAAAGGTTCCAAATGAAATGAACGTCTCGAACGCGGAGTTTGAGAGGTGCACATTTGCGATTGGATTCGTCGGGATCGAGGAACTTGTTGTTTATCGAGTCCCACTTCACTCGTCCGCGCCGAATCCGAGGATGTGAAATAATGTGATTCTCTTCGAAATCTATGCGTTCGGGTGTAGATTCGGCCAGGATCGTGCCTTGAAATGCACCGACTCTGTTGATATTCCGTCCACTCGTCCTTGGCCCCAGGGGTCGGCGTTCTCCAAGAGAATATTGATCAACTCGATCTGAAGCGTGATCAGAATTCGGATGGTAGAAACTGCCCACAAACTCCATGTCGGCGAAGAAATCATCGGCAGTTAGGTCGACCTCATCCGGAGACCGCGATTCTTCTTCGAGTTCTTCTTTCTCCACAAATGCATCGCCAGTAAACGAAGCCATCATGTCCTCCATGGGCACCACCTGTGTTCGATACTTCTGTTCTTCGCTTATTGGTGGGGATTTCGGCTTCAACCCGCTGGCCATACCGATGAGAGTTTGAGTCGAGTCGGCACATGTTTCCATTACGAACAGCTCATCTTTGAAGTCCACCTCAACTGCCTTTGCTCCATCAGCGGCCTCATCGACCTGGATTACTGCCTGGGCAGCAGAGATGACACCAATGGAAACATAGCCTTGATCTTGTAGATCTCGTGCATGCTTGCTTTCGCCAAAGGTCATCGCCGGTTGTCTTGGGGGTCTTTCTACGAATTCATCTAACCTCTCAACGTCGTCAATCAGCAGCAAAGATGCCTTTCGGATATCCAGGACGGCCTTGATAGGGTGATCGATGGGCAGCGCGCCATGGAGCCTGGTGTTCGTACAAAGAAACAGTGCCTTTGCAGTAGAATCATACGGGTTTAACCCCACCGCACAATCTCGGAGCAAAATATCCAATTGTAATGGTTTTCGCTCGAGCTTCTCTGGGCTAGGTTGTCGGGTCGACACATTCTCAGAGTCCATCGTGATTGTGGCGATAGATAATGCGAGTTCCGTTGTGAGTTCTTCAACTGTTCCTTCTTCGTCAAGACCAAGTATTGCCATGACAGTACTGACATTGTATTCACAGCAAAGGTTGTGCAGTTTGATTTTAACCGTCGGCTCCATCTCGCCGCCAACCATGCGCGCCATGATCATGGCAGAGTCCTCGGAGGCCGGGAAACGTAGGACCGGTTTGATGATTTCTTCATCGTCGCCTCGGAAAACCGAAATAGTGCCGACCTCTACGGCTGAAAGGGGTGGGAAGACGACGTGTGCAACCTGAGCGTTTTTGCACTTCACCCGAGCACTCCCAAAGCGAGCATTTACGGGCATTTCGAGGTCGATATCCTTGATAAGACAGAGGATCAACGGCCCGGGACTATCATCTTCAGGGAGGTACTTGGTGACGGTCGAAAGTTTGGTGATCTCTTCGTTCAACGACCGCATCTGATCAAGGCCTTCAGGGTTGACGATGTTGATGCGGACAGCAGAGGACGTCAAGCGAACAACAGGGCCTCTTTTGCGTTGTCTCAAAAGGATCTCAAGCAATATGTCGTCATCATCCTCATACTTGTCCTTGGATGGGGTAATCAGGGACACGAGCCTCGTCAGGTCTGATTCTTCCGGTGCGAAACGGAATTCGAGACGCGAGTTGTCGATATCCACCGTAACAGGGGGGCCGTTCTGCCCTGAAAAGTCATTTGCGCATGTCAATCGAACGGCATCTATCTGCGCGCCAAAAACGGTCTCCCGGAACACGAGCTTAATGGCGGTCGTTCGAAGCGCAACGGAAGCAGACCTGCCGGCGAGAGTGAAGGTAAAGCCCGCAATACGGGCATTCAGTTTTATTTTGGCTGCAGCATCGCTCGTGGGCGGGCTCACGGTCGGAGTTGAAGGAGCGAAATGAACACCCTGCGATTTGGGTTTCTTCGGCGTAATAATTGGAGTAGGACTGTTCGAACTGATCGAATTGCTCAATTCCAGGACTCCGCTCAACCCTCCAAATGCACTCAATGTTTCGTCCAATAGAGGCATATCCAAATTGAAGATAACTGGAAGCGTGGAAACTCCAATATCGAAGGTATTCGCCTTTTTGTGCACCCATGCAGATATAGCTTTCGCTTGGACTTCCTTCAGCACCCTAGTGGATGTTCTCAAGCTTGCCGAGTCATCAAAGGAAAGTATCTTGTAACTTGTATTCCCAAGCTCAAAACGTCCGATATCTAAGCGACATTTACACGGGTGCAGAAAGTCGTCAATAGAAATGTCAATATTTTTCATATCCACAACGAGGATGGCTCGTCGATTCGGTGAAGGATAGTTGTCTGGGTCAGGATCACAGTCGATACTTTCTGACATTTCTTCAACAAACGATAAGATAAAGTCCTTGACCTGGAAATTCAGAGGTGCAGGTGTGTGGCTTGGGGATGCATCCGACGGATCCGACGAATCCGACGTGGACAATCCAGTGTCTAGCTGGCGGAGAAGCTTTAGGATGAGGACGGACAGGATACGACTTGTAAGAGTATCCAGGTGGGAAGTTATCGTCGATGCCTCTAACCCCAGTGGATTTTTAGCTTCAAAGGCGGTACCCGATTCTTCCGAACGGCTATCAGCTCGAATGGACGCAGTAGACTGCCAAGGATCATTGATCGAGGGTCGACGCCGTGCTGCGGTGGCAGATGCATATTGGGAGAACGATCCTTCGATGCCCGTGTTTGGTAACGTCATTTCTGAGGGTCGATGCTTCGGCGCATCTTCTGAAGGCCCGGCCACAGGCGGATCGACCTCTTCTTCGGAGGGAATCCAGACAAGAAGCTCGTCCACTTTGAGAAAATCGCGGACAGTCTTTGGCAAACCTTCCGTATTCTCGTCGACCGGTTGAACGCTTTCGGCCACGCCATCATCGTGGACTGGAGGTGCAAAAAAGGAGGATGTAGTGGTATTCGCGCCCCCGTCCGACGTTGGGCTCCTAGGTCTTGGCGTCACGCAGTCTCGCTCATCCGAATCTTGTGTAGGAGGCTGAGATGGTCCCGCCCCCGAGACATCCGCAATAGTGGGTTGTCCAGAGTCAGATACGGGCGGAGATGCCTCCCACGCACCAGGGACTCCATGTCTCGAGTCAACCTGGGGAGGTGCTTGGCTCATTGCGCTCATATACATACTTTCGGCCTGCTCGTGAGTGAACAATTGGGACTCGGCAAGTTCGCCCATGTCGGAGCCTGAAGAATTGCCTGACGATGGAACTTTTGTTAATGACGGTTCATGATAATGGATGCCAGAGCCCTGGCTGGATGCCTCGTCAGATGGCAGTGATGATTTAGCGGCGAGTGGTTCCGACTGAGAGAGTAGAATCCCTTGACCTTCCGCTACGTGATCCAAAGACCTTGACGACCAGAGAGGCGCATCAGTATTTGCTGAAGTCACGAGATTGGCAAGCCGCAGTGGTAGGGACTGAGAACTCCCACTATCAGAAGCAGACCGGCGGCTTTGAAGTTGCCTTCGGGTTCGCCAATCATGGAATGATACAGACTGTGTCAGTTCTGGATCGTCTTCCCAAAAAGAGTCTCCGACGGAGGCTATGCCAACGTCGTCAATCTCGCGCTCCAAGATCGTGGGGGAGCCGTTATCGCCGGGAAGAGGCATAGAGCTAACATTCCGCGTTGAAACCGGATCATGACCATCGTCATCTGCATCGGCGAATCGGTCGGCATCTTGGGTAATAATCGAATCCCTTAGACTTTCCGAACGATTTTGCCGAATCGTCGGAGAGTGGCCTGAAATGGAAGCTGTGGGACTGCGGACGGCGGATCGAGAAGTTTGCGGAGACGACGTTCTATGCCGAATTTCTGAACCGGGTAGAGATCCCGAGGTCGCACTCCCTGAAACAGAACGATTGGCTGACGGGGATGCGACAGACGGTACGGTGGACGTAGTTTGCGTATTGAACAACCTTGAGTCCGCAATCAATGAGGCAATCACATTTTGGAGTACCACTCGTCTCCGAGGACCAGGTTCTTTTACTTGAGGAGTTGGAGATGACCCGGTAGTAACCCCTTCGATCCCGATATCGTCGATGTGAAGTCGAAGGCATGCTTCATAGTCATCCTTGATGCTTATCGCGGGAAAACTTTCGTTTGATAGAGGACCAGGATCAAGAAAGCAGTCAATATCCCGGACGGTCAATTCTAACCTGTCGCCAACGCCCTTTAACCAGCTCGTCAGGAAAATGGGGAGACTGATGCCAGTCCCAGTGCCGAAAGCAAGATCGTCTTCAGATTCCGAGTCGGAAAGGTGCATCGACTGGGACTCCAAGGCCGCTTCTAATTCTTTCTTCTCGTCTGCCGGTTCCTCAGCTAAGAAGGACTTTGCCAAATCTTGAGCAGTCGGAAGGCCTTCCTCTTCGCCGTGAGCACTCGACTTAGATGGACTAGGCTGTCCTGTTCCAGCTTGTGCCGCCGGCTTAATGGTGATTTTGAGCTCGACACCTCGCGCCTCGACTCGGATGGGTGTCGCATGAAGATCAGTTGGGATGGACACCCGGAGAAGACGTACGGTAGCTTTGGATAGCTCGAAATTCGGGGGTAGATGGAGAATCGATAGCAATTTCTACCAGACAATGCATCAGCAGTTTTATCTTTCTCCGATGGAGTCTTGGTCCCGTACCTGTGTGCGCAGCGCGACATCGCGAAGCTCTACGACGTTCTTCCTTCCCCACGCGATGTCCAAGCTGTCCAGGTCAAGTGCGTCGGTGTCGAGCACATCGATATGAGATAGGGCATAGCGAAGGACCCGCCGCTGGATGGAATACGGGATGAACGACATGGAGGGTTCAGGGTCCTCGGGCCAAACCCGCAATCAAGAGTGCAGAAGGATCCTGTTTTGAGAGAGAGCCATGGGCGCAGCTGTGCGTGCCAGGTATTCCGATGAGGTGAGGGCCGCAGAGTTGGGCACGAGGGCAATAGGGTGGCACGACAGAAAGTCAGAGGTGGGCGTCTGGATGATACAAAGGTTAATATATGAGAATCAAAGAGTGAAATAGGTCGATGGTTAAGGCAGCGGCATTGTTGGGGTCAGGGTGCCTGGAAAGAACAGAAAGACGAGCGTATAGGGTAGCTGGGTGATCAAGAGATAGGGTGTTGATGGTGCTGAATGTGGACCAGCACAGCAAGGAGACATCAGATGGTACAATGTACTGCGTAGCTTGGTTGATTGATTTGAATATAGAGGTACTCCGTACCGTTGGGTTAATAGGTTAAGGATGGTACCATCGGAACAGGACCGTACTGAAGATACAGTACATCAGGGACGGTGAGAGAGGTCCTGATATTGATCAACACAGGAACTAATACAGTACAGCCTCCAGAGGCAGTACGTATCGGATAGTACCAAGTTAAAGGAAAGGTTGGATGAATAGTGAAGCCATCCGATGGAGGATGGAGGCATGAACCATCGGGATGATGAATGCACGTGATCATTCTGGTGCTATGGCTGTGAATGGGGGGGTGATGGGAAAAGGCGTCAAGGCTACAAGGCTAACATGGAACTAACACCTGAGCTCGCTAACACCAGGACGAATTCTACCCACTTCAGCGCAAAACTCGGGATCACGAAGACAAAAACATGTTCTATCAATATCATAAAAAAAAGCTGCTATATATACTTTGCTTCCTGAAGGTAAATCTTGGGAATATGCCACCCAAAAACAAAAAAGATCTGGCAAGTTTGATATTAGACCCAGCTGGGACTCGAACCCCTTTAATGGTTGTTAGTATGATTCTTTCTCAATTTCTTGCATTTTTATGACTTACAGAACCTTGCCCTTACTATAGGAGGGGCACGCGCTACCATTGCGCCACAGAGCCAGAATTAAGCAAAATAAAGGAATTAAGCTGATGATTCTAGCTCATTTTCTAGTCGTTGTGGCCTGAGGACAGCTTGGAGAGCTGAGAGCGGGGAAAACACCAGTCACGGCTCAGCCACACTAAGATCAACATCCCTGTCACTCTGTGGAGCTAGCCCCATCCAGATTTCAGTGACAAGAGCAACAGAAGCAATCTGATCGACGAAGCATCAATTCCTTTGAATTTTGAAACTTGAAACCCCTTGATTGCTGGCTTCACCCACCATATATTATTTCCTTGAAGATGTATAATTTCCCTTATACTTCATTTTCATTTACTGGGGTAGGACATCGAGGGTGAGGGCCATTATTGAGATTGGAAAGTTTGATATATATCCAATTCAGTCAGATCAGTAGGATAGACACTTCATATAGGAGGAATACGGTATTAAGATATATCTACTAACTAGACTTAAAAAAATTAGATAATGCCCTATTAGGAATGGTTATGTTAACCGCCACTAGTTTTCTTCCACCCATGATTCTGCTTTATATCACAACCTAACACTAGTTAGGACACCAATACACAAACATGTTGTACACCAATATGCTGAACCTATTGATAGTGGTATCTTGTGAAGAGAAAGGTATTCTATGCATTGTGTGCTCTGAGTTTGCGCTTCCATTTTGTTCTTCATCGCAAGTTTTCTCCTCCTGAAAGATCTCCTGCACTTTGCATCTTCTCTAACCTTTCTCCATCTTCAATCAAGTTGGTCTGAAGCAGCTCCTTCTCTGAGTCATCCACCTTTAGATCAGCGCATGAGGTGATGAAGTCGCACAACATGTTCTCAACCTGACCTGCGTTCTGGGTAAGAGCGTGATCATCACCATCAAATAGCTTGAGCGTCCTCTGCCCACCCGGTCCATACATGGTGTACAGTCTCCCGGAACAGCTCGGACCTAGAGTTCGATCGGCTGTGCCATGAAGCAGCAGCAAGGGCCGAGGGGAAAGTTGTCGAATTCCGTCCGTTTCTGCAGTCTGACTTGCTATGGTTGCGCACCCAACAACGCGTTGATCCTTCCCCGCGACGGTCAAGGCCGGTGCACCTCCGAAGCTCCATCCTACCAAGATGAAACGTTCCAACCCGTAAAGATCTTTCATCAAGTCCATCGCAGCGGTGACGTCTCGGGCACAATACGAGTTCCTCGCTGGGAAGCGGTAGTCCAGTCGAAGACAAGGGATCCCTCGTTCCAAACTGGCCAGTTTGTCGGAGATTCCAAGATAGACGCTGCTAGGACCGACGACCCCTCCTCCAGCTCCGGATAGAAATATCGCCGCCGTCTGTTTCGGGGCCGTAGTTCGATTTCGAGCGAAGTTGACGGGGAGGTGGAGAAATCCGGTGACAAAGCCATCTTGCGCATCTTCCACCTGAATCTGCAAAGGTTCAACTTTGCACAGCAGCGATTTAGGTGTCGGTATCTTGTTCAGACGTGTTGCATGGCTTAGGGCTTTGAAATCCTCGATCTTACGAGGCTGGATACCTGCCGGTTTGGTGCCGATCGCGGAGAGCGATGTCCTTCGTGATGAAGCAAGCATCGTCGCCATATTTGCAGAAGATATACTGATATCCTTTGTTTATTCGAATTAGTCTGTTCGCAAGTTTTGAGATGCAAGATACTAATACTGTTGCGTTGAATCGTTACTAGACACTGGACATTGATATGGCGATGATGTCATCATTACCTCTCATGACCGGCGGATTAAAAGGGTTCAACAAAGGGTACTGTGGAAATGTTGCCTTCTCTGTTCTAACAAGGACGTGTATGTACCGTGCCACAAAAATGCATTTTCGGAAGCATTGAATGTGCCTGCAGGGCTCCTGATGGCGCAGAAGGACAACTTGGGACACAAATGGAGTAAGCTGTATGCCTTGCAGCAGCTCCACAAGGTGGGATGTAATTGTCCAGAGAGGCAGCACGGGGCCTCCTGTTGCGCATATAATCCTAGACCAAGGCCTGAGTACGACGCATATCGGACGGATCATCAGAGCTGGTGATCGTCTTGTGGGAGGTGCCTAAGTTTCAGAGCCTGAAGGAAATATGGATGGTTATCTCAAGCTCAGCGCATTGCTTCCAGGTTCCATGCGAATTCATACCTATTACTTGCTGTATGGCATTCCGCGCCTGTCTATTCCTGTCGACCTCTTTCCGCGCTGAAATCTCCTTTCTCACACTGGTATGGCTTCAGCCTCGATTCCGGTTGTGGACTTTGCACCCTTCTTGCGGGGAACAAAAGATCAGCCGAAAGAAATTGCCAAAATCATCGATGATGCATTCCAGAACACGGGGTTCGTGTGCTTAGTCAACCATGGTGTGGATGCTGAGAAGGTAAAGGATGCGTTCAAATGGGTAAGATCCAGATGCCTCTACCTCTGCCAGACATCGACCAACACAAGATCAATTTAATTGACAGCAAATCAGAGTAAACGTTTCTTCGACCTTTCATCCTCCATAAAGGCACTAGCACCACACCCACCAGGAGGGCCTCATCATCGGGGATATTCGAAACCAGGCCTAGAGAAAGTTTCGCAGGATGTTTTCGATCGTGGTTCTATTCAAACCTTGAGGAACATCCCTGATGTGAAAGAGTCTTTCGAGTCTGGAAATGTTGACGATGGCGATCAGCCTAACATCTGGCTTCCTAATGAATGTCTCCCAAGCTTTCGTGATTTCATGGAAGGGTTCTTCCTAGACTTACGATACGTCGTTCACATGATCCTTCAAGCTTTGGCGATCTCTCTGGATCTTCCAGAAGACCATCTGAGCACTCGACACTCGCAGAGCTTGTTCCAGCTGAGGCTATTGCACTATCCTCCTATTCCTAGGAAGGCATTGGAGGAGGGGCTCGCATCCCGCATTAACACACACTCAGACTTTGGAACGCTCACCCTGCTCTTTCAAGACGCGGTGGGCGGTTTGGAGATACAAGATCCGGCAACGAAAGGTCGAGGGCAAAGCGAAGCGAAATTCTTTGCCGTAGAGCCAATTCAAGGGGGAGTTTTGGTCAATGTGGGTGACTTGCTGGAGCGATGGAGTAACCGAAGATGGAAGAGTACTGTGCACCGTGTCGTCGCGCCGGCAGAGAAAGTCGGAGACGGAACGGCCTGTCCCGAACAGTATTCCATTCCATTTTTCGCGACGGCGGATAATGATGCCGTAATTGAAGCGCTGCCAGGAACCTAGGGGAAGGATCGACCCAAACGATATGAATCGGTCACGGGGAAAAGGTATGTGCAAATGAGAATGGCTGCACTCTATTGAGGGATATCTTTGTCAATCATACAGGGTATCGTCGAATCCCATAAGTCGTAAATTCCTGGATATCCACCATATCAATCCAAAACAGTGATGGGAACGTCATCCAGCGTCCCATCAAGTCTCTCCGAAATTCATGTGACCTGTCTCCGTAGCATGTTGTGTTGCTGCTTGCTCCCCATTTCCTTTCCATTTGCATACATTGCACTGGATATCGAATTTGGCAGTGTCAGTGAAGTACCCTCTCTTTTGAAGCACTTGGCATAATTCTTGGGCGCGGATCAGGACTTCATCATCATACCCCTCGAAGATCGTGATGTCAACCTCCGCCGGCATATCAGCTTTATCGAACGGAGGACTGCTCGGGTTGAGCGCAATGACGTCGTAATGGATCCCGGAGTATACCAGGACACACCTCCGGGGTGCTCCTTCGTTGAATCGATCAATTCTCTGATCTTGGACGCTCACGCTGCAGATTTCGATTCCAAGAGACTGGCTCAATATCCCCATCTCAATCGCACCGCCCCAGGAATCCGGATGTTGAATCCAGTCGCAATACGCCTCGGGACTCCGTTGGAGTACGGCTTCGCTATATGTCTCGGGTTGTGATTGTATTCCAGCCGAAACCATGTTTCGGAGGTCGCCCATGGCATCCTGGTTGACTCCGAAGACCGCTGTACCTATGGCACGGAACAGGCAGGAGTTATCGTCGGGCATAACCCGAAGGACGAGGGTACCGGAGTGGGTGTCGAATGGAAGCTCAGGGGGATCATTGGATACGTCTCTTGTTTTCCGTTCTAGCGCGAGGGGTTGGGAGGGTTGAGAGAGGGTATTCGATTTGTTCTTCGAGGGAGACGCCGGCCGTCGCTCGCGGGACGATACATTGCCACCCATAGCAGCGATGATAAGCTGCTCGCCGTCCAAATTGATGCCGATGTTGTTTAGCGTCGTGGTGACATCGAGGGGAAGTTCTAGTGGTTGCGGAGGGTATCCGCTCTTGATCGTGAAGGACATTAGGCCCGTCTTTTCGGTTATTGAAGCCTTGAGATCCGATACTGTCGCCGCACCGTCGAGCGAGACGGTGGAAACGCCGCCAGGGCCCCGAATTCGTATTCTCATGGTTACAATAGTATTCGCTCCTGGGTTGTGTTGCTCAAGACCCGACAGTCCGTGGAACAGAAGATGGTGTTGGAAAGGAAGTTGGTAAGAGCGCGTTCAGTGATTTGGGGGAATGGCTGCTCCTGTATCTTGTACACGCCAATGCTTGGAAGGAACTGAGTGCACGATGAACGTCTATATTACGGAATGTAATCCACCTGCATGTCAAGTTGCCCGTTGTCGGTGATGTTGAATTCCCGATGTGAGATGACGCGGTGTCGGCCATATTTCGGGATATCACGTGCTGGATATCCTTGCCGGGGTCCTTGGTGAAGCTTACGATAGCAAGGATTCCAAGAATGTACGGAGTAGTGTGCAGTTCTCCCTGCTTTTCATGGTCAATTCCTTAACCAGCCACAATTGGAGCAATTCCAAATACGCGAGGATGTCCCACCGGTTCCTCAACCATACTACCGTAGAGACTGGTTATATTTCATCGGCGATGTTCACAATATAATGTGGTCGAAGAAGCAAGTTCTGTACGGAATTCATCGATATTCCTCACATATGTTGTTACATATATTGTTACATAGACTCAGGCATGTCTCATACTATCATACTACCGTCTCCTTGCTAGCCGCATCGCTACGCACTTCCTTTGAAACCGGCACGGCAGCCTGGCCCTCCAAATCTTCTACCTTTCCCTTCGGACCCACGGTTCCAGTAGGCAACATGTTCAAACGATCTTCTGCGTGGTCAAGATCGCGGTAGAAGAAAAAGAATATGACCCCGGCGATGGCAGAAATCACCGCCATAGCCCCGTAGTTCCACACAAGCAGCGGATCCTCGGATAATGGTATGAACGCTTCGCCAATAGCGGAGCCGATGGCTGACATGAAAAGACTGAAGGCCATGACAAGAGATCGCATGTTCTTCGGGGCCTTGCTAAAGGCATACTCGTAAGAGGTGATGGAGGCGAAGATCTCGGAGATGGCAATCAGAACGTAAATTCCAGTTTGTGCCCAAACATTGATGTTTGTCGGTGCACAGCCCTCCCCGGTAGCATCGGTCCCACATTCGGAATCGCGGTAGCTAGTACTGTCAGTTGTGTGAAGTACTAGAGGGAGTCAGGAGGAAACTCACATATATACTTGTAGCACGCATGCCCAGATCATCGCCATAGAACCGACCCAGAATCCAGCAGTGATCTTCTTAATCGGAGTAAAGTTGATTCCAACCTTCCGTAGACCCGGATAGAGGAAGGCGTTGCAGATAGGGATGAAGATAATAAGAGCGAAAGGGTTAAGGTTCGCAATGATATCGTTGGGTACGCCGTGTAATGCCATGACAGCGGCTTGGGATGTCAGGTTGTTGTTGATCTGGTTATAGGTGATCCAGTAGAGCGGCATCCACAGGAATACGCTGCATGCGGCAAATCCACGAGCAACCTCATCAACCCTAACAAGTCAGTATGAGAAATAAAAAATGTTGTTCAAGATCAACTCACCAAGCATCGTCAAAAGTGTACCAAGAAGGGCGTCCTTCCATTGGGACACTTGACGGTTTCAGACTGTTCCAGAAGGTACCGTCGTGCATATGCTTGTAGGTTGCCCATGGGTTCAGATGCCATCGTCCCTTCGTGCCCCTGATCAAGAGTTTGGTGGCGGGTCCCAATACGCTGCCCTCTGGAGGAGTTAATTTGTACATCTTCTTGCAGAAGAAGAGCACTGGCAGCGTGGTGATAAACATGGCCGTGGGAATGAAAAAAGACAGCCAAAATCCGACATATCTCTCGGCGTAAACCATAGAGATTTGGCCAACAATGGCACCGATGTTGATGGCGAAGTAGAACCAATGATATACGCTCGACGTCGTAACTGCAGGGTCAACGATGACGCGCTCCCCAGATTTCAGTGTCTTGACTCTTAATCCCTCAAGAGGGATCTGCTCTGCAATGAGAGGAGAAATATTCGGTTTGAAACCACCGGTCCCGATTCCCATGATGATCACGCCAACAATGAAACACCCAAGCGCAGAGTTTGGAGTTGCCATGACAGATGGCGCCGCAGAGGCGGTCAAGATAATATGGCCGACGATAGCCACGAGCGCCGAAATCCAGATAGTCCGGAAGCGTCCGAGATAGGTATCTGCAACCCAGGCACCGAACAGGGGAACAACGTATACCCAGAACTAATATATGTTAGCGCTTGGCAGTTAGTTGATGAATTGAATGACATACACTATTGAAAGTCGTGAGGCCGGTCGACGCCCGTTGCCCTAGGCCTAAGGCACCTGGTTGCGCCTGTTCATCGCTAGGATTGAGCGCTCGTCCAGTATCTGTCCCTGGATTCGGCTGCTGGATGAAATTGACGAACACCTGGTAATTTATTCAGCGCTTCATTGCTATTGAATCCTCGGGCGAAGGCATACCTGAACTGTGCCGTAATATGAAAGACGCTCGACAAGCTCGACGAAGGCAACTGTATACACCTTAAAAGGGATACGTTCGGAAACTCGTCGAAGCGTGCGTAGATCCTCCTCGGTGGGAAGGTCCTTGTCTTGAACGTCGTATTCGCTCTCCTCTGCCACCTTTTCGTCGTACTGTGGAGGAGGCTCGATCACATCAGAGCTCGGACGCCTCATTAGATCGCCGTTGCCAATGATGAGACTCGGGTCATGTTTCTCGCCAGCGAACTGATGTCCATTAGCCTAGTGTTTTCAAGAAATTATTTGGGAGTCGTAAACGTACGGTGTCTGCCATCTCGCCAGAAATCGAGATCCAGTCCGAACAGGGAACGGAGAAACAACCAAGATACCACCAGATAGCTCAGGTGCGCTTACGGCACTGATAATCGTGTGGGATGCGTGAGAGTTAAAGATTCAGCCGAAATGGAGAGGCATGCGGTCGATATAAGTGGCACGGATGGAGACCGGGTGGCCACGCTGGAGGCGTTCTCCCGGGTTCCATCCCCCGGATTCCCTTCCGGGAAAGAAAACCTAAACGTGAAGACTTCATTTTGTCTAGGTCGACAGAGGCGGCGTTCGCCACCCGACCGCATTTTAGATCCCTAGGCTTGCGAGACATGCGAATGATTGAAGCTGATGATTGTCCGATTGCGGCACTGTCGCACGGGCCGGGGATGAGACAGCGGAGGGTTCCACATGGCAACGGGGTTGAGGTATCTGGTACAGACTACCTACGGTACCGGTACGAAACGCCTGATGTCGATGGTGTATGACTGTCCAGCCTGAATTATGTACGGGACACTATAGCATGTCGTTAGAACGTCTGTAGAACTTGTAGCTTTTGCTTTTAAGCCTACCCACAGACTTGGCGTGTGTGCTTAATATTGGCAGTTAAGCATGGCTAAGACTTGGCCAAGGACCTGGACTCTGAAATCGATATGATATCCGAACTTGATCGGCGACGACGACGGTCGCATCGATAAAAGTGGCGATTTGGTGGAGTGGCTAGTGGCGGAATGGACTATAGTCCGGTACCATCTGAATATCTGATACAGCAGCGAATTTAGTTTATGGAGTGACAGGAAGAAAGAAATAAAGGGAGAATTGGTAACAAAAAGTTTGTGAGTGGCCAAAAGCTTCCATTTCAGCCTCACCGGCGCCGTTTTCGGTACCTGCCCCCGGTTTGTACGTTCCGGCCGGGACTGCTGTTCGGATAGTCTAGCAATTAATTAATTAAGATCAAAGATTACCTAGAGGCTCCGGACCGGAATTCTACGGAATATTTCCGTCGACGGGAAGTACGATTGAGCCAATTGGAGAATTTCTTCTTAGGACTTCTGCACTAGATATATCCCGTTATCGGCCTATCGGGGTCGCCTCCGGCACCATCGCCAGAAATTCGAGGTCCTGCCATCAACCATCCCGTCTTGTGTGTGCACCTCCGGAAGTGTGGAGGAATCCCTTTTCGGGGAAATCCGATCCAAACTCGGTGCCGGTCTACCGGCTGATGGACTCCGGTCCCGGCGTTTCAGTCTCTTCGGAGTTTTGGATCGCTCGGCACCGAGTATGGGATCTTTTATCTCTCGCGAATGGAATCCTTCAGTGATCCGATCAGACGATGCCTTACTTTGACATACTCCCCCTCCAACCGAAAGTCTGTGCTTCCGTGCATCATCTTCGATTCGAAAACGGTTCTGTTGAGTCCGCCCCAGCCCACTTAACGAATCGATTGATTCCTCGGGAACGACTGTTCCGCACATAATTAGTACCTGTAGAGGCGCTGGAGGCAAGTCCAACAGTAAGGAAATGAGGGAATCATGACGGGAAAATAAATTCCAATGCAATCTTCAATCTAGGCCTTCGGTCGGCTGTGGCCGCTATCGCTGATCAAGGGATCATCCAACATGACTTGTTCTGGGCCACATGTTTTTTTTAAAAATCGATCTTATGGTATGCAACTGGGGTAGTCCGTAGTCGTTGAGCCAAATGCCGATCGGAATCCATTACCTGAGAAATGAGAGTTCGCTTTGAACAGCAAAGCTGCAATAAAGGAGAAAATATTCTGAATGCTTCACTCATAGAAATTGTTGATATGCTGTCCTGCGCTTGTGGTCAACGTTTATGAATGTTTGACGAATTCGTCCATTCATAAATTAGAGGCGGAAAATTAACAACCGTACATTTGATACATTCGGGTTTTAATTGGAGCCATTGCACTTGAAGCTCTTTGCTAATGTCGGGAAAGACCACTGAATAGACTGAATGCTACCAAGTACCCACACTGGAGTTTATAATTGGCTGTTGTACGACCGAGCGAATGCCACAGCACCAGCAGTATTCGGGTATATACAGCTTGGGATGTCCCGGGATCCGACTTCTTCGTCCGGTTCCCACGCCAGAAGATTCATCGAAATGGGACCTTCAGAAGAGACGGCTAAAATATAGGGGAGAGAGAAGTTCGGTCCTCAACTAGACCAGACCCGTATTAGGAACCGGATTCATAGCCTTTGTAACATCCACCGAAACGGAGTGTATGCAATATTCTTTAAGGGGACCATGTGACATCTCGAAGCTTACTCGTCGACGTGCTTATCATCACCACATTTGGGATACTAAATGATTGCGCGGCCATGAGGGAGGTCAGTGACTTTGACGTTTGAAAGCTTGGGCACCACACAGCGATTGAACGGGGTTAGGTTGGAAGTCTATGGTGAAAGATAGGGACCTATATTCTAGGAAAGGAACAAGGAGCAACGGCTATTACCCAGAGCAATACACTTGACTTTCAAGGAAGACTGAGCATTGGATATGACCATATTTAGGAGTAATATACTACCTTCTATATAGTACTGCGGCGGAAATGCATCCGTATCCCATACCGTTTCCGACTAAGATTCCCCACAGTCACGCCATCCCTCCGATCATTCCACCTCCTCGACGTATCCATTTTGCCGCCTAGGATACGTTTCTTCAGGATATACTGTAGATACTCCGTGGGCAGCCCATCGAGCCGGCCCTGCGCCACAAGCCGCCGGAACCGCCCGCTCTCCATGCGCTCGAGAAAATTCCGCATCCGTGCCAACTTGTCGCTGTACGGCGCGAGGGAGGCCAGGAACTCCACCGCCTGCGCCTCCCCTTCGATATTAGAGATGAGGGCGGCGATGTAGCGTTGCATGGAGAGGCTGACGGGGCGCATACGTGCCAGTTGCTCGTGGACCGCGATGTGGATCAAGGCGCGGGCCAGGGAAGGTTGGATGGGGATGTTGCGGCGCTGGAGGATTTGACAGCAGTAGAAGACGTTGCGGAGTCGGACTCGGTAGGGATATTTGCTGACGGTGGCGAACGGCCATGCGATGTCGTGCATAAGTTGCACATACTCTGGGGTGAAGTCCTGACGCGCAATCTGGGTTCCTTGACTCTTGTTGGTCGTTGAGGGACGGCCTGAGTTGTTCGTCGCACCCAAGTGTTCAGCAAGTCCAGTAGCGCCAGGTGGGGCAAGACTAGCCACACTGTAGTTTCTATACCGTACGATGTTGAAAACCTGGTCACTATGGCAACCGTTTTGAATCATGGCGGTTAAGTACTCCGTCCAGTACTTCAAGATGGAAACGCCAGCCTTTCCGCTGGATTCATACCAACCCGCTCGGCTAAGGACAGATGCCACCTGATCGTGATGGACCGCGATACCGCTACGTCTGACGTCGCCGAGTAGCTGGAAGAAGATCGAGGTTCCCTGAGTGCGCAGGACAAGCGTGAAAACGTCCGACATCATATGTGCCTGAATAATCCCGCAACTCTTCACCGCCAGGAGAAGTAACCTGTAAGGGAGGTGAGGCGGCGAGCCTACTTCCTCGGCGGCGGCTTGACAGGAGCGGAGAAACGTATCCTCCAGTTCTTGAGCGTGGTTGAGACAAACACCACACGAAGATGCCCATCGATGGATTAGAATCCGGCAAAGTGTGGAATCATCTATCCCGTTCCGATGTATCACAACGTCCAATGGATCTAGATGTTGCGCGGCGACACAGAGGACGGCACTCCAGTTGATGGAACAGAAAGTCTGTGACTGCATGTCCGCAATTTTGAGAACGCCAATCCATTTGTCCACGATGGCCTGCTTGGTCTTCGTCGGCCCATCCGACGTATGTAGATGGTCGCTGAATGAGGTGCAGAAGTCCGTGTCAACCGATGGCCGTAGGTCTAAAAGGATTTGTGCAATGTTTTGCTCCGTGAAGGCCGAGTGACCTGCAGAATCGGATGACCCCTTGCCCATGCCTGGCAGTTTCCGGAGCAAGTCCATTACAGTCATGGCGGGGGTAAAGGTCTCATCGATCTCGGAATCGAGCCAGAGGGTTCGGTGCAGTCGAATCACGAGAGATCGCCAGTTCTCGAGCTCATGGGGGGCGACATCTCGTTGTCGTAGACGCTTAAGAATTGCCTGTGCTACGTCCTTCCATAATGGTATCCGTTCGGAAACCCTGTCCGTGGAGGGCTTCGGCTTGTATGTTAGTGAGTCATATGTCCAGAGTGGCAACGTGGATGCGCTTTCAAGTGACTCGGTGTCGCCAGGAACGTTCGGGGTGGGTGAGCACACTCGAGTCCACAGCTCTTCAATCCGACCGAACAGCGCTGGAATTTCGTATTCTCTGCCGGCATGCGCTTTGATAGCGGACTTGAGATGCCGGTGCCGCACTCCAGCCATGACGAGGCGAAAAAATGCCGACCGCTCGTCCACGCCGGTCCGTTGCACCACGGTCGCGACAATATCCACGTCCTTGAGAAAATCGGGATTGAAAATTTGCCAAGCCACGGCACCAGCCTGTTGTTCTCTGCTCAAGCACTGGAATATCAAGTGCGAGAAAGCGTCGTTGTCTAAGTCCGTGGTCGTATAGGACTGCCGTATCCGGTCCAGTTGTCGGATAGTGCCAGATAAGGAGGCAAGCTCCTCAAAGCATTGGCTACGTGGAGTCGGTGAAAGCCATTCCCGAGATAAAGCGGAAATTAAGGATGGTGAGGAGGGTTCTAACCGATTGCATTGCGGCATAGATGTATCTCTATCTGCTCCTTCGTTAGCCTCGTCACCCTGATAGGGGTTAAAAAAGTGCCCTACACTTACCAGCGTGCGCAGCATCATGACGGCTCACGTCCTCGCCTGGCTCTCTTCTATACCGTTCCCTTTCGTTCGTCTTTGGAGCCTCCCACATCAACTCCCCCATCGTCGGCACCCTCGCGTCCAACCCAAGTGACCGTCCATTCCACCCACCGAGACCCAACCCGCCGCCCCACGCCCACTCTATCGGTGCGCCCCCGTCGCTATATGCCTCGACCGTCGCGCCCATCCGCCTCCGCGCCAGCCGTCGATTCGCCTCGAGCGGACCAGGGACGTTGCTACCATGGCGGCGGGAGCAAAGGGCTGGTGCAGGAGGGACGCCGGAGCACGCGCGGGGAGCGCTGCGACACGAGGACGGGGCGGGAAGGGCGCTGGAGGTGCGGAGGAAGCGGTGGAAGGCCTCGGTGAGGAGGGTGTCAGGAATCCAGACATATGGGGAGCGAAGGGGGGAGGAGGAAGGGACGCGGCGAGGACGCATAGGCTGGCATTGGGGCTCGGAATTCGAGGACAGGATAGGATGGGGGTGGGATTAAAGAGGAAGACGGGATTAGAAGGAGTTTTCGTCGTTAGATGGGACTGGACGAGATCTGTTAAGGCAATTTTGGGGTGCAATTGGACTTGGATAGTTACATGCAAGGTGAAGTTGGAAAGCTTCAATTCACTGGTGAGCTTTTTGGCTTGGCTTCCATTGGCTCCCTAGTTTTCCCCACACTCTGGGCCAGCAACACAGAACGAAATAAATACGAATGCATCTCACGCGTTGATACTGCTCATACTGTGGGAGGAGCTTTTATTTTCAACTCTTATTATCGCATTTAACCCACTCCTAAAGAGTGAAGACGACGTGATGGCATTTCCTGGCACGGAAGGGATGAATCATTGTATGAATGTTGAAGCACGAGGTCATTTGCATTTCCATATTCTACAGATGCCAATCCCATACATCAAGAAAATCAAAGAAAATCCAATGCCGCCTTGGAGGCAGGTCAAATCCGCCTCGTCATCAAATGGACAGCGCATATCCAGGAAAATCCTCTCGATCTTCCTCTTAGATTTCCAAATCACCCATCCAACACAATTGTCCCCAGGGGTTCTTTCCATGCGGACAAGGTGACGGCATGGTTTCCTAATCCACTCAAGAGATGCTCTGCCACTCACGACGCCAAAACCCCATCGCCTCCACCAGGCGATGTCCAAGGTCCAAAATATTGCCCAACCAGTAAGGGAAGGTGGGCGAGCCGAATGTATATTCATCGTTAAGGAGCGTTAGGGAAATGAAGGATTCCCAGAATCCTCCAAAAGGAGCGAATCGACAAGAGGGAGAGACATGGACCATTTGTTTCGGAACGATGCGACTGCGAAAACGCCAGTGGAACGCTAAAGGAGAAAGGGGGCGTGGCCGGGATCTATGGGGCGGGAAAAATGAACGCGGCCAACGTGCGGATTGGACCGTGAAGGGTCGAAAGGGTATCGCAGACCATTCGATCCAACCAAGAGGAGGCAACATGCTGGCCGGAGACCATGATTAATTGTCGCTGAAAGGAAACAAGGGATAGCCCAGAACCGATGAGGAATACCGAGTTCTGGACGCAGCGAGCAAGACATCAAGGACGATGGTCATTGCTGAGCTGACTGCCGTGTCTACCGTCCGTCGTCGGGGTTCGTCACTTTCAGGATCCTTCGGCTGTAGTCTTGATTGTCCGCAATGCTTCCGTCGCTCATCCTGCGATGCATCACCGCTTCCGGATCCAGCCTCGAATCACCGGAGCTGCCACTCTGGCTGCCGTGGGAGCGTCCATTTTTCACGAAATCGCTGACAGCGGCTTGTCGCTTATGTTCTTCCTCGAGTTCCCTCCTCCTACGTTGACGGAGGAAGAAGAATACGCCGCCGATGATACCAGCGATGGCCAAGACACCGACCACGACGCCCACGGCGATCCCGACCTTGGAAGGAGAACTTCCTTTGGATTTTTCGGGGTCCGCCGTCGGCTCTTGAGTGACAACGACGGTGGAACCACCCACGGTGATGACCCCGGTACTAGATCCGGGTCGACGAGAGGCGGCAGGATCACCTGGATTGTTCGCATCGAAATGAGCGATTTGGTTCTTGGTGATACCCGTGAGGTAGACACTCCAGTAGCCGTTACCACCACCTACGAATCTCGATTAGCGTTCTATCCCAATTACGATAAGGAAAACTGGATGGGATGAGACGGTTGACTCGTCTACTTACACATATCATCTGGGAAGCCGTTGCAGGGAGTGTTGCAACTCGTGTTGTCCGTCTTCGCGTCTTCCTGTGGTAGCAGATCTCCACACCAACAGTTCGAACCATCGCTGAGAGCCATAACTGGCTTATTGAACTGATAGCAGATGGGCTGACAGTTGCCGCTAGTTTGGAAAGTGTAGGGGCCATGATCGGTCAAGGGCTCTGGCGTCGCATAACAGCCATCCATGGTAAGAGCTTGCATTTTAACGGTCGTTGAGGCTGTTTCCACCTTTTGTGCGGATGCAACAGTCAGAAGGGAAAGAAATACGAAGGCCGCCATGCCGACTCGCTGTCTTGATGACGATGACATGTTGGATGCTAGTTGTGGGAGTCTCGTATGTTCTGGGAGGGATGTCGAGTAAAATGGGGGAGTCAGGTAGAGCGGAAATGCACTACAGGCACGGTGGTTGATCCAGCTTGGACAACTTGGCCAGTCAACTGATGAACCATCCATGATTAGCATGCTGTGTAGTGGCAGTGGAAGCTTTGGGACAAGGAGATGGAGCGATATACCTTTTGTACTTGGACTCAATCCACTGCGACCTTACACGGCGAGACCAGCGATCCGATCCCTCGCTACCGTGGTATTCTTTGAAAAGAGGGCCACGGAGTCGATCGGGCCTTTCCTAGACAAATGTCGACGTCGAAATATTCAACGACCCGTAGTCGTGAAAAGGATATCGACAGCTTGAATCGGTGGCTGTCGTATAGTCAGGGTCAACGAAGTCTGGTTCGGTCGACCAAACTTTGTGTGGCTGGCGCAGAGGTGCTCGTGGGTATCGAGGGAAGTCTGGGAAGTCCGGCAGTAGGCGACCAGCGACGGACGAGATGGGTATCTGAGGACGTCGACGACTGTCTAACTTGACCTATTCCTTTTCGGAAACAGGAGGAGACGATGAGAAGTCGAGATGAAGTCGAGATGGATTCCGTTGAAGTGGACCGTGGAAGAGACTGGAAATGGAATGCAATTCAGCCGACGTGGTGTTTCAGAGGTCCGGGTGGTGTTAGGGCCAAACGAGATTGACCCCTTTCTCGACCAAGGGCCCAACCCGAACGATGGAGATTCGACAACGACACTAGGGATGGATTCTCGAGGGAGATGGATAAAAATGAATGACGGATGCACGATAACGAGCGTCTGGATGGAAATATGGAAGAGAGGGAATGGTAGAATGAGGAGTCGGTGGTGTGGAAGAGGTGGAAATGACGCAGGATAGCGAGAGATGGATAGGCACTGGAAGGAAGCGGAGAGAGGAGGCGTGACAGTGACTTGTGCGTGTGTCTCGGCGTCTCGGTGTCTTTGGTGAGGAGTTGGACGGGAACAGACTGGGACAGGGGTACTGTCAGACTTAGAGACTGGCGGCGAGGAATTGGCAATTAGGGGAATTGGGGGGGAATTGGGGGGAATTGAGGCCAAGATTGCAAGGAACCGCAGGGAGACCAAGGCACTTTCCTTGTTTGATTCCTTCGACGCGGCATGCCAGGCACGGTTAAGTCCAGATGCCAAGGGAAATGGCCTATCACGCCAATCAGATCCCAATAAAAAGTGGGGAGAGCACTGGCGCTTGCAAGGGGAGAGGCAGTGAAATGTGAATGGACGTCGGAAGGCAGGTGATGATGCCAATCCATACCAACAATCAATACGACGGATGGTACATTATTGTATCCCTCGCGGTTTGATGATTGGACAAAAAGAACAATACTAACTCAGGAACGTCAAGTGTGTGAGGTTCTCTGTACGCATAATGTAACAGCATTAAGGGCATAAGGCATAAGCATCATTCTGTGAGGGCCGCGGGGGTAGATATCACTTGTACCAGAACTCTCCGCTGGGACAGGGGGCCGCGGAGATGAAGTCTGCGTGGGTGCAATTTATCCGTGCCACACTCACTGCCACACTGTGTGTGTCTGTACCCAGTAAATAACACTCAGTAAAAAATACTAAACAGACGATCCGTCAGAAGATTTCCTTAATACTGTCCAGTGTCCACTGTACGGAGTTACAGGTGTAAACTGGGCCACTGGGGTAATCAGATGATGAGAGTTGAGTCCGGCCGAGGCGCTGGTCGCGGGATAGTGGATGATCGCACTCCTCAACCATGAAACGGTTAAATATTAGCATCAATTCAACTGCTTCTCCAATCATCTGGATCTGATCATCAACCCCATCGTTTCAATTATTATCATTGTTTTTCTGTTCGCCCTGTCCGTTACGGACAGAAGAACCTTGAGCACCCATTTCACCCCGCCACAGCGTCTCGACCATTCATGATCCAATCCAACCAGAACTTTTGAGTTAGGACTCCATCTCACCCCGTTGGACAGTCTAACTGTTTCGAACCGTTTCTTGCGGACTCCGGACTTTGCCTGTCCTGTAAATAGAATACCAGGCTGACTGATATTACACAACATCACAAGCAAAGGTAATGGTTACACTTTATAAAGTTCTCTGGCAGCCCTATTCGTTGCATGCGCCTCTTGAAATCTGAATCCGTGGAAAGCGGCAGCAGGAGAAACCCATCAAATCTCCAATGGTTTCGGGCTTCGCAGACTTCGCTACATCCGTATCCCTTGGAGCCAAACCCGAGGCGCCATAGCTCGTAAATGTACGTATCCTGAGTCCCAGAATGAAGTCCATGCCCCAGTGACCGGGAAGTTGAGCCATGGCTTTTACGAATGGGCTCCAAAATCCAGATCTAGACTCTATGAGTTGCTCCGCGGGAAAAGCAATATTATTTACGGGGCCCCCAGCAGATATTCAGCTGGCTTGAACCACAGGCAAAACCGGACGCCCTGGAGCTTAGAGGACGGAAGGTAGGCCAATTTGTCCTGTGATGGCCATGAAGCACGTTTCATCGCCTCCAAGCCAGACTTCTGAAACTCGCGGCACAAGTGCTTGTCCCTTCTCGGCTTTGTCCCATCAGATCTTTTCACAATTCACATCTTGACGTACCCCAAGGCCCAGAGTCCAGGGACATCTGCTCCAAACACCCCATATCACTCAGACCAGCTTCACCCCTGAATTTAATACTGCGGTTGCTGTGCTTTGTTGAGTTTATACAAACTGCAACGACACAGCCTCAAATTTGTCCTAATCCAGTTAGCCATATCCTCTATCCACTAATTGGTTATTGGATAATATTATTTATTACACAGTTGTGCCCTATTTCTGCTTCACATAAACAAAGGACCGACGCTCATTGACGGTCGACCCACAGAAGCCGCTCTGCCCTCAAAGACATCGTTATTCGTTCCTGAGCGACCGTATCACCACCTGGCAAAAGCAGATCAGGCTAGTACCAATTCGGTCAACATCGTCCGCGATCAGCCGGTCAAACGCAAGGAGTCGGTGGCGTCGGTGCTGCACCAATACGGAGTACTGCTGCGGTCTGGTGGAGGCCAGGAGAGTTTTCATGTGGATCGATAGAGCGAGAATGTTGAGAGGATCCATAATCCAGATTCCAGGCTCTCAAATAGAATGCGGTTTTGGTCCGGGCGTGGCCTGGGTGGCATTCTGGAATCCAGAGTCCATGCAGGAACCGTCAAATCACCAATGCACCAGCTCAACGGGTCGGGTTATCACGACGTTCATTCGAGAGGCACAAAGGGGCGGAAGAGGCGTTCCTTTCTGGGTGAATAAATAGATTTTAATCATTTTACTTCTCAACCGTTTCTATGGGTGGAGACACGTGTAAAAGGAAAGCGGGACCCATCCTCCACCTTCAGTTGGATCTGATGAGTCGGACCAGAAAATCAGATGTTGCGTATCTGCATGCTCACTGCTCACTGCTGACTGCTGGGAATGGGATTATGGGGTCTTCTATTTCTGATCTGGGTGAGCTGCTGGCCACGCATCGTGGAATCGGACATGTGGCAATTGGTGCTAGGCAGATGATTTCAAACTGACCACCAAAGCATCTGGGGGATTGATACGTTTGTCAATGAGGTTTTGAAGGCATCTGATGTTTTTACATTGTGTTCCTCATGTTGGATGGCAGAGCCATTTGCGCGGTACTACAGAAACTCGACCATGGCGAGGATGAATCGGTAGGGCATTCTCGAGTCTCGAGACCACCTTATTTTCACCCTTTCCATGTCCCACTGATACCATCTGGGTTCATTCTCCTCCCCTTCCCCCTTGGGGCATCCAATCCCTTCCTGAATGGATTCATCGCCTTCTTCCCACTCTGTTCCGGCTGCCCTGCCGGATGCAGCACGCTCGGCGCACTTGCATAGTCAAACGGCTCGGGAGCCGTCTCCACCGCCTCCCCATCCCCCGCCGGCTCGACGTCACTCCTGCGTTGCTTCTCCGCCTTCTTCTGCCTCTTCCGCTCGCGCTTCCGCCCCTTCTCCGCCGCCCGCATCTCGCCGCGGAACCGTCGCCCCGCATCGCTGTCGTCCGTGTCGGTGACATGCACCTCCTCGATCCCGTCGACGAAGGCGTCCGGGGCGGGCGCAGGGCCGCCGGATTCGGGGAGCGCGGGATCGGAGGAGATCGCCTCGCTCTTGCGCTTCTTGCCGGCTTTGTGCATGCCCAGTTGCTTGATGACGAAGATGTCGTCGGCCTTGGCTTCAGGGCGGGAAGAGGCGGGAACGAACGAATGCGCGGGAGGTTCGGCTGGCTGGGAGGGTCCTTCGAGCTGATCGAAGTCTGAGAACACTTCCGCAGTGAGAGGTGGAAGCGGTAGGGACAAGGACACGTTGTGAGATAACTGGTCGCGTTTCTGGTGGCCTTTGACGCCCATTGGAGTTGGTATCTGGCCCAAAGACCCGCCCCAAAATCGTGACATCAACCCGCGTAACGAGTCGGCGGCCCATGTAGCAGGATTGAACTTTTGTAGTGCTGGATCGGGAACCGTCGTCGCTGTAGTCGTCGCGTCCGAAGGGGTCGTTCCGTTCGCCACTCCATTCCGAATCTCTCGAAGCGTCTCCGCCGTCGACGGGCCTCTAGCGAATTTCGACGCCATGTCCCTCTCGAATTTCTTAGGTAGCAGTCCCTCCATCTTCTTCAACACCTCCACCATCTCCGGCCCATTCTTGCCCTGCTCCTTCGCCACCCGCACCACCTCCACGAGCTCATCCCCCCTCTGTCTCATCACGGGGCTAACCGTCCCGATCATCTTCCACAGCTGCTGCTTCGTCGTTGGCATCGCCCGCGCAATGCTGAACAACCCATGATTCGCCAGCACCCAATTCGTGCTCTCGTCCTCCTCGCGCGCCACGCGGTCGCGCCATGCGTGCACGCGGCGGAACACGCTGAACTGCTGCCGGTCGAGGAGCGCAGGCGTGCGCGCGATGAGCTTGAACCACCCCACGGTGCCGAGGCCGGTGGCCGGGTCGGCGGACGGATATTCGTACCGGTTGAGGGCGGTGGCCTTGGATTTCTCCAGGACCCCGTGCATGTGCTCTGACGCGAACGGGGGGTCGCTGTCGCGCGCGACGAGCTCATTACGGATGTGGTCGAAGATGTAGAGAAGGAAATGCGTGTCGGAGCGGGCGTAGTCGAACATTTCGGTGGGCAGCGGCCGGATTCGCCAGTCGGCCATCTGATATTGTTTCTGTGCGTTAAAGTTGACGAACTTTTGCAGCAGGAAGGCCAGACTGCCTCCTGCGTATCCAAGGACCCGGCTTGCGTGGTGGGTGTCGAAGAGCCCTACAAGATAGAGTCCTAAATCCCTCTGCAGCCACACCACGTCCATGTAGGCACCGTGCAGGACCTTCAAGATCTTGGGGTCCGTAAACACCTCGTTCAGCACTTGTAGCTTCCTTCTCCATGGTTTCAGCGTATCCACAACCCAGTCCTTGTCCCTCGTGCTGATTTGCATCAGCGATACCAATCCGATGTACGTCCTGGCATCGTGATGCTCCAAGTCAATGGCAATCTCCTTTGCCTGCTTCAGTTCTTGGAGCATCTCATCTACTGCTTCCGGAGTATCCACAAACGTCGCCGTGGTGCTTTCGAACGGATGGTACGGTTGCGGGTCGGTGTTTTGGTAAACCCATTCCGGGTAGTCGTATTGCTCGATCTCCGTTTGGTAGGGATGCTGGTACTGCTCCAGGCCGTCATCGTTGGCGACAGTGACGAGACTTTGGTCAAGCGGCACAACCGCGTGTGGCTTGGTGTGCAGCAATGGCTTCCACGGGGCAGTCTCGTCGTTGGTTGGTGCGGCCTCGAAGAGCTCCTGTGGCTTCGTGATATCCTGCAAGCGGTAGGTGTTGCGTGTCTGAGTTTTGCCCTTGGGCGGTGCCGGCGACTGAGATTCCGGATCCATCCTCTTGACGACGCCGGAAAATTCATCCAGCGTGGAGTCCGCCTTCTCGAGCAGGCCATCGAGCACGTCCACCACCCCTCTCCAGTTCCGGTCGATCACGTCCACAGCTTCGGCATCCTCCTCCTCACCGCTCCCTAGTATTCCCGCGCCTTTTTTCCCTGACCCTTGCCCAGACGGCTCAGCTGGTGCTGCATCGCCTTGAGCAACCCGGATGAGGCGTTCGCCGAGCGATCGCAACCGCGCATTTTGCGAGGTGAGCGCGCGCCCGAAAGAGGGATCGAGACTTCGCTGAAAGGGGATATCGGTGGCAGCAAGGGTGCCGCTGGTGCGTGTGACGGAGAGAAGAGCGGATTGAATGGAGGGCTGGAGAGTCGCAAAGTCGGGCGGGATATCGGACATGGCGTTGGTTATTGCGTGATGGGATTTCGGGTCATTTCGTGGGCAAGAGGAAATGTGACGCCGATATGCAGTCGTATGTAACGGAATACTTGGATATCGAGAGTTTTCTCGTCGCTGTAGTTATTACTGTAGTGATAGACGCGAGTAAAGCTGGTTGGGGTTATAAGATCAGCGGGTAAGGGAGGAAATCTGCAAGTTTTATGATTGATGTTGAGTTTTGCCGTCTTATCGATAAGAATTGGAGTGGAAACATTCGACCCTCCAAGTTCCACCACCAACGTCAACTCAAGCACTCAACATCTCATCTCGACCGTGTAAGCTAAGTCTGCCACCCGCATTCGCGCCATGTCCGCATCTCTGGCTCCCGAATGCAATGAGATCAAGGAGTAAGAATTATTTTTACCACAATGCCCTGAGGCGTGCCAGCCGTGATCTAACCCAGTCTCCAGGCGATATGACAATTGCTTTCTGAAATGGTACACCGAGAGTACGTCCACGCTTCACATCTACCTCTTCCGTGGTTTTCTTTAGAGGATAGCAATATGCATAGAATACACCTAATGGATTCGTTTTTAGAATTCCTTCGAGGCACCGCGACCACCGATGAGTGCGCGCCACTTTTCCAGGAATACCGGAAGTGTCTCGGCGTACGTTGCCTCCATCGCTCCGGATGCGCCGCGTTCAATACTTACCGATTTAATGAATACAGGTGGCGCTCAAGGAGCGGGGACTGGATATCACGATTGAGGAGGCGAGAGGGGACAACAAGGAGAACGACGACCAGCACATGAGACGGAGTTGACATCCCACTCCATCGGTCCCGGCGCAGCACGGTAGAGGGTTAGTAGCATTATTGGGCGTTTCTGGCTACGGGTCCTGGAATCTAGATAGGAAAAAGCTTCTCCTCCATACTTTGACAACTCGACAGTTCATTCGAACGATTGGATTCCCATCTGCTCAAACCACTCTGCTTATAATATACATGCACACTGCCGGTGTCCCGAAGACGCATCGCTCTAACCTGACGAGACGCGTCCGAAAGCCAATTGGCATCAAATCAAACCCTCCTATTAGCCATACCCCAATGAAACGCCTCCAATTACCGAATCGCCGTGCAAGGCGTCATGACCTCAAGCCCGCGAACGAAGGCGTTGAGTTCACGCCGACACACTGCCGAAGCTTGCCGGAACCCCCTAGAAAAATGTCCTTGGTAAGACGGGTATCTCAACATCCCAAAGAAAGGAAATCCAGCGTATCGGTGCAAGCCGTGAACGCCATTCGTGTCTATTAATGTCGTGTAAACTGCCCGGTCCCAAGCACGCCGGCTTCGTGCGAACCCGTTCCAGCCTCGTAGTCGTATCGTCATCGCCCCTCAAACTCCTTGATCAGCTCACTCAGAATCAAGCAGAACTGCGCATGCAGGTCTACGAAAAAGTTGGGATTCCCCACGATTTCCGCCAGGCATTTGCTCCGGCCCGCATCTCTTGGATCTCTCGACCCGCGCGGGTGACCGTCCGGATCGACCATTTTCGCGGAAAGGAAGGATGAGACCGGCGTGAAATTGCGTGTTGCTGCGGCGACGGTAGCCGCCGTGCTCGAAGGCGCGGAACTCCCACCGGCCGTAGGCTGTCTAGATGCTTCGGACGCGGCATTAGGCCTGGAAGCGCCGTTCGCCGTGTGCTTCAGCAAATCCGACCTGTTTGCATTCGCTTTCGCAGACGCCAATTCCACTTTCTGGCTCTCCTTCTCCAGCACCCTATCGGTCATGGCGATGATCTTGCTCGCGATGTTCTCGAACATGCGCACGAGCTCCACATAGACCTTGGTGACCTTCCAGCTATCCTTCACCCCCAAGCCTAGCAACGCATAGGTTCGATACCGTCCACGGGCGCGTGGATCCCGCAGCTTGAACACGTAGGCGATGGCGTACCCGGCGATCGGGTCCCCGAAGAGGATCGGGCCGGATGGAGAGCCGCGCGGAAGATTCTCGGTCGAGAGGGAGCGGATGCATGTGCGGCGGAGGAGCGAATAGCTGGCGGCGGTGGACGGCTGGCGCGTCGTGATGTACGTGAGCGTGTGGGTATGCATAGGATACGGGCTCGAGGTCTTCGGAAGATTCAGCGGAGACGAGGCCATGGAACTATTAGCGCTCGGTGGAGACGGTGTCAGCTTCCCTGAGTAGACAGAGGCGAGCTGAGGATGGATATGGGCATTCTTCGCCTGCAAGCTGCGGTTGACGGGCGCCCGGACGGTGGTATCGTCGTCGTCATCATCGGAGGAGCGGAACTGTATGTCCCCGACTTGAATTCTCTGCTTCGTACGCAAGATGGGTGCGCCATGGCGACCCTTGCCGTCTTTCGTCGGGCTCCCAGGAGCACCGTCCGGGAGACGCTGGCTCATGTCTTTGGAAACGAGGAACGTGCAATTCTCGCATTCATCGCAGTCATCCGCGGGATTTCCCAGTTGGCCGTAGCCAAGATGCCCTCCTGGAACACCGAAGTAGGGATCCTGCGAACCACTTCCGGCCCATCGAGGGCTGGTCGGTGGGGTCTGAAGAGGAGAATCGAGGGAAGGATTTGGATCGGGTCTCGCAGAGGTGGGCTCCTCGCCGGAGCTGTTCTGAGTCGAGAAGGACGACGACTTGGAAAGTTTTCCAGAAGAAGGAGTCCGACAAGGGTGGGAGGCGTTGCAGGAGACTTTGTCAACCTGGGTACAGAGGATGGATGTGGGACCGTGAACCTCGCAGAAATGTGCGAGGGAGAGCTGATGGAAGGCACATTGTTAGTAATTGCTTCGATTTGGCTCCCATTGCCGTACAGGACAGAGTGAAGTGACGTCGGAGTGGGCAGCGTCAGGTAAGGCGTCAAGGAGCCGGTGTAAGGATTCCGGAGTCTGTGGGTAATTGGAGCGCTTACAATGAATTCCATGATGACACCTTCCCTAATAACGGACTTTCTCTACCCTCTCGCACCCATGCCAGCCACAACGGCCATGACCGACAACTTTCTACTTGCGAAGTGGTGGTGGGTGTGGTGGGTATGTGTGGTAGGCGTGGTGTGGTGTTTGCGACAGTGGTGGTGGTGTTGTGGAAGCCCAGCTACATAAGGCGAACCCGGGAGCGTGGGTCTGGAGGGGTGGAGCGATCCCAGACAGGGAATCGAGACGAGGCGAAGTGGAGCGTGGCGAAGGTGTCGAGGAGTGCGACAAGCACGGAGGAGGAAGGTGAAAGTGAAAGAGGAAGTTGGAATGGAGAATTTCGCGGATTTCGTAAGACAAGTTTGCAGGAGCCGAAGACAGGAAATAGGAGCAGTATGGAACTGGGTATCGTCGGATTTCGGAAGGAGAAATGTTGGGTTGTTAGACGATGGATGGGCAGGATGCTGGTCGGGATCTGGTCGGGATGCTGGTCAGCTAGCGGAACTACGGAAGGGATGTGGATTGTGAATAAATGGATTACTGGTTTCCAATGCATGTTACGTACTGGGACGGTGGCGGTCAGATTCTTGATTGCTGCTTCTTGCTGGTCAAATGGTCGGACTCAAGGTCGCAGTCGAAGGTGGCAGTCCGATTCGGAATTGAACCGGGCGCCGGGAATGATCCTCCGTAAGAAGTGAGCTGGAGGATAAAGGAAACTGAGGGGAGAATCGGGATGAGAGTGAGGAGGCTCAGGAGGGGGGGTATGAATACTCGAGTTGAAAGGGAAGTAAATGCGGTGAGGGCAAGGAGGGATAGAATTGGTGAAAACAATGATGATGATATTATTAAGGTATGATTGAATTGACTTGACTACTGTAGGAGGTACACAAGCCGATCAGATGTAATAACATTCCAAGCCTCAGTTTAGCAGTTTGGCACTCTACTTATCACCAGAGTAATTTCTGAAGTAAATGCTACTAGTTCCTAACTGCGTTGCTGGTAACTATTGGTGTGTCGTCTAATAATGCAGAGTATGAATGCAAGTGGAGGCAGGGAGGGCCATTACTATCCCAGTCTTCGATCACAGGCACAGCAAATATGAATGAATCAATCAGAGGAATTATACCAGTACCTTAACCACGGTACACGTACACAGCAACTACAGGTGCTAGTGCTTCCATAGCAATTCGCAGGAGTAATCCCCGGTTGGTCGGCATGTATATCCGGTACGGAATATTACATATGGGGGTTTCGATAATTCTAAGGAAGGAAGGAAGGAAGGAAGGAAGGAAGGAAGGAAGGAAGGAACAGGTCGGTAGGGTAGTGTGTTGTAAGGCATAGTAGGGCAAGACGCTGCAAACGGCCCTGCCGCATTCCCCTCACCGCTTATTTTGTACTGTTTCTATTGGTCCGCCCTCATCATTGAAGTTAGATAGTCCAGACTCCAGAGTTCCAGAACTTGTATTCCATAACATACTTCGTTTTCAGTATTTATAGTTCAATAAATTTACTCCATCTCATATACCTCCAGCTATCAAATCCATTCATGTATGTGTGGTTGTATTCTATATCATGTTTCATCCTCCTTGTCACACAATGAGCCCTACAACCGCCACGTCTTTGGTCGGTTCAATTCATAACTGTACCCACTACACTAGTTACCTATTTCCAATAGATATTATTCCCTCCACAGAGGCAGAGGTATTTCTCAGCCCAATATCAGTCCGACAATAATTATTCTGGCTCAGAAGGAGTCTGGAGCCTCCCATCTCCCATATTAGATATTACATATGGAGTAACAACAGGTACCTAGTTCCTGGTATCTGATGAAGTGATGATGGGTGACGCATGCAGTCCGATTGTGGAACCCCGGCTGTCTTTATTCCCGGGCGCCGTTTGCTGTCGCGTGTCAAATTACTCCGCCGAACTTCATCGGTCCCGCAGTCACTCAGTCCCTCTTTACTTTGACCTCCCTGTTTTACGTACGTCGAAGCACCACTGTCCACTGGCAGCTCTTACATTTGTAAATACGGCAACAATCGGCTCCATCCGGCGGAAAAGTGTGAATGAGTTAATCTGCTTGAGACTCAACAGTGAACCCCTGCCCTTGGAGCTAACTCCAGCGTCGGTGCAATATTCCCCACATACACACCGGTTTGCCAATTGCGATGTGCTCGACAAATAAGTCGCGTGGTGTGTCGGAAATCTAGAAAACGCTCCCGATTCATGTCCATATTCACCCGAACATTCCATGCTCTCCATGCATTCGCTTGCTCACCATCGTGAGAAACCGCTTACTCGCCCCTGCGGCCTACATGGCTGCATCTCGTGTACCCAGTCCCGATCCATCATGATTCCTGTCCCATTCGTCCACCAGCAGCCGACGTCTCGTTCCGTGAAGCCGCGTTGCGTATCCTTCCGTGTTCACCATCGCGAATCCGTCAAGACAAACAGCGAAGACGTCGGTTCCGGTGGCCGAGGTCCAACCCGATCCTACCGTGCGGCGCCGAGCGGATTGATTGATCAGATATTGCCCAGGGTGGACGAGTTTGAGTCAGGAAGCTATAATCCGAGGATTTGGTCTTGGAATGGCGTGTCCCCAGTAGAACGGCGGATCGCAGATGGTGTGGAGACTCACTGGAGAGACTCACGTTTTTGGATCAATTTGTGAACTGGAAGTTTGGCTGCGGTGTGAGTGGCCAGTAGATAGATTATTAAGTTAATTGGATTTACAAATGCGGACTGCGAACGGTACCACATGATATGCATAGAATGAAAGACAATTGAAGTCGAGTTAGAGCGTACTTCTCTTGGATGCATTAGTTTACTGATATTTAACATTACAAGTTCTTCAGCAGATTCCGCCACCATGGCCCTCCGACATCCGGCTTTGCCGTCTCAGGTCTTATATCCTTTGTATCAAGATCCTTCCTCCTCCCGGAATCCAAATCAACCTCATGCGAGCGCCAGAAGCGAGTCTTATAGATCAGCTTAAAGGAAATCCAGATCAGCGGGAATAGCGGCAGAAGAATGTATGCGTCGACAAAATTGCCGGCGTCGAACGGTGTCAAGGTCGTCCATCCCTGGATAAGAGCGAGGAAGATGTTGGCAAAGAGGCCAAAGTAGGCATTCCATGGATACCAGAGAGACCTGTACGGAAGCTGTTCTGGCGTCCGTCCCTGAGCGGCCCATGCTTGACGGAAGCGGATGTGGATGAAAGAGATCGAACCCCAGACCAGGAACGTCGACACGCCGGACAAGTTGACGATGTACCCGTATGCCTTGCCTGCTCCCGTGCTGACATTCATCATGGAGATCGCGCCGAACAGATTCGTCACGACGATTGCCGCCACAGGCACGCCGCGCTTGTTCGTCATGCCGAGGAACTTGGGCGCCTTGCCTTCCTGTCCCATGAACAGCAGCGTCCGCGAGGCGATGTAAATGGATCCGTTCACCGCGGACAGGCAGGTGATGAAGATAAAACTGTTGACCAGGTGCACGCCGCCCTCCCAGCCGGCGTTCTGAATCGCGACGGTCATCGGCGATCGCAGCGCGCGCGACTTTCCGTTCACCAGACCATCGGCATCGGAGGGGCAGGTCAGCCCGAAGAAGATAGCGGAGCCCATGTACACGAAGATGATGCGCCAGAACACCTGCTTGATCGCGCGGGGGATGGCGATGCCGGGGTTGCGGGTTTCAGTCGCGGCGACGGAGAGAGACTCGACGCCGGCGTAGAACGTACTGGTGAAGACGAAGACGGTGGCGACGCCGCGGAAGCCGTTGGAAAAGGCGCCCGGATCGTGCCAGTATCGCGCTCCGATGGCCTCGGTCCCTTTGATTCCACCGCCGACGTAGATAATGGAGAACAAGAAGAAAGCGGCGAGGCCGACCAGTTTGAAGAGCGCGAGCCAGAACTCCGCTTCGCCGAAGCTTTCGACACCGAGAAGTTGGAAGCCGAGGAAGAAGACCCAAAAAATGAGGAAGTATCCCCATAACGGCACTTGCGGTCCTGAATGCGGATTAGCATGCGATTAGATATCGGGCCAGGCCAGGCCACTCACCCCAATAGACTAGAACACTACAGATGACATTGTACTCATTCGCCAACACACTCGCCCAAATCAACCAGTAATTGAAGCCAACCGCAACAGCAAATGCCTTGTCCACAAATCGATCCGCGAGCGAGACAAACGCTCCGGCGGTGGGATACAGGGTCGTCAGCTCCCCAAGCGACTGCATGATGCTGAATGCAATGACACCGATGACGCCGAACCCGATGATGAGTGCCGCCGGGCCGCCATTGGAAAGCGCTCCGCCCGCGCCGACTAGCAGTCCCGGTCCGATGATGCCGGCAATGGCCAGCATGCTAATATGCCGTGTCTTGAGCCCGCGCTTGACGCCGCTGTGCGGGTCCAAGACCGCGAAGTCGGAATCATTACTGCCGCTATCATATCCTCCCCCTTCATTGACCAGCTGCTGCGGCAACTTCAAGGTTTCTGCCATGACTCGAAAATTGGCCTATATCCTAAGCTCTTTTGGACGGGTATAGATAACTATAAGCGAACCGATAAGGCCGCCGATCTTCCCCGTTTAAAAAAATACAGGGCCAGTCTGCAAAGCTTGCTCAAGGTCGGTTCGGAGTGCATAAGAGGAAAGTCCGAAGGAGCGGTTCATAAACCCGGAGTCAATATATTTTGAGCGTCAAGTATTTGTATCCTTAGCGGTATCCCACACAAATCGTGCCATGGCGATGGTGCCATTGTAGAGTCGATCAGCGCAATTGCACTAGCGTGGGATTCTGGGGAGATGCATTAAGATGGCGCTGGTGGCTGGACTCTTGCGGAGTGTTGAATTGGTTTGGCGGTCTAAAAGGCCACTGTGGGGTTTTTAGTACGTTCATGTTTGAGTTTATTGGGAATGGAATGGAGATGGGATAGAGGATGAGTGCAGACAGAGTTAATATGTGTCGTCGTTTGAAGGAAGAGGGTTGAGCTGGGGTCCGGCCATTGGACTGTCGAGGAAACGAGCTAGGCGTCACTGTGTGGAATCTAGAAACCCGCTGCCCACTTACAGGTTGAGACTTGAGCCATATTAAACCCTCCATGCAAATGGAATTGTAGACGAGGTTGAACTCTGAAGGCATGATGAAGTTAACGCTGCTTGTTCGGCTCCATCCAATGTCTGTATGGTCCTTTGTCCACCAAATGTAAGCCCCTGTTGATTGATCATGTCTTGCTGGACGAAGAATTTTTTGTCACATCTAACCAACTAATACGCCAAAACCCCAAAACGGGACCTTCTAGGAGACTAGTAGAAGGGCAGAGAGTTAACTAACTAAGTTAAGTTAGTTAGTTAACTAAATACAAGGGAAAACACTAAGCTGTCCGAAATAGGCCTAGCCTAGGGGTAATGTGCAGTGAAAGGAAAGTTAGGGCAGTAGAAACCAACAGGGGCATCTTGCGACACATGACGCTTCCAGCCGGAGCGGAGACTTCTCTACTCTAGCTTCTAACGATAATGAATTCCTCCGCAATCTGATCCCGTTGCGCCCTCAGACCTTCTCGGTAGCGAACGTCGTACACCAGATGTATGCCTGTGCTACATATTGGATCTTCGGCTCCATGTTGTCTAAACAGTGCTTGAGGAATACTTCGCGGAGAAGGCCAGCGGGCTAGAGCAGGAGGGAGAGCTCTCTGCTGCTGAACACTTCCGTTCAGCACTTACATCGGACTCCAAAAAGACCAATTTCTAGCAGAACGCCTACCGGTATCTATTTTTTAAAGAATTTTTTCCATTCTGGTCTACCAGCTATAGAATCTACAATCCGGAAATTTCGGTGGGGGAAACCTCTCCGTGACTAGAAACACTGGAAACATTGGAAACATCGGACAATTACTCGTTAAACTCCGGTTTACATAACGATGTCAACTTCAGGTACACCTAATAATCATAAAACACCAGCGTCCGCACCTCAATGCTCTCCCTCGGCGGATCATTCGCATGCTCCGGATTCACAAATGCCGTGTGCGGAACTCGTCTCGCGCGCCCATCGTCCACAGAATCGAAGCACTTGATCAACGATGGTTCGTCGGGCCGTTGCCCGTACTTGAAGTACCACTCGTGGCTCGGGTTCGCCTTGACGGCGTAAGTCTCGCCCTCGCGGTCGGGGTAGATCAGCTTGACGGGGATGAGGTCGCTGTCGGGCACGGAATGGGCATCGGCGAAGGTGAGCGGATCTCGGGTGATGGTCTTAATCGGGCGCCACACCTGCAGCACGGGAAGGGTGAGTGAACTGCGTCGCTTACTGGGATGGAAGAAGATTTGGGGCGGCTTACATTGATGATCTGGAAGCGCTTCGAGAGAAGCTCTTCGGCTTCATCAGGGAGGTGGTGCCTCACACGGTTCTCGGAGGCGCTATAGGACTGGTCGATGTGAACCCGGCGTGCTGGGCCGCGGAGATCGGGTTGGCCGTCGGTGGCATCGCCGGTTGAGCGGCGAATTGTATGGTCAAAGATGAAAACGCGAGTTGCTCCAGTGCTATCCGAAAAGAGTTAGCGTACGGCATATTTGTTGCTCAAAATAACGCCAACACTCACGCATCCTTCAGAAGTTGCTCGACTTCCGGGTAGTATTCCGCCTTGATCTTCTCATCGTCGAGGAAATCTTTCTCCTTGCTTTCATGCTTCAAGAATTGAAAGCCATGGCTGTCAATGGTGTATTTCTCCTCCTCTCCGGCAACGTCGTGGATGACGAAGTTCTCTGTGGTGTGAGGGCGTAAATAAGTGCTTGGTTTACTGGTGCTCTGGTTTAGAATAAACTTCCTTTCTCATCCTGATTGACCGAGAACTCACCCAACGTAAGTAGGATCTGGGGGAGATCCGTCCTCGTTCTCCTTGTAATAGTATAGCTCCGCAGAAACGTCATGCTTCGCAGGCTTCAAGGTATTCTCCTGAGCAAAAGGTTCTACAACTTGCCCGAGGGCGCTACCCGGAGCGTGTTGGACTGCAGCGGCGGCCATGATTGGATATATTTAGAGATGGTCTTTGTTTTTGTACTTATTCAAAAACAGTCGAGAATGCTGTTCGAAAAAGATTATAATTCTAAGCCTTGTGAAGCTTTAAGATGCCATATATATTCCATCAGCAAAGCTTACTTATGGTAAGCAGCACCACCCATCCATTTGTAATGTGACGTACTCCCCAGCACGCAATGCAATGCAAAAAGCATGACATACATACTACACCCTCTCAGATATCGTTGCTGCCTTGACTGTTCGCACTGAACTCCACCAGTGAAACTATTAGATCATGAGCGTTCAATGGGTAGGAAATATATAGTAATCATTATGCTTTGAAATCAAGTGCGGGGAGTGGGTGATACGGCGCAAACAAGTATTACAGGATTCGTATCTCTAATGCAGATCATTGGATCTATTCAGTTTACCCCAGCCTTGTAGACCGTTTCCCCAACATCACATCATTCATCGTATGCCCCTTGCTCAGTTGTGGGTACCGGCTTGGATCCAATAGGCACCCATACAAGCTTCGTAACCGTCGTTCCATCGCCTAAAGTAGCTACTGTCTCTTCAAGAGTACAGCCGTTCCGGCGTGGTATCCATACCGTCCAAATATACCAATATAAAACGCCAAACAAAAGACTATGGATAAATTAGCCAAGGCTCTGAATATTTCGCAGGAAAACTCACATCGCAGTCCCCACGAAGGCGTAACTAACTGCAGAGAGATGTTGCCTCCAATTCAACCCTTCCCGTGGTATAAAGGGTGCAAATATCACGGAAATCGAGTGCACGATCTGGAACCCGACCGCAGGAAGAAACGCCTTATATGGCCTCCTCAAATCGGGCATTTTGAATCGAAGCCAGATTAAGCCAACGGAGCCAGCTATAGCGAAGAACTGCCCCGGATAACCCTCAACGTCCAGGATAAAGGAATAGATGTTGGTAGCAGGAATGATGATAACCAGGAAGGAAGGGATGTAATGCGTAATTAGAGCACCCATCGGCGCTCCGAAAGGTTTGGAGGAAGATATGAACTGTGAGAAAGGAAGAAATCCCTGTCGTGCTATCTCTTGCACGACTCGAGCCTGGGACATGTCAGGATGCTGTTCAGAATCAGTTCGGAGTCACTTACATGACTAAATGTCACAACCATAACATTTCCCGCCGCCGAGGTTGCTATTGCCAATGGTAGCAGCACCCTTCCAACGTCGGGGCCGAACACTCGTTCAAAAAACAGAGCAGCGATCAATTCCCCAGAATGTTTGATATCCTCAATTGGGACAACCAGAAAGTAGGCAATGTTGACTAGGAGATATAGAAGACACGATGTTATAAGTGCAGCTGTGGCTGCAGATTTAAGAGTTTTGACCGGATTCTTGACCTCGTTGAGAACGTTGTTAACGTTGGAAAGGCCGGTATACGAATAGGAAACCTTGAACATGGCAGTGGAGATGATTCCCCAGTTCCACACCGAACCATCCCAGATAGAGCTGTTATTGATTGTGAGTTGAGAGGCGCTGTTTATATCCTCATTTCTCCGGAAAAGGACCACGAAAAGACTTATAAAGAGCATAAAAATGGCCAGAGCGATTTTGATCCAGCCAAGCACATTTTGAATAAGGATTCCAGTCTTTAGAAAGCAGCTGTGGATGATAACGACAGTAGTGAGCAATCCAAGAGCGAGAACTTTTCCTTCGGCCTGTGACGGTTCTCTTTTGAGAGCATATAAGATGTATTCGCCGAACACAATGCAGTTGGAGGCGGTAAACCCAAGAAGGACGGAGCGAACTGCGATAAGAACAGAAGCCAAGAACCGCGGACGTCGGTAGACGAACTCGAGATAAACTTTGTCCCCTTCATACAGTTAGCATCTTCTCAAGTCAGATAGTACCAAGGAATACTCACCTCCGGACCTTGGCAACATGCACCCATACTCCAAACTAATCGCTAAACCCAACCAAGCTATCAGAGCACCGACTACCCAGAGCAACAACGTGATTCCGAAGCTTCCCACTGACTGCACAATCGCACCGGGAGTTGCGAAGATCCCGCTGCCTATAACACGGGACATGATCAGGATGTATGCACTGCTCCATCCCAGGTTGCGGCCCAGGACCGCCGTCTCTGGAAGGACATCATTCTCCACCGACCGATCAAGAAGGTTGCTCCGGCCGCGTGGTGCCTCCTCTTCGTCGATCGAGGATTTTGATGTGCTGTTGTAGCTGGCGATGTCACTATTCGGGGAATCGACGGGCTGGAGCAGCGGTTCTTGCTCGGCGGTCGGGGACGATGAAGACGACATGTAGAACGGTCGCGAGACGTTGGCGGTGGGGTACGAGCTGAAGGGCATACAAGACTGCGTCCGCTGCACAGAAAGATGTACATGTTGCAAGAAAGGAGAACGAGTAGAAGTAAATCTATCTATCAGCGGAGCGTCCAGCACGAGACATGATGCTCGTGCAGTGATGAATCATCCAGCGAGCATCATAAGACGAAATACAGAGTAGGTAAGCATGTTGGGGTTCTGTTACCGTTAAGCTTAAGGAGCATTCTAGGAAGGGGCTGATCGGTCGCACGGTTCAAAATACCTCATATTGATATATTGTGACGCGGGATGGCGTGCGAATCCGGGGCGGAGGGTGTTACCAGCCACATATCCGCCAGGGGCCTGAGACGAGAAGGGAAGGCGATTGTATCTTGGGAAATGCCAGTTGTCTCTCCAACTTGAAGCTGCCGCAGGTAACTATCAGATCCCTCTGTGCCCCTGATCCACTTCTCGCGCTGCTGTCATTAAATGATAGGGTGGTTGATGTTTGAGGTCGAAAAGAGCACCGCAGGGATATCCCCTTCGCTGGTCGACCTGCAGTAGGTTTTTGTTCTAACCCTATTTGGTTAGACAGCTTCTTGGGACTCTTGAAAGCACCAAATCTCGTGACTTGAGATGGGATGGCTAAACGACGAAGGGGATAGGTATAGCGGAATGCATTACACGCCAGCTCCCATCTGGATCCGCTTCAATCGTAAAAGGCCGGCACTTTAACTGGTACCCCACGAAGGAATGGGCGAAGCACGATGAGAGGATGGTGTGTATGTCGGACAAAATGTGGTACGCGGTCACTCATGAGTTGTGGTAAGGAAGAGTCCCTTGACATTTTAATTAGGGGTCCTTAGCGGCCGAATGACAAGAGAACCCTATCCCCAACGCTCCTATTGAAAGCGTCCCTCGGGACCGCGTTGTTTCGTCCCAGGTGAAATCATGCTAATGTGTAACGTCATAGTCATCGTGATAGTCTCCAGATTCCCCCGTTTCCCGATTGCGCCCTGTCATGAATGGCAGGATACCGAAAACTACGGAAGTGATATCCCAGACGCCGTTTGCCTGGTGATCCTCCGGGTATAGCCGTCTGATTGCGGAAAAACAAAGAAGAAAAGCCACGTCGAAGCTCAAGGGTAATCAATTGCGGCTATCCTTCATGCTCGTCGGAATCTTGGTTGGCCTCGTCGTTCGGTTCCGCCTCGTCCTCCTCATCATCTCCCTCCCCTGAATCGTCGGCGTCCGTGTCGTCCTCGTCATCATCATCGCCGTCATCATCGTCCGCGTCATCATCGTCCTCTTCATCATCGTTCGAGTTATTCAGGACCCCCGGTCGGAAAAGGTCATACCCCAGCAGATCCCGCACAAACTCCCGGGCCGACTGCTGCGCTGCGGTACCCCTGAAATCTACTTGCTCGATGACGCGTTTTCGCAGAAGCAGCTGTAGCGCACATGGCACCCAGATGACATGCAGCGGAGGCACGCCGATCGTCGTGTGCGGAATCTTGCTCACGCCCATCTTGTCCGCGTCCGGACCGAGGACACGTCTCCAATTCCGCTCCCAGCGATGGTCCATGGCGGGATCCAGCCCACCCAGGAACGTCGAGAGTGCCCGGCGCCGCTCTACGTAGGTGCGGGGCAAAAGGATCTGCCGGACGGCGTCGATGCCGCCGAGGATGAGTGTGGTTTCGATTTCTTTGGTGGATGCCGGCCGGCGATTGTATCCAGGGAGGAAACGGTTGAGTAGCTGGTTGAATCGGGGAGGGCGTAGCTTGCGCTCGAATACTTGGAGGATGAAGCCGTACATGTGGTAGCAGTCGAGGAGTTGCTGCTTCTTGTATTGGTCCATGATCGCCAGCTGCTCGTCCCAGACTGTGGTCCCTGGGACCAGCCGAAATTTCTTGTCTGGACTGCTGTTTGCAAAACATCGGTCGAGTACACTTTTGCGGAAGCTTTCGAAGAACTGTCCAAGAATCAGGAGTAACGGTAGCATCTTGGAGTACATATGTCGGTATCGCGGTTCGAACTCCTTGCGCCTTCGAGCATTGTTTCGTTTGAGCACATCGATCGCCACAAAGTCGCACATCTGTTTTGCGAGTTTCCGAACGACGATCTCGCGGTGTCGAAGGTTGAGGAGGTAGTTGAGGTCCGCTTCCATCGGTGCAGGGGCAGGATAGAGCTTAACCTCCAGGTCGGTAAGGATGTTGCGGACATGGTGCCGCACTACGGGTGATTCGCAGGACTTGACTAGTTGATTGAAAGCAGCGGAGCAGCGTCGAAGGGAAAGAATATCGTCGAGAGAAAGGTTCACAAGGATCTGGATGCGCAACTCTTGTGGGAGGGATAGGAGGAGGTCGCCAAGAGTTCTCGGCGTCCTGATCGACAAAGTTAATATAGGGTTCAATCAACACAACAAGGACAAGGCAGCTTGAAGTAGCAACCCGGACGGAATCATTCAACCGAATATACGGCAAAGGGGAAAATAAACAATAGTGTAGGTAGCATACCATGCAGTCACAGTGGTCGATATCATGCTTTTGACACTGTTATGCCTTCCAAGCTTGAACTGGCCCATGGCTTTATCGGCATAAGACACCATGGACTTCGGCCGAACCGATCTCCTCCGCTCCACCACTATCGGCTTGTTCAAGGTGATCCCCTGGCCATGTTCCCCGCTCTCCGAGCCGACGTCGACGGCGGTCCCGGTTGACGTTGCCCCATGCTTCTGGGCGCGGTGCACGTTGCGCAGCTTGTGGACGAGATTAGCACCCGGCATGGTGAGTGACAGTCTGACCAAGGATTATTGTGCGAGACAAAGTGAAGGTTCCAGGTCGGCTGCCAGGTGCGAATTTGGATCAGCTCGAGGTCGATCACGATGCAATGTCCGGAACCACAAAGTGGACCCCGCCCTTCATTTGTTCATGGTGGTGGGCTGGTCGACGAGATGGGTCGCTGGCCTGGATGTGGGGTAAAGGATGATGTATCAACTTAGGTAAAGAAACAAGTGAAGGAGCGAGAAGGTGAGTGAGAGAGGTCGCTAGGTCGAGGTTGTGATAAGGCGCCTCGAAATGTCCGATGAAAGGAGGATTCGCATTCACGGCCTTCACCTGACGTCCAGGCTGGACAGTTCACGCTGCACATCACACAGCATACGGTAGCGGAGAAGTGATGGCGTAGCAAGTGGGTGACACGCAGGAGGCTAGACCATTGGATCTGCACGTGATTAGTGTAAGGCGAAGTAACTGGTATCCGTGGCCCTTGGACCCACATTTCGGTGTGGGTCCAAAGGCCACGGATACAGCTGTACAGGTAACATGCCTCAGGCGATAAGGCAGCCGAGCATCCAGTTGAAATCTGAAAGCAGCGCTCACTGCCCGATAATCACGAACAAAGTCCGAATAGCCCTAGGTACCCTCTCAGGAGTTTCCATTACTTGGGCATGTAAGATGTTGTTGCCTATAGAACTCTCGACATTCGGACATACTGCACCACTGGTAGGTCTAGGAATCCTCAGCCCAGGATGCAGATTCAGTTGCTCAGTCCGTCAGGGGCAAATCACACGAGACAGAATCATTGGTGAAGCTATGTTTGATTTGCAGCGAACAGGGTTTGCACGAAAGTTCCTCTATAAGCCTTATATCATGAAGCTGGCCCACCCAATGGAAACGATCAAGCTTAAGCTTCAATGCCGAATCAAGGGTGGCGCCAACGAGCTGCCAGTTTCGTCTTCGTTGAAGTTCTTTCAATACCACGCCTCACGCCGTCCCGTCACCGCGATACATTGAATCGGATGTCGGCGTATGAAATACAGGAACCGGGGGAGCGGCGGAATTACCGTCGGGGCATGCCGCGTCCGCGCCCTCGGAGCGCTCGCTGTGCAGCACCGGGAGGGAGTCCACGCTGGGGTGCTTGGGGTTGAGCCGACTCTTGGTTCTCTGTAGTACCGGTTAGATGAGAGATACCCCATAAAAGGGAGGATGTACGTACTGATGGTTTCGTCGACGCTGAGGATCAGGCACGAAGCTTCCACCGCCGCCTGGATCGCATTGACCTTGACCAGCGCCGGTTCCCAGACGAATCGCTCGAGGTTGTTGGCGATGCCTTCGTTCACGAAATCCACGCCGGCCCAGGTGTTTCCGCGGCGGTGCTCCACGCGCAGCCGGTTGAGGATGTCAGTGGAGTCGAAACCCGCGTTATCGCACAGCTGGCGAGGGATCACCTCCAGTGCTTTGGCAAAGGCTTTGATGATCGCCTGCTGTTTGTGCGGGACGTTCTTGTCGGCGAAGTCGTGGAGATAGGCCGAGATTTCCATCTGCATATAATCAGAACCATGACATTATTAACCGCACCACATAACATACCTCGCATGCTCCACCACCAGCAACGATGGTCCGGTTCTTGATGGATCGCTTCACAATCATGATGGCGTCGTGAAGACTCCTCTCCACCTCAGCAATGAACTGCTCCGCACCGCCGCGGAGGATGAGTGTGCAAGTCTTGGCTGCGGGACAGCCCTCGAAGAAGTTGTATCGCTCGCCGCCGATCTGTCGCTCTTCGAATCGCTCGCAAGTGCCAAGGTGCTGTTCCTGGACGTCGGAGCATGTCGATTGGATGCTTGCCCCGGTTGCCTGTACAACTCGTTCCATATCATCGGCGGAAACTCGCCCGGCACAGAAGATGTCTCGATCGGCGAAGTACTGCGTGGCCAGATCTCCAATGGGGAGCTTGCTCAATACCACCTTGGCTCCTGTGTTGTGTAGCGCCTCCATCTTATTGAAGATGATCTGCCACTCGGCATCCACCACCGCCTGGTATTCCGAGACATGTTCGACCCGCACTTCGGCGTTGTCCTTCTCCGCTTTCAATTCTAGCTCGACGTTCAAGCAGACGATTTTCGGGTTCGTGAATGACTTCGGTTGCTGCTCGAACCCGGCGTACGAGAAGGTTTTCTTGAACGCAACGCCGTTGACGAACAGCGAGTCCTCCAGCGCACCGCCGGTGATTTTCTTCATGCCAATCAACTTTTCGTTGAGGTCGTTCTGATCCAGCGACAGCACCGCGTCGACCACGATCTTCGTGAAAAAGTCGGCGTTGCGGTGTATTAGCTTGCTGCTCATGGCGGTGGCCGCAAGTTTTCGCAGGATGTCCCGTTGATTGCCTTCGGACGTATTGACGGCGATCTCCTTGATCTTGTTCACGGCCATGGCGGACGCCCGTCTTAGGCCCTTGATGATGGTCTGAGTGCTGACACCTTGCTCCACGGGTTCCCGGATCTCCTTCAACACTTCACCGGCCAACACCACCACCGACGTGGTCCCATCTCCGACCTCCGCATCCTGTGATCGCGCGATGTCGGTCAATATCCGGGCGGCGGGGTGGACGATGTCGAGCAGCTAGCCACACGGTTAGAGTGGGAACTCCGGCGAATTCTCGAATGTGCTCACCTTCATCACCGTGGCGCCATCGTTGGTGATGGTTTGCCTGCCATTCTCATCCACGAGTAATAGATCGCCTCCGTAAGGACCCAAGGTGCTCCGGATCGTGGCCTGGATGGCGAGACATGCGTTGATGTTCGAGATGATTTGACCTCGTCCCTGTGACTGATCGGTACCTGTATATCTTCAGCATGGACACTCGCACCGAGGTCTTTGCTTGGCGAACCTTCTTTGAGGACGATGATGGTCGGTGTCTGGCCACCAAACGACATTTTCCTGGATGTATCAAGGACTCTTCAGGAGATGAGTTTCGGGATAGGATGGGAAATTGTTCTTGGAAGAACCAGGAGCTTATTTTTCTCGGGCCAATACTGAAGCCAATGTCCGCTGGAGAGTAAAGAGCGATAGGTAGTTGGACTGTATAATTTGGGAGCTTCCAGAGGTTACCGCAGTGGACGGGATGTTTTAAAATATACTGGCATCGTAGAGCAACCCGCGTAATGGATCTGAAGTTGTATGGAAATTTCATATCAGGCAGCAAGGCACCAAGGCACCAAGCTATGTAGCAATTAAAGCTTCTCGTAGCTCAAGCTAAGTCAAGGGACAGTCACTGCCACGTGCGTCATGCTAGGCAGTGACACTTGTGGCACAGTGGCAGACACAGCCCACTCCTGACTCCCTGACAGGCAGCAGCCTAACACCTCCACAGCCAGAGCTTCACCACCTGCGTGTCACTATAAACATGCGGCGGGGCTCTTTGATGATAAAGACAAGCTGACTTTATTGAGTTCACTCACTCACTCCCTCCATCTGATCTGGTGTGCCACTCCAGCTCTCTATCACAATCGAGTCTGCTTTGTGCTCCGCAATCCCATTATTACGTACCTATTTTCTAACCTATCTATATCAATCCCAGTGTCTCGAAGAATCCTCCTCCCCAGAACATGCTCGTGAGACTACTAGCCTGAAAGTCGGATGTTCATGAAAGCGGCCTTCTACTCCATGCCGCTGATCATGTTCTACGGCACTTCCTGATCATCATCTGGTTTTCGCCAGATATTCGTATCCTATCGTCCGGTTCTAACTCCTAAGACCGTCTTCGCTGCAGGCAGCAGATCGTTGTACCTTCCCTCAAACCCCCAAAGCTGGCACATACATATCATGGACGGAGTAACGTCAACCAGTCCATTCGAACCATGAACCAAGCAACTGAAATCATGGCGTTCAAGGAATTCATCGACTACGGACTCTCGCGTAGATCCCTGATCCCGAAGCAGCCGTTGGCGAATTCCCTCGCGATCACCCCGAAGCCAGCGTCCGTCCCACCTCCGACCCCGATCGAAGCCCAGAGGGCCGACCCTCCTCTCCTGCGCCTCCCCACGGAGCTGCGTCGGGAAATCCTCCGCTATCTGATCCCGCACCACACGCGGAAGCTCCGATTATACAGCGACATTGACTCGAGCATCATCCATTGGAAATCGAGTCGCGGCTCCCGCGCGGCGTCCGATTCGCGTGCGCTGGCCGTCTTTCGGACGAACCGACTCCTCTATTGGGAATGTCTCTCGGTGCTGTACTCGGAGAACCACTTCCATTTCATCGGGTTCAGCTACCGGCCGATGCTGGAGTTTGTGCGCAAACTGAGTCCGAACACCCAGACGTTGATTCGGCATATGAGGATTACGCGGCTGACCGATGACGAGACGGAGATACGAAGGGACCAGCATGACCTTTTCTGTAGAATGCTTCATGACTTCCTCCCGGGTCTAATATCCCTTCGAGCGGATCCGTGGATATGGATGTAACTGGCACAACTGGCATTATCAAGGATGGTCGTTCGAACTGTTAGATCTGAACGACGTTTAAGAGACCCTTCTACAGGGACGGACCTTAGAATGGGTGACGACTCGGGACGATTCAATAGATATAATTTCCTTGAGAACAGCACTGAGTGCCGGCAAATGCAAAACCCAGTTTATATACCATGGGATGTGGTCACAAATTCCTATGCAATCAATGACAATGACATAGCGATGTTGCGCTCAACATGTTTCGTGTGCATCCAGTAAGAAGCACACAAGCGAGACCGTCCTCAAGCCCATCTCGATGACCAAGAGGACTCTCAGGTAGTCGCAAAAACTGTTCGCGCCGTCTGCTTTATAGCAGAACTAGTCTTGATCTCTCGCGCGTAATACTGAGCGAAGAGGAATGTCCTTGCCTCGTGCTCCACCTTGCCGCGCGATGATTAGGTCACTTGGGTTTCCTATAGAGCTGACAAAAGGGAAGAAATGAAGTAACATCCGGGGTATCATTCAAGTTCGACGCGCCGTCGTCCCGCATCACAGTCAGATGCACGTGCTGTCCACACAGACTCCAAAACCGCCGCAAATCACGCTGCAAATCCCACTCGCCGGCCCGGAGGCGGCTTTTGACCCAATATATCTAGGTACCGATCGATTCCTCCCACATCCAACTCCGAACGATCGAGGAGGGTCTCATCAACCATGTCGTAGTCCTCCTCTTCACTTTCAAGCGTCTCGTTGCCTCGGTGTAGCGCGCTCTGAAAGCTGCTGGGCGACCATACGACGAATTGTCTCGCATCCACCACCAACAGGTCCCGTTGCGAGGCCTCGGTTTGGCCGTCGGACCTCTTGACCGCCGGAAACTGGCCCACGCCTACCAGGGAACTGCCGTCGACCCTCAGATCCACGATTGGCGGAGAGGGAGTCTGTACACTGAGGATGTTTCCCTTCGTCGACCCCTTCGACTTGGCCCGGTTCCAGAACCCGTTGAAACTAGGAATCGCATAGACATGATCACCGTACCACAGCACGACGGACTCGTCATAGCCCATCCCACTCAAAGTCGGGTACTGCGACACGGAGATGCCTCCTCGAGGAAGATGGCGGGTGTCCGAACTTCCGCTACTGAAGAGCGATGTTTGCTTTGTTTTGCGAGTATTCGGCGTCATGGGAGCGAGCGATGGTCGGCCTCCACTGACGAATTGCGGCTTCGAAATCGACGGCGGAGAACCGATATCTTTTGGAATTCGCAAGCGCCCACTCAACGCAAACTCGGATAGCGTCGTCGCCGGTCGTCCGCTACCGTGTATGTCAAGGTCACGGCGCCACACACCCCACTGCCCATCTGGTAGAAGGGCAAAGATCCCCGTTCCATTGAGAACCCATTGCGCGTCGAGGACGTTTTTCCGTTGGACTGATCCCGGTGCGGCTAGCCTGGGAGATCCAGAGGCAGCGTACCGCGTGGAATATGTCATGAGCCAAGCACCGTGTCGCGGTGATGGATTATCGATGTTTTGTTGTCTGTTCCCCGTATCGCGACGCAGCTGCGAGAAGGGGTCGTAGATCCGGACCGAACCTTGTCTTTCCACCACCATCAGATACGAATGTCGCTTGGAAGGGAAGATCGTCGGGCTAAAGAACACCTTGAGCGCTGCACGGGAGAGGTAGAGCCGTTGGAAAGGAGGAGCGGACTCCAAGTCATCATTCTCCGGGTCGATGGGAACGCGGAACAACAGTAAGAGTCCGCTCACTTCGTCCGAGCAGGATGCGAGGAGCAAGTCGAATTGCATCGGTTCCGTTTGCGATTTTCCACCCCGAGGTTCGCCTGCTGGTCGCTCGGTAGCATAGCCATCTTCCTCGACAACATCCGGCCCAATTTCCGATTGGCTTGCCGCGTGATGAATGTCCCGTGAAGTCCATGTCATCGATACCGAGTTCGGCGCCTGCTGATGGCCAAGGGGACCACCCAGGTGTACCACGGAGATTCTTAAAGCAGATTTGCCAGCCAGCAGTTGTTCATCCGTGGGAGGTACAAGTGGGAAGCTGTATATGCGCAAATATGAATCGGAGCACGCCACAGTAACCACCACCTTGCGCTCAAATAGTGAGGGCATGATGCGCAGATCGCGGAGCCCGGAAACAGGAATAGGCGGGAAAGCGATGTCCATCACTTCGGCGCCTACTGATATATCCATCTCTTGCACAACATGTGGATATGGCTCGGAGGGATCCCACTCGGGTTCCTCAGTCTCAAATTCGGCCGGTGGCACCACAACCGCTGGCTCGGGGGAGTTTTCCTCGTCAGAATCCAGTATCATGAATGCATTCTCCGTGGAAGCCCCTAGGCCAGAAGCATCCGATGTGCGGTTGTGGCTGTCGGTCCGCGGTCGTTTGTGAGGTCGGCCACCATGCCAGAGAACCTTGATGCCAGAATCGTGACCGTAGACGATGATATTCGAGCCATTTGGGGATTTGAGTGGATATATCTTGGCCATATGAACACCGTTTGGGGAGGAATAACTGTTACAGCTTTAGCAAATCAAGCTTTACACCTCGAATGGTACTAACCTTGTTGAAGCATTCCGTTCAGAACGAACGAACTGAGCGTGTGTCTTCGCCATGTTAACGAAAGACCGGAACCGACGCTCTTTCTCCGGTGATTTCCTATTAGTTGGACAAGCCTTTATGGCCTCGGACTATAAAACCATGACTGAGATCGATTGCTATGCTGGACATTAAGGCAGTTGATACAAACGTGAAGCTATCAACCTCCAGGTCCTGGAACAACAGTGAGTTCTCGAAAGCCAGCGCCAGTCACGTGAGTTGAATTTCGTCTGGATTCTGCCATTCTGCCTGCCTTCCTGCCTGCCTTTGGACTCTGGACTCTGCCGCTCTGCCCTCTGGCCCCTGGACTCTGAACACTCTGCGACTCTGGCACGTCTGGGTCTCTGGACTCTGCCACTCACTCTGGGCCTCTCGACTCTGTCACCCTGCCCTCTGTCCTCTGGCCTCTGGTTACTGCCTAACTGCCTAACTGCCAACTGCCAACTGGCAACTGGTAGCTTTCACGTGCACGAGCCACGACGCGCTGTCCGCTCTCCCTGCGCGTCAAGGACCACCAGCACTGTATTATTCACCCCACGCAAACTTTGCCTACCAATGCAGTTGTACAAATTCCTTTCTCGGTCCAGCTGATACTTTAGAGAAATATGAAGGCTCCGGGCAATGGCCTCCTTTTTTAATTTGATTTGAACCCAAGAAACAACTGTCACCCCCATGCCTCATCCTGGCTTCGATGGCGTCTGTTTGCTCTTTGGGGGTTCGCACCCCATGTGGACTGCCATATATGGTTGCGGAAGGCATACTCCCAGCTGACCCGGTACCGGAGGACTACCAATGGCTGACCTATAATGAAAATGGCCATGAAGAGCTTGGAGAAGAAGAGATTCTGCATACGGCGAACTGCGTCGTCTATTCGCGAGGAGGGTTTGTTCGCAAAGTCTTCAGTTTTGCCGTGGAGCAGCAGGAGATTCGCCAGGTCTTGCTTACTTGGTTCCCTGTGGAATTGAACGTTACGCAGAATACCCTGGAAAGATGTCCTTCCGTCCAGGAAATGAAAGAGGATGTCCCTTCGCATTCGGCCCCAGAATCTCTCCTCCAGTCTCGACCTGCGAACCAGACTTCCCAAATCGACAGTCCTCGAACGCAAGTCTCGTCTCGATCTCGAGCATTAGTGGTACTTCTCAAGCTACAGGCACACGTCTTCTACCTTTCTGGTCCAAGCCATGTTATCAACTTGCCATTCGAGGTGGACAAGGCGTTTCCTGCACTGAGGGGCCTAATTCTTCAGCGAAGACTCCCAAGGTCTACCGAAGCGGCTACTCCACGGGTTCCCATCGTGCCTCCTAATTCTTTCTTGTCATCCTTCTCTCTCACACAACCACATTCGAGCCCAAGCTTCAGTGACAATCTGCCCCTAGGATCCGCAGCGGCACTCTTGAGCAAATTATCGAAGTCGTCCAGACAACCTACCACCGACGATCTTCCACGGCATTTCACATTGACAGATCCTCTCACAGAAGTCGGTTTGATTGTCTCATCCCCTCATGATCCCCCCGCGTATGGCTTGGCATCTTCTCTCTCCTCGACCCGCAGCAATGCGTTACAGTTCGAGACTTTGGAGAAGTCGGAGAGCATCCTGTACGTCTCGCAAGAAGATGACCTGGGCGACATGAGCCTAGCAGGATCTACTCCGGTGACCTTGGTTGTCACTGCGAATTATGAGCGCCGATCGTTCACGATCTGGTTTGGTAGTTATGTCGAACCCCAAACCACCTCCAAATTGAACTCGAAAGACTCCCCATTAGCTTCGGGAAGTAAATCTCGGCGCCGAAGTTCCCTTGCAACCACGCCAGGCACCGTAACGCCCTCGATGAGGTCACGGGACGGGCGAGAAAGCTTTGGGGCCACGGCGAGGTATAAAGGTGCGGCAGCGTCGTTTCAGCAATCGATGAAACAATTCAAGAATCAGAAGAACCAGAAGGGTAAGCAAAATGAGGAAGAGATTTTGGCTTCGCAATTGGATCCGGATTTCAACCCGGGCCAGCAACCGGTCAGACAGTCTCGCCGAGTGAGTTCACTCCTTTCGAGAACAGATCTCTCCACCAGTTTCGACCGATCGGCTTTCCAAGACATGGCCACAGGACACAGTACCAGCGTCTCAGGCGCCCCTACCACCGGACGGAGAGGACACTCTTTCGGAAACCATCCGGAACGAACCAGTTTCGGTGGCACCGCTCGCTTACGTGCGCGAGCCTCGACCCCGGGCAGCTTTTCACGGCTCAGCATCGGCCCTTCTAATGAAGAAATGTCCGCCGAGACTAACATATTTGACGATAATGACTTTGATGAACCGAATGAGGAAACCAATGATCTTAGAAGGAGCGATTTTGATGTCCTCGGATCGCAAAGCCCGCTGGATGGACTGCTCAAAGAGTTTGTAATGAACAAGTGCAAAGAAGTTGCCATGGATGCTCCTGGGGAGTTTTCGTCCTGGACGAGTTCTGATATTGAGAAGGTAAGTCTAGTTGCCTGGTTATTTTGGAGTCATGCTTATGGGAATGTCAGTTGGAGCCAAAGGTGTTCACTGAGCTCACTTCTCGACCCTCAAGCGGTTCTTCACATTGGTCTTCAAAGGTCCTCGTGCACGTTGTGTACAAAGCCCGAGAAGCGCAGCACATCGAGGTCACAATTGCTCTTTCCAGTTATGAAGCATTGCCCTCATCATCACAAGGCGCTGGGGCAAGCTACCCGCATTCGCTCCGGTTCAAAGCTACCGATTTGCGGTACTTCAAAGAAGGCATCGATGGCTCTCAGTTTCGTGATGGGAACCTTATTCAAGCAATGTCCTTGCTACATGGGGAGAGTGGTCAACAGTGTCTATCTCTGAGGTCACTCTGGACTCCCCTGCCGCCCCTCAAGTTCCCTATTGGCAAAATGCGCATTCACAGTCCATACTCGATTGCCGACAACCCTCTTTCTTCCCCACGGAAGGAAGGTCAGCGGAGATATTTTGATTCGGTCGGGCCTATAGTTAAATTTGGCCAGCGCTCAGGGAACGGTAACATTGATTTGATCGATTCCTCCGGCAGGTGCCACCGAGTTCAGATCCGACTGCGTCTTCAAAGTGCATTCGTCTCCCGTTGCGTCGAAGTCTGCGAATACGTCCTTCCAAAACATGCTTTTGAGTCGTTTCTTCAGATTATATGGCATCAGACTTTACTGTCCGCGGTACATCACAGCGAATGGTCTCGCTTCCTCACCGCGCTCTTCGCAATTGTCTTAGTCTCCGATGACAGGCGAGGTGGGATTCTCTCCCGACCTAGTGGCTCGAGATCCTCAGCTCGACAGGATCTATCTAAAGCACTGACAGACAACTGGGAATCGATGATTCGGGCCGAAGGAGGGGCTGGACAACACGTCCGTCACACGAATCCCTCTTGGAGCTGGAGCGACGACGTTTCCAGAACGACCACAAGTCTCCCCAAGGTCCATAAGAAAGGTTCGCATTCGGCTCCGGACCTTTCGATCGTTTCATGCATTCAAGCCGCACGACAATTCTGGAAATCAGAGTATGGACATTCTGTTGTCAAGTCTCTGAAAGTACATAAACTTGCCATTTCCACCGTTGATGTCTCTCGCATTCTGGTGGCGCTCCATCTATTCCGTGAAGAGACTAAACTGGATATAATCACGGAACATAATGAGGCAGTCGTCTTCGACCTTGCGCCTGCTCTTGCTCAACTTGGGCAGTGGCTTGGGTGGGATCTGTGGAATGGATCAAGAAACGGGTTTTATGACCTTGACAGCGCTCGAGTTGGACAATGTGCCATCGAAATGACTTCGTTCCAGACCCGAATCGATCCTCACCATTCCCTACAGCATCCGCCTTCAATTTTTCAATGGCTTCAACAACCAAACGGAGATCGACGGCCTTTCTTAACTCTGGACTCGGCGATCAAACTTGAGAGGTCGAATAGGTTTCCGTTAACTTACTCCAAATCTTACACAGATAGGTTTCTCTCTCGTGTGACACCCAGAACAATCACCTTGAGGGACTACTTTGACAAGAGCCACCAAGATTCCTCGTCCGCAGATCGGGTCACCTCGATGGTCGCGTGTGGTATAACCGCCCGCATGATGGAATCTTTCCCCGAATCTGTACGCGCTTTCCTGCAAGAAGCGGTTGTCAAATGCCGGGCCGATCCGCCTACCACGTGGAACAGCACACTTCTAAACTTCGTGGGTCGTGAGGATCTTATTCACTTGCTCAACAGAGATACGGACTACGAGAGCCCTCCTCAACCGAGTGGCGGCCTCTCGATCCGTGAGTTTCCGAGTCGAGATTTACGCAGTGTTTGTCAGGGCGCGGATGCACAAGAAATCATGCATTCAAATCCGGAGACAGACAAGTATACAGTCTCTCGATTGATTTTCAACGAAGATCGACGCCTTGCGGAGGCAGCCAAATTGCTGGAGCCGCTTCGCGTACCAGTTGCTGAATGCCATCCTGAGCCGGCATGGACCGAGTCCGAGATTTTAGATGCTCAGAAGGGGGTCGTCCAATGGGTCATGGTTCGAACATTTTCATTGTCCCCTGGACAGGCCATGGTTGGGTTCGATAGCAAATCGCCGCTATTGACCGAGAAGTTCAATATTCATGGTTATAACACGTCGTGCATCATGAGACCAATGAACAACACGGTGAATGCGGACCGAGCGCTGTTCACGGAGGAGAAATACGGATGGGCTTGGTTTCATTCTGGCGTCTCGGCTGGCCTGAGCATTTCAAAGAAAGCAGAAGGGATTGACACCTCCTGGATCGTCTTTAATAAGCCAGCCGATTTGAACAATCGCCACGCGGGGCTTCTTCTCGGTTTGGGCCTAAATGGACATCTCAAGTCCATTGCGAAATGGCTGTCGTTCAAATACTTGACCCCGAAGCATACGATGACCTCAATCGGGCTACTACTTGGCTTGTCTGCTTCCTATATTGGGACCATGGATTCACTAATCACCCGTCTCCTATCGGTTCATATCACGCGGATGCTCCCCCTCGGCGCTGCCGAGCTCAACCTTTCGCATCACACTCAGACAGCAGGCCTCATGGGCATCGGCCTATTGTACTACCAAACACAACACCGTCGAATGAGCGAGGTGATGTTGTCTGAAATCGAGCGGATTGATCAAGAAGAAGGACCGGGCTCACCGGATGACCTTCACGACGAAAGCTACCGACTTGCCGCTGGTTTTGCATTGGGCTTCATCAATCTTGGTAAAGGACGGGATCTTCGGGGTCTCCATGACATGCGCGTCATTGAACGCCTGTTGTCTGTTGCCGTCGGTCCTCGACCAATCGATCTGGTACATGTACTGGACCGAGCTACCGCTGCAGCCACCATCGCAATTGCTCTCATATACATGAAAACTCACAACGAGCCGATCGCCCACAAAATCGACATCCCTGATACGATTCCCCAGTTCGATTATATTCGCCCTGACATCCTTTTGCTTCGGACTGTGGCGAAGCAGCTCATCATGTGGAATAACATCCGAGCGGACGTTCGATGGATCAAAGCGAACCTTCCTAAGGAGCATGCGAATGACATTCTGCTCGAGTTCAGAGCTCTCAAGAGCCAGCAGATCCCATTCTACAACATTATGGCCGGACTGCTATGGTCGATTAGCCTTCGATTCGCCGGCAGTGGGGACAGCAGCGTGCGTGATTTTCTCCTGGCGTACCTTGACCAATTCATACGCCTATGCCAGCTCCCTGCTCCACACTATGATGCCAAGCTTGCAAGAACCACGGTGCGCACTTGTCAAGACCTACTCGCCGTATCGTGCGCCACCGTGATGGCAGGGACAGGCGATCTTCATGTGTTCCGAAGGCTACGTTTGCTCCATGGGCGAGTCAGCCCCGACGTTCCATATGGTTCGCACCTCGCTATCCATATGGCCTTGGGACTTTTGTTCGTGGGTCGCGGCACGTACACGATCTCCACCTCCCCATTGTCCATTGCATCTCTCATCTGCGCATTCTATCCCATATTCCCGTCGGATGTTACAGACAACAAGGCGCACCTCCAAGCCTTCCGTCACTTGTGGGTTCTGGCAGCTGCTCCCAGATGCCTTGTTGTCCGGGATATTGAGACAAGAAAAGCGATCCCAGTGGGAATCCGAGTCACTTTGTTAACTGGAGAAGAGCTATCAATTTCCTCGCCATGTCTTCTTCCTGATGTCGACTCGATGTCTTCTGTCCGAACGGATAGCACGGACTTCTGGCCGATCACCCTTGACTTTGCCAACAATCTCCGGCTTCGTTCGGCGTTCCGCATTACACAGACGATCTATGTTAGAAGGCGGCCAGTGGGCGCTGCCCAAGAATCCACCTTCGCCGGGGCCTTGGCTGCGCTCACTGACTTACAGAGTTCTCGCACAGTCAGGGCAATGTGGGACTGGATTTTCGAGCTTCCTAGCCTTGTGGCGCTTTGTCCCGGGTCTAGAACACTGGCCGCTTCATTAGTATTGCCACGGGATGTGGGTGGCATAGGCGATTTAGCCACCAGGGGAAACGTCCTGGATCATGTCATGGTCCTAAAAAGGATGACTGAAAGCTCAGTCGCTCGAGAATTGTGGGATATTCGAGGCGTTTTGAAATGGGCAGAAATGGTGCTCGCAGATCAACAATCTGGGGGTCGGCTTGCATGGTTAGGAAAGGAAGTTATCGAGGAGATTCGAGCTCGCGTCTGGCTACGAGGCATGGCGCTTGGTGGAATTCGAGCTTGACCATAGCCGCGCTCCGAACCAGTGTCGTTTCGGTTCAGAGCATGTATTGTGCTTCTTGTGGATACCACATGAAATATATCTCATGAGGCTCCTTTAGAAGAGTATGACTATTTTATGCATTCGCAAAGCGAACCCAAGTTTCTCCCCGTTCATTGATGTGTATGGAATTCTCTTTCTGAATATTGGAACCTCGTATTTCACGTGAAGTCCTCTCGTTCAAGGGACCAAGTCTATCGTTAGGGCATAGGATGCTGCTCCGCTCAGGGATCATCTATATACTTGCTGTACACTGACTGACATTGACACTGGTACGGACAGATGCGTACCAGTAGTCCACTGCTCTACGCTGTACAGCGTACTACTACGCTGGCGACAACCTGTCCTCCCGCACTAGGGCGGCTTCAGTCGGAAACAACTGGCAAAACATTTCGAACCCGATATTTGATTATCTTCATAGGGGAATATGGAGAAATTCAACCCCTCGGACCTGGCATAGACAATCACACATTGTCCACTCATCGATAACCAGGCCGACCTTATGGGGAGGGCAACGAGAAGTATCCCTTTGAACTTTCAATACGAAGCCCAAGATGCTTTCTTGAAAGACTACCAGTGTATCTTTTCCTCGTTGCAAGCGGATCACGATCGCCAATTTACAAACCCGACTACTAGTTTTCCGCCCTGGACGCAAAGTAAGCTGGACGGACTGGGATGATACGCCTGCGGCAGAGCACGCACATATGGACTTGATCCTAATAAACTGGCCAAATATGTCACGAAGGTACGCATTGTTTACTCCTCTTTGGCAGCCTAGACAGCATCTCCGTCTGTCGCCCATATAGATGGCGTGGTCAGATCACCACAGCATCATGCGAACGCGTCTTACGCATTGAGACGGGCAGCGGAGGGAATTCTTCACGATATGCTAAGAATGTGAGTTTGGAGTGTTAAATATCATAACTCAGGAAGGTTCGGAACACTTTCTCCAGCACATTTTCCACCGAGATCAAGACTCTTCGGATGATCTATGAGTCGCCTGGTTCAAATCAACTGACTGCGATCACTCCAGTCTTGAAATGACTCTCCACGGCTCCTCAGTCGCTCCTGGGTTCTTCTATGCACTTCAGACGTGCCTCATTATCCTTCATTCCATCTATGATGGACGGAATTGACGGAGTAGCGAGCTCATATATCCAGTCTACCGTACATAGAGCTGGTGGGCATCATGACAGCCTACTTGAACAGGGACCTTACACAGCGGCGCTGATATCTGTTAGGAAAAGGTTCATCAGGAACTGTTAACAGTGTCGAAGGCATGGAGGTATGAGCCAGGGCCATTACTTTCGCCCACGTTAGATCCCTCATTTACTCCATGTAGTATTAGGTACCTTAGGTACCATATATGCCATCCATCATGGTCCTTTCCGCTCAGATATGGAGGTCGCAACCGCCGTTTCGCACTTGCTGTCGCAGGGGGTCGATCTACTGCCACCCTGACGTTATCGGTATTACTTTGATCGCCTTTCTCTAAGAACCTTAACTGCATGTGTCGTTAAGCACCAATATGGTCAAAATATTCTTTTCAACAAATCAAATTCATTATTCAGCTGGGACCCACCTTAGAGATCAACATGAACCAGTTTCCACCACCGGAGGAGATAATCAGCCTGGATATCAACGAAAAATTGAAGCACAACTTCGCTGTGAAGTTCTTCAGAGACCGGGCAACAGTGACCAGGTATGTCTACCTCATGTGGCTAGACTACATGGGGACGATGCGGTGTCGGATCCTGCATGTACGGGACCTTCTTCATCTCATCAAAACCGGTAAACGAGTTGGAATCGCCCAAGCAATCATCGGCGTTCTGCAAGATGACACCATCACCTCCGCTTGTTCCAGCGTGGGCCAGATCTTCCTCCATCCGGAGTTCACATCCCTACGAGCGTGCCATCCGAAAGATCGTCTTCCGTCCGCCTCCGTCCTTTGCTCCTGGTACGATGCACTCGGCGACCCTTTCGATCGCTGCCCTCGAAGCATGCTGGGAAAGAGCTTGAATGAAATGGAAGACATTTACTCGATTATCGCATGTCTTGGCTTCGAGGTGGAGGTAACCTTCCTTCGTCGGACAGGCGACGAGGATAATCCGTTCGAGCCGATTACGAAAAACCACGCCTGGTGTGCCATGAGCGGTGACCAGTGGAGCAACGCAATGCCGCTTGTAGCGGAGATTGTCTCTGCGCTCGAACTATCTGCCCTCCCAGTCCTGGAATTCCATGCAGCGCCTGGTCCTGGAAAGTACGATTTTGCCCTACGACCCAAACCCGCGCTCCAAGCGATCGATGCGCTCATACAGACCCGACAAATCATCTATCAAATCGCCGAGTTGCATGGGATACGGGCGACGTTGCATCCAGCGCCTGTTCCCGGGGCCGCTTCCGGCGCACATGCTCATATTTCGTTAAACGGCGAGGAGAGTAGCATGCAGATGCTGGCGGATAACTTCTTTGCGGGCGTGATTGAGCATCTGGAATCGATCTGCGCCTTTTCTATGCCACAGGCTCCGAGCTACGACAGGGTCGCCGAAGACCGTTGGACCGGGGGAGTCTGGGTAGCATGGGGTACACAGAATCGCGAGTGTCCACTGCGCAAAGTGAAGAGCAACCACTGGGAAATGCGATGCGCGGATGGAACGGCGAACATGTACCTAGCAATAGGTGCTGTGATCGCGGCTGGCCTAGAAGGGATTGATCTTGAAAAGAGCCTAACTCATAAAGATTGTCAAGGTAATTCCCTATGCCATGCGGAAATGAACACGCGCGCTGACGCTAACACTTCTTAGAAAAGCCGCATAAGATGACTGCGGAAGAGAGGTTGGAGCATGGGATGACCAAGATGCTTCCCAAGTCTATCGAGCAGTCGCTGCAAGCACTTGAAAAGGACGAGCAGCTGCAGGCCAGAATGGGGCCTGCTATGGTCAAGGATTACATCGTAATGAAGAGACAAGAACAGGAAAAGCTGAAGAATATGCCGAAGAACGAAGCCCATGTCTGGCTGGTTGAGAGATACTGATGCTCTGGGTTTCCCATAGCAATTGGAAGAGTGGATAGCTTGTCTTCCAGCCGAAGGACTAATACCTCTGCTAGACCATGTAACCATATCCCTAATTGGGTCAGGAGATCAGAACATTCGTTAGCTCAATCAATGGTTCTTAACTTCGGTCCTCGGGAACCCAATGTCTCTGCTCTTCTTCTCGTCGAAATTGTTGTTTCATTCCGTCATGATATTCCGGCTTCATATGCCCTTGGGGCAATTCTGCGCAAGAATGTGGATGAAGCCGAAGGATACCATCATGGTACGCAACTGCGATATCAGGAGCTAGAGCTCGATCCATCCAAACCGGGATAGTCGAATAGAGTATATAAAGGAGAAAGGCTTCACGGCTAAATTTTGTGGACGTTCATCCTCCAGCCTCAGAGCGGTTGATGAGCGTTTTAGCTCAGGGCAACATAAGTAATCTGTCCTTGGGCACCCAAGGTATTCTCCCGTCATCAGCTCTTGTGCGCTGTCATTTATTTCCGATTCTTGTCATCGTCCAGTATTAGCACATGTCCCCCATGTAAATCCCATCAAGAAAATTCGCCGGGGTATCATTTGAATTATAACCATTGCGCCAGCATGCCAACTCCCTAATTCACGCGTAGGTCCGCAAACAAGTCTCATCGTGCACCGTCTTACACTCTAACCCGCATGTCCGCCCCCCGCACCGCAAGCACTTCACCCTTCCCCAATACCCACAGTACTCGCAGAAGAACCGCTGCGGCGGCGCACCCTGCCCCGGAGCCGCCGCCCGCGCCGCCAGATACGACAGTGGCGGCTCGGCCAACAGCGCTTCGAGATCGTCTGCGGAGGGCATTTGAGGCGCGGACACGGCGAGGAGCGGTTCCCGATCGAGGTCCGTGGCGTTGGGGCCGGGCGCCGCGGAGGGTTTGGGTGCGGACGCGGAGGACTCGGGGGCGGCAGATGATGGGGTTGGTTGGGGGGTCGAGGCGGAAGGGGGGGTGGGGGTTGGGGGGACGGAGACTTTGGCGAGCGAGGACCGCTTGCCTCTGGTGCTCGGAAGAGCAGCGCGTAGATTGGATGATGACTGCTGGAGGTTGAGAAGGGCCTCCTCGTCACTCAGATGGTTGGCGAAGGTCTTCTGCGACTGGAGGATTTTCTTGACAGCGGGCGTGGTTTTCGGTTTCGCTTGACGACCTGGGTTAGCTGGCGCTTCACGGCCGATGACGCATTGCGGGGACGCACCTCTTCTTGAGTGGACGATCGGAACGGGGATATGGACGTTCGTCGGATTGTCGCGATCGAGCTCGGCGATCCGTCGCTGGATGGCCAGCTGCTGGCGGGAGTTGAGTACGCCGGTGGAGGCGGTCGGGACGTTCCGCGCGGCGCGTTTGCGGGCGCCGGAGGGGTTGATGGGGACTTTGGAGGGGTCGTAGCCGGTGTCGGGGACGTAGGCCCATCCAGGGGCGGATGCGGACCCGGATGCGGGGAGGACTTCGATGCTGGGCATTTTGTCGTTGGTGTAAAAGCAGTGTTGGCAAGCAATTTGATACTACAATATGTATGATGGGAATGTGAGGGACTGGGATGGGACACGGCTGTGGAAAGATGAGAGGCAACAAGGCAACAAGGCACTCTAGTGTTTTGACGACACGTTATCACGTGATTCATGACATAGGGTCGTTCAGTCGACATGGATGAGGGAGCCGGTCGACATATTTACAGCAACTACGTCATACATTCGTCAAAGGTCATTAAAAGCAACATGTAACTTAAGAAGAGCAATTCAATTTCCCTTACTACCGTGCCCTTCAAAATCCACCAAGTAACGCAATCCTATTCCAATCCTCATACCAGTACGGACTCCTGCCTCGCACTTCATCGGCGGAAATCGATGTCCTAACCAAGCCAGATAGATCATCGTCCGAACCATAATACCTTTCGACATCATCCACCAACATGTTTCGATCAACCGCCATCCGCACCTCCCGGACGCAGTTCCGCTCCTTCACCACTACGCGAGTGGCATCCAAGTCCGTTGTCGAGAATATCAAGACCGCAGCGAAGACCGTCGATCGCGCGGCCTCGGATGCCGCTGTAAAGAGCATTGAGACAGGCGGTATGTATCCATCCCGTGTCCCCACCCTGCGTAGATGTTCGTCGGCAACTCGGAGGACCATGGGCTAACGGTCGGTTTTCTTGCATGCAGAGAAGGTTGCCGGTGCCGTTAAAGGCACAGTGGGCGTCAATACGGGAGAAGCCAAGGGCAAGGCCGAGGAGCTGAAGGGTGAGGCGAAGGGGAAGATGAATGAGGCGACTGGCAAAGCGAAGGGCACTGCGGAGGAGGCGGCTAGCAAAGCTAAGGGTGGTGCGGAGCAGGCGAAAAGGAAGATGAGCTGATAGCCTCGGAAAGACGAGACAGGGCGTGACGGTGTAGAGATATGGGTTCCATCAGCATTGCTTGCATTTTCCAATTGGCTTGATATTCGGTGGCTTTCCATCCTGTACATTACCGATATGAAGTCCTTCTCTGGCCCTCGTGGGGCTCAGTAAACGAAGATTGGGTTTGCATCCTCGTGGTTTTACAAGGCATCCTTCGGCGGCAGTTGTAGAACATACTCCCTCTCGCTCTCGCCAAATCTCACCAAATCCCCATCCCGCAATTCCACATACTTCGCGGCCCCGATCTTCTCCTCATTCAGCGACGTCCCATTCCGGCTCTCCAAATCCATCAAATACGGCTTGACCCGCCCCTCCATCTTTTCGAAGCCTAGTTCGTCCATCTTTTTCCGTTGGACGTAACGGAACTGCAGGACCGCGTGCTGGCCGCTATTGCTCGGATGCTCCAGGAAGATGTCGGCCACTTTTTGCTCCCGTCCGAACAGCCAGCACGTGCGCTCCCCCAAGGGGATCGTGTCGAGGAGGTCGGCGCCTTTGAAGACGTACATTCGCCACGGCGCCGATGCCGGTGGTTTTCGGGCGTTTGGCGGCTCGTGGTACTTCAGAGTAATGTTGGTGCCTGCCACGGTATTCGATTCCTTCGCCAGCAAGCCGGTGTTGGCGAAATTGGGCTTCTCCTTCTCAACCGGTGGGGCCACATCTGTACTTGTTTCGCCCTGGAATGCAGCGACTTGGTCCGGGAGCGGCTTGCGGGATCGAGGGGGAGGTGAAGGGGACCGTGAGGAAGAAGGAGAGCGTCGACGACGTTTCTGATGGGGCGATCGAGAACGGGAATGTGGGTGACGCTGGGAGCGATGATGGCCTCGATCCCTGCCCACATCTACTCGGTTCCGGCGACGCGTGTTATGGCTATCTCTATCTTGTATTTCCCGGCTTCGCGAGCGGTCTCGACCGCCGCGTCTTTCTTTCTCCCGACGACGTGGCGGTGACTCCACCCGACGGCGAGGCCTGCGTTCAGCCCTATCGCTTATGTGACCGCTACCGCTGCTCCGAGATCGTCGTGCATGCTTCTCGGATTTATGGACCCAATCGTGATGCCGGCCGTATCCATCCGCGTCAGCAGAGGCGTGTCCCCGCGGTCGATCGTCGCGGTGGCGCCGCGTCTGACTTCGACTCCGCCTTCGACCATTTTTCTGACTTGTATCTCGGTACTCGACTCGGGATCGGTCGGAGAGCTCGGCTGAGGTCGCTGCTCGTCGGTCGCCTAGCATCGTGACCGAACTGACCCAAGCTGGTGACGCTACAGGAAGGAGATGTTCAGTGGAGACTTGGAGAACATGTCAGAACGTGACGTTCTTATGCCACTAATAGCAAGCACGGCCGATCGGAGGTGGGATATTGGTAGACTTAAGGCTTGTATACCTTGAGCTGCGAGGGGCGCATAAGATATTGGACGGTGGGAGTTGCGGTATGAGCCAACGATTCGGAGATGATGCGATTCTCGGAACAGAGTACTAGATACTGTATGGTTCACCCCAGTCAAGCTTCCTCCCTGTTCTATTCACCAGTGTGGATGTGGTGATAGAGGACGTTGAATTATCGGTCAGGACGAGAGGCCAGCGATGCGGTGCAGGAGCTCGGTGTCACCGTGAAGGATGAAATGTCTCGGGGAGTCGGTGAAGGATCGCGGTCATTTGCGGCTCTTTCCTTCGGCCCGTCTGGGTGGCTGAGGGAGCTAGCCATGTCAGGTAAGGTGCCATCCTATGCAATCGTTGATTGGCCCTAAATGTTTAGCACCCTGGCACGCGCAGGACCCCTGTCGGCCCCAGCACCGCTCTTTCTCACCTTTGGACTGGCGCTGCTGACACACTCTCCTCGACTGTCTACCACACGAGGGCCAACTCACCAAATGTATCTTCGCTTCGTCCGAGACGGGAATTATTAGAGCATAGTACCGCCGAAAATCCCCATCAAGCTTTTTTCGCCCGGAGCACTAGACCATACGGGTATGACTTATGAGTATGATGAGCAATGCTGGGTTTGCCTACTACTGTACTCATCTACACCGCCGCGGTTTGGTATCCTTCTGTATGCTGTCACATATGACATGTTCCCCTTGCCAATTCTCATTCCTGGTCGTCAAACCATGTCCGTGTCCTTTATTCAACCCCGGGAGCCCCGAGCACATCGAGTGGCCCACCGGTCATTCGGTCGGCTTGATTATTGATATTCAGCAAATTATGTTCACCCGGTACTCCCGCAATGCTTGCTACTTCGCCAATTTTCTGCTCTTGGACGAAGAGCGGGTCTACAAAGTCATCCCCTCTATATGTTCGAATCGGTGGTCTGATCCTAATAGACGGCTAGACGAGTAGACATTAACCAGGAACCACAGAATACAGCGCCGATCAAAGCCATCCCTAAGGTTGACGCCAAGTCGTCTTGCCGAGATACATCTAGGTGGCACCGGACATAAAGGGACAGTCGGCGTTCAAGTTTCGCTCACCTGAATAAAGAAATTGCTCACCGTTTCGGTCCCTCCGCTAGACCAATCGCCCTTTAAGTGCTTTGGCGGCTTCCTCACACAATGCTCACAAATCGCTCATAACTGAAGGCGGAGACGATCAGCAGCACCGTCGATCACATACCTTGATTCCATATATCAAGATCTTTCCAACCACAGCCAGTACCGGTGGATTGGACTGTGTGTCTTCGGAGCAACAAAGGAAACGCAATTCCCATCTCTGCGCCAACCGACCTGCTTCTGTCCGCATCAGCCCTATAGACGCGAGCAAATAACTTCCTCCCCGCTGGATCCTCGATCCCACAGAGTTCACGCATACACCGTCAAGGAAACACAGGAAGTCCCAAGGCGACGTGTGTACAACCGATGATCGAGCCAAAACACTCATCATTGACTCCACCGCTATTCTCGCGACGCGATACGCCACAATACTGGCTAACGGCTGCCAAGGTCGTCCACCATTCGGACCACCAGGGTCTAGATCGCGGGGTCGGGACGAAGAGGTCTGCGAAAAGCAAACAGCGGAGAATTGGCGACTACTACAACTTGGAAGCAAGTTCCATTATCGGCCACGATCCACGAGGGTAATCTTTTCTCTTTCTTCTTTCGATCGCGGCTATTGATTAGGGACGTCTCTTTTCTCAACGTCGCGTCGTCGGTTTACACTCGATTAATCGTAGTAGCGACTAATCCCGCCATACAGACCTGCAGGTTTAGCAGTGGCTCTCATTGGTCCACTCGAACTCGATACGAGACACGGTCGGTGTCCGATCCACACCCCGCCCAGGCTGATAGACGATCACTCGATCAGTACCACCGTGGTAACCATGGCCAACCATGAGGACTACCCGATGTCTCGAGATGTAGACACACTGCAGGCCGAAATCCGAGAGTTACATAGTCAGCTGGCCGACGCGGAAGCGATACGCAATGAGCGAAACCTGCTCAAGAAGGCTGCGGAAGAATTGCGGGAACACATCGAGGCGGCATTGAGCCAGATGAGCAAATGCCAGGCCAATGAGAAAGCATCACAGAACACGGCAAGCCGACTCGAGGCGCATCTGGAGGAAGCCAATGCACAAAAGCTGGATGTACTCGAGCACAATCACGAGTTGCAGATAGCGTTGAGGGAGAGGGATCGGAAACTTAAGGAACTGCACGCCGAAAACCGGACTCTGAAGAAGACTCAGGAGGGCGATGGCGTAGGACTAAAGAAGGTGGATAGTCTGCAGCAGGTCTCCGAGGCCGTCCACTCGAGGCTTCAGGACGAATTTCGCGTGGCCTCCACAAGAGTCAAGGACCTCGAAAGGAGATTAGCAGACGCGGAGACCAAAGCGAAGGTACTTCAAACGGAAAAGGACCAGGTCACCGCTCTACTTCACAATGAGATTCGCCGCCAAACGTTCCAAACGAATCAAGAATATCCCGTATCCTCCCCTCTCGGCGCCAAAACCGATCTCGCCGCTTCGATCGCCGAAGTGCAAGCGCGTGTGCAGGACATGATTACCAGCACGGAAAGTGGCACGACTTACAACGCGCCCTACCAAACCGAAACCGATCCGATGAAACGGATTGCTCAACTAGAGAAGGAAATCGACTATCATCTCAAGGACATCGTCCTGTACAAGCTCGATGTGAAAGGCTACCGGAAGGACCTCCGGCGGGCGAATTCGAAGATTCAGAAGCTCAAGCAACATCTTGGTTCGGGGCCGGCGATGTCGCAGCAACCGAGCATCACCTCCATCAACAGCACGTCGACGACGACTACTACCGCTAGCAGCGCTTCTTCGCCGAGCACCACTAGCAAGGCCGCCGCCATGGGCCTGGGCCTCAGTATCGCGACCTCAAGTCATATTCCCACCGTCCTTCCTCGCAGCGACGATGGCCACGCCTTCACCGGCACCTCGTTCCCCGACCCGGGTCCTTCGTCCCACCCCCGACCATATCCACACCACCCAACCTCGCATCCTGCCTCCATCCATCGAATCCCCTTCGTCCCAACCACCCACGACCCTCCCCCCGCCGCGGCTCACAATACGAAGCGTACCTTCCGCCCCGTGACGCCTCCCCCGGCGAGTTCCTTCCAAGCCTTCGCCTCACGGAGCCCGCTCCCTAGCCCCGGCGGCCGGTCGGCGAGCCGGGGGCCGCATCCATGCAACGGCGGAGATGGGGGACGGCCGCATGCGAGCAGTGTGGGGGAGGGGAGGAGGGAGGCGGAGGCACGAGGCCCGGAGACGAAGCTGGTGAGGCCGAGGAGGAGTATGAGCGAGTCGACGATGAAAGGGGTTGATGGGACGATGGCCAGCGGATCCGCCGGATCGACTCCAGGCGGTCAGGGAGGGCCAAGTGTGTGGGAGACGGTGATGGGGTTACGGGGAAGAGGAAGGTGATGATTGATATGACTGAGTGGAGATGCCAAGGTACGATCGAGAAACTTGAAAAGGAGATGTGGGTTGCAGGCAGGGGGACAAAGCTTGACTTCTTGGGTCTGTTTAGCGCGAAGTACTGGTCGGTAACTTGTAATATTATGTCTTGAGATACCCCTGATAAAAATAAGTATAGCAATTCACAAACACCAGTGCGAATGACATGGTACGACCTTCGTGTACGATACCACAGAGTACCTAGCCGAAATACCATTGACCTAATTCCCGGAACCCCTGGATATCGGGACTCGAAAACCGGGAAAGCCTTCGGGCTTATCGGGTACCATCCGTCGAAGCCGCCTTGGCTCCTTGGCTTCCTTGGCAACCGGGATAATAACGTGAACACTTTGGCCCGAGTGGCGCCGCCTCCCGCTTGATAGTCAGCCCTTAAAGCTTAATCACCCTTGGCACACCACTTCGGGTAGAATCAAAAAAGGCCGCGCGTCAGTACGTACAGAATTCTGCGCCACCACCAATCGGTTGGGTTGACAAGGGACGTATTCCGTATTATTCTGGACGGGATCGATGTTCCTTAATGCTTGGACAAATAGACTTGGACGATCATCCGAAGTGCTATCTTTGAAGTAATACTACTAAATACTACCATTGCCTGCGTCGGGTTGTACATACAACATCTTCCTCCACTCCTCCAGAGTCCAGCATGTCGTACTGGTACTCCTTACTTCAGAGCATTCCCTCTTGCACTCTTCGCTGAGCCCGAGCCTGCTTCCTACCACGGAGTATTATTAATTTATTATTCCCCTCCCCAGCATTCCTTGGGTGCCTAGTCCTTGGTTCCGACCACTGGTGAAACAGTGAGAACCCTTCGGATAGACTCACGCGACACTTGGTTACAATTCATTGTACCTCTCTCCATCATTCTTTACTTTCCCCAGGATACGGCCTCATATTCCTTCATCTCGTTTCCGTCTCCATTTCCATCCGGTGGGCGTTCTGGTGACTGGTCGCGTGGTCTTGGATATCATGCGTTCATGACATTCGTAGATTCGACTTCGCCTATCAATTAGAATTTCTTTTGCGACGGTCCCTGCTTCCACTGAGAATCGAGCACGCAAGCCGTGAGCTCCCCCCACCCTCCCTTCCTTCCGTCCTGTCCTTATCACGGGTCCGATCATGATGATTGCGAATCGTTCGAAGTTCCTCCTCCCCGGAATCATTGCGCTTGCGCTCTCCGTGCTGCTGTTGGCGGCATTTACCAGTATGTTCTCCATATCCCAGTTTCTGTCGCGTGACGTCGATCCCTGGATCTGGTCGCCCTTGATAGTCCGAGGGGCATCTCCTGTCGCAGCAGGTATCCTGGCATTGCGACTTCTCCAGCCCTGGATTTTCCTTATCGTATGAGAACTTTGTGCTAACATGCAACAGAAGGGCCAGCGTACTACAATTACAATGCCGTCGACCCATGGAACCATCTGAAGGGTGCGCCGCCAACAGATTTATCAGTCTCAACCAGCCCGAACTCCACCAACCCTCTGTCCCCAATCCTCGTCGACCGACCGCATAAAAAGCGGGTCATCACTACGTCCGTCTTCACGTCCAGCTACGTCCCGCTCGCCATGATGCTGGGCTACTCGATCATGAAACACAACGATCTGGCCGCCATGGAAGCGGAAATGGTCGCCATGATCCTCAAGGACGACGGCCAAGGGAATGAAGGCGTGACGGATAATGACGTGGGATACCTGATGAAGGCGGGCTGGCAGCTCCGCGAGGTCGAGCCGCTGGACTTCGAGGGCACGACGGTCAACGAGTCGCTGATCCTTCCGCACCATCGGTTCAACCTGAACAAATTGCAGATCTTCCGGTGGACCGAGTATGAGAAGTTGCTCTTCATCGATGCCGATTGCGCCGTGCGAGGCGATCTCAGCGAGCTGTTCCACATGCCAGGGCGTGAGTCTCCATGCTATGTTCCGTGATAATTGGCTCCGTCGACGGAATGCTAACCGTATTGTTTCCCTGTAGCATTTGCCGCCGCTCCGGATGTCTGGTTTGACATACTGGTTGACGACAAGTTCAACTCGGGAGTTATGGTCCTCACCCCGAACCTCTCCATCTTCCAGGACATGCTCCAGAAGCTCCCGGCGATTCACCAGCCGGAAGACGGTGACCAGGCCTTCCTCCAAGTGTATTGGAAGTTCCGATACTTCGGCTTGCCCTACCGGTACAACCTGAACCAGGTCATGGTAAGTCGATCCTTCCTTCACAACTGAGGATCGGAAACTAATAGTAAATCCAGTTCGCACATTTCCGCTCCGAGTGGGACAAGCTGTGGGACGAGGCCATCATCGTCCATCTGACTACTCACAAACCCAACCCCGACCCGGCCAGATGGTGCCTGCCCCCTGGCGAAGGGACATACAACTGCGAGGAGTGGGGTCCGCTAGGATGGTACCGGGAGTACTTCACGGAAATGCTCCACGCTTTTGATTTAGTCGGGGAGATCGATGTGCGGGGTTGACTCCGCTCTTCTGGATATACCCCTTTTTTTGGCGGATGAATATAGCAATTCATGGCATTGGGCCGGCGTATTTCCGCCCCATCTGAATGGCGTTGGGAATCGATGGGTCGCCGAGCGGGCGGTCGGCTTGCTGACCATAAACTCGATTGGTAACTTAAGGAGTCGCTATCCAAAAGATGGAGCGAGACTGTATAGTATGTTATAGCGATAAGATTCCCTGCACGGATTCTCAATCAATGCTGCCAAGAAAATTCGTTTTAGCGATATCCGCGTTATAACGATTGGATTCGCCTGTACGGATTCAATTGTTATAGCGAAGGTTGACTGTATCATGATTTGGATGTCCGGCTAGCGCGAGATTCGGTCCATAGCACAGCTCTACTCGGAAACGGTATATCGTGAGAGTCATGACATCCGTACGGTCCGAGAAATACACTTACTGTTGCCCTGCTCGATCGCGGCTTTAGTCCATGCGTCCAACTTTGTAGTAGAGGCGTGGAGGCTTGGAGCCCTGCAGACTGCAGTAATTAGCATCGGAATTCGGATGGACATGGGTCTCGGCGATCATTCCCAAAAGTCCGCAGTCCACAGTCCAAACAACGATGGTAAGAAACACGTCTACAATTTCTCATTTGCCCTGTATTTATCTGGCTATCTCAATATTGGAGATGCGCTCATCGCAACACCTTATAAGTAGGACCATTAATTCACTATATGCGCTCTTTCGCACGGTTGCGCTCACTCCAGCTATCTCCGAATCGCTCTCCTCCTAACCTCCTTGCCTTGACGTCCTCTGCAATTTTCAGGATAGAATCCTATTGCACAGGACTCTGCACGAAATGACGAAAGTAAGGGCACATGCAAGGCACCGAAAGTCCCGTCTTGTTTCATGAATCATGGAGGCGTTCTTTTCACAAAGAAACTAATCATCACTGACAATGCTTATGGTTTTCCGTTGCGCTGTTCCCCTGCGGCGAGCTGACAGCTGAGGGTTGGCTCGTATTTCCGATGCATGCTGACCGCAGCGGATCAGGGTTATTCGCCCAGGCGGGCAAATCATCACGTATATTCCGTTCTTTAAATGCAGGCAGTTAGTCAGATCAATCTCCCAGATCCATTTAACCTCCATGTCATCCCAAATCTCGGGTTCTTAGTTCAAGTCTCTACTTCGGCGTTTCTGCTCTGAAATTCCCTTTGCTTGTGTCCATCACCGCGAGGAGCTCTCGCAGACGGACTCCGATTTCGTTTCTTATACCGTCTATCTCCTAGATCCCTTAGAGCAGAATGGCTCCTCCATCTGAGGGCCATAGACTAACTCCCTCCCTATCGCCACTCAAGCAGATGGTCCTCGTCGATCAAGCACCGCTAATCAGCCCTGGTCACAAAACCCCAGACTACGACGAAACCCGGCTACAGAAGAAAGACGACGTGCGTTCCTCCTCCACTACTATCATTTACCACTAATACAAGCGGCAGTCCCTCAAACGAATCATCCGTCGCCTCAAGTTCGTCTCCCGCGCCCTCAGCACCCTCCTCTCCCTCGCCACCCTCATCCTCCTCGCCATCACCCTCCAAAGCTTCCTCTCCACCCGCTCCATTCGCCGACCCGTCCCTCACACCGGCATCCCCCGCGGCCCCTGGTCCCGCGACTCCAAAGTCTGGCCCACCTACCTCTACCTCGGCGTCGCCATCGCCTCGCTCCTCCTCCACGTAGGCATCTTCATCGCGTACCTCCGCTCCGTCCGCGCGGCGAACCGCGCGGCGACCCTCGCCACCGGGTTCACCTGGGCTGTGACGCTGATGAACCTGGTGATTTGGGTCGTCGGTGCGGCGACGTATCGCACGGCGAAGGACGACGGAGGGGGGGCCGGGTCGGACTTGTGGGGCTGGTCGTGCAGCGCGGTTGCGGATGAGATCCAGGGGGTGTTTGGGGAGGTGCGGTTCCAGTCGCTCTGTCAGGTCCAGGGATACAGCTGGTATTTGGGGATCGTGCAGGTGGTGGCGGCGGTATTGAGTGCCACGATCCTGTACCTAGCGGTGTCGCGGACGAGGACGAAGAACGAGAGGTGGAGGACGGGGGGTACAACTTGAGATAAAGATTGCAAGAACTTCATTTTTTATATTATATATGATATATACGAATATCCACAGATACCTATGACGAGCAACTCCAAAATTCCCCAACATTTCCTCAATTGATTCTGTTCAGGTTGTTACTAATTAATAATAAGAATCAATTTAACGTACTATTTGGATCCCTTTCGGGTCTATGAGCACGGCATTCTATCTGGTCTGCCGCGGGCAAAAGTTTCCCCGTAGCCCTGAGGCTGCGGGTACATAAAATCCCGCCTCCTCCCTTTAGTAGACTATCTCAAACGTTTATCATCTATCCATAAGAGTCGGTGTTTCCGCCTACGCGGAGAGCTTATTCTGGCACGTCGTGGAGGAACTGGAACGGTTTCCAGTCCTCTATTACCTCCTCCTCAACTTCCTTGGCCACCCGGTATTGCTCTAGGCCTCCCGCATCGATCAGCCACCTTGCTGCGTGGCACACCTTGTCCCTGTCATGCAATATCCTCTTAAAGTCCGTTGTTCCAGCTCGTTGGAGGAGCGCGATCCTCTGGTCGGTCCGCTGCGGGCAAAATGCAAGGAGTTGGTAGAGAGACTGTCGGGGGGCACCACACTCACACGCTGGGTGGATTCCAGGGACACCAATTTTTGCGAGCCATCCTTTAACTCCAACTACCTCAGTCCGTAGTGCCATGAGCGCCGAGGCCTCGTGTTTCTGAAGGCCGTCGTACCGGTTAAGGCACTGGGTTTCCCACGGGTCCTTCCATGTCCTTGCTCTCCTTCCTGGTCTGGCCGCTTCGGCTTGCCATCTCTCCCTCCATTTCGCTCGATACTTGTCCTGGATCATCCGGTGCGGGCCTTTTCGCTATTGTGTCTGATATCCCCCCTAACTGGTTCGGGCCGGGGGAACAGAAGTCTGTCATACTGGGTCCGAAGCGTACACAACGCGGGTTCAGGTTTAGACCGGATACGGCGGGGTCGGCCTCGAGTTCGTCTCGGGGGAGTAGAAGCAGCATCCCAGACTTGCGTCAGGGCTCCCTCAATCTGGGTAGTGACCTTGTGGGAGTTCGTCGATGCTGCTCTTTGGGCGGCCCGTTCTTGGACGTAGAGTTCGATTGGGGGAACGTCCGCCTCTCTCTCAAGCGCGGCGATTGGTGTCCGTTTGTAAGCCCCTAGGATCTTTCGTAGACACTTATTCTGAACCTTGGCTAGGTCCTTCATTTTGCCTTCAGAGATTGGCTCACCCTGCTGACAGACTCCCCAAATAGGGGCGCCGTATGTCATAATGGGTCGTGCAACCGCTGTGTAGAGCAGCCTCGATTTCCGGACGGATGGTCCCCATACCGATGAAGTTACCCTCGCCAGGGAGTCGAAGGCCTTAAGTCCCCTCTGTGTTGCCCGGAGGATATGGTCCTTCCATGAGAGGGATTGTTACTAATTAAGCCTAGTTAGTTAAATAAGGACTAACTAACTAACTTAAGTTAAGGTTGTTATTCCTGGAGTGGATCATCTAACAACCATCGAAAGTCGCTAATTGGCTGTGAGCCAAGATCAGCAGCTTTCCTGGTTCCCGGGCTGTGCGTCCGGGCAGTGCCCATGACAAACAACCCTATCTTGACCTCATCTCAAGTTCGCAACAGACACCCTTATTCAGCTTACTGTCAACTGATGTTATGCTGTTTGGCAACAAGGATTGAAACGGTTAAACCTCTGTTATGATTGATTTTATGACTCCCTAGTTTACACATTGCGCTTTTTGAGATTGGCCTCCTTCATGTTTGTCATGGTCCATCGAAAGTGAATGCTCCTTCAACATGTGCCACCATCCTCCACGTTGCAACCTCACTGTAGCCGAACCAGCATATTCATACAAGACGATGCTTGTGAAAAGCCGCAGTACATTAAAGACAGGAAGGAAAGGAAATAAAGAAAAACGAAAACGAAAGTTGGAAACAGCCATGGAGCGATCAGTCTATTTCGACTGCAGGCGGATCAGATGATGTCTGATGCTGGTGCTAATGAATCAGGTCCTACGATGGTAGAATCAGAAGGCAAGGGCAGCGACAACTCCGATGACGACCGCGACCGTAGAGACGAGAGACTTGGTTCCCGGGCCTGTATAGACAGACATTGTGGGGCTCGGAGGCACAGCACTCGTTCTATTCGTGGACACTGGAATAGTGGAGCTGCCAATCAAGGGAGAACCCCCGGTAGCGGAGCTTCGAGGAGCCGATGAAGAGCTGCTGCCTGAATGAATGTTGGGAGAGCCCTCAGTCATGGAGACTGGAGTTGACGAGGTCGAGGTCGAGGTCTCCGTCGCAATTGCCGTGGAAGTGAGGTGGAGCGTGGAGTCACTTTCGATTTCGGACGAGAGTTCGGAAGCCCCGCTGCAAGGCACCTCAGTCACACACTGAGCGACTTGAGAAGAGTTGGCCCAGGTGGGCATCGACATTGAAGCGGATGCAACGCCGGTCGAGAGTAGCAATGAAGACGGCGGCAGAATAGAGCTGTACGAGACTGAAGGAATTGAGAAGCTCCCAGGGCCAGCGGCGGTAGGTGAGAAAACACACACCGTGGTCGTTGAAAAGATTGTGGTGGTCTGGATGACTGTAAACGCGGCAGGGCAGCGGACTGACGCGGGACAGCTGAGGACGGTGGATGCAACGGTTGTGTGCAGAGTAGAAATGGCGGGAACTGGAGTCACAGTGACAGTGATTGCTTCAGTTTCAGGCTCAGAGGCAGTGGGAGCGACGCCAGTAGAAACCCCCGTGAAGGAACCGTTCACGAAGCTGGGCATTCCGATCGTGCCGGTCCCGATGATACCGGTCCCGATTGGACCTGTCCCGATGATGCCGGTCCCGATAAAGGCTGAGCCACTACCAGGGACGGCAACAGAAGATTGGTTGAATCCGACCCCAGTACCGGACGGAATTGGGATGATCGTGACCGTGGCAGTGGAGGTGGCGCCAGAAATCACAGTGCCTTCAAATTGAGACAGACTTGGCAGCACGGGAGAGCCTTCGGTGCTAGAAGCATCCTCAGCAGCGACAGAGCTCCCATATCCATGATCTACAGCAAGGTTAGCTTGGTCTGGGGCCAATGGAGTGATGTGATGAGTTTGTCTTGAGATATTGGGGGTTGTTTCTGTTGTTGCAGGCATCCGCATCACTAAGAATTTCACTTACCATGGCTAGAGCTGGAGGATCCGATGTCAACGGGACGAGCTGCGATGACATCGCCCATCAAACGATCTAAATTGGCGATGTTAGAAGATGGTGCAGGCAATTGATGATGAAGAACTCACTGCGATCATAAAACTGACTCCCAGCAGCGGACGAGGCTGCGGCCATGAAAACAGCCAGCTTGGAGAACTGCATGTTGTCGAGGAGATCTCGACACAAGTGGGATCACGAACTTGAGTAATGAGAATTAGCTGATAGCTGACACCGATTGAGCGAAAGTGAACGAGCGATGAAGGTTGATGAAGAGCGAGTGACTGGTGAGAGGAATTGGGAATTGAGCGAGTGAGAGAGGATGGGAGAACGAGAGAGAGAGAGAGAGAGAGAGAGGACGAGCGAGTGTGTGATGTTTGTTTTGGAAGTGAGCGGGAAGGAAAAGGATTTTAAGAAGGAGCAGATTTCCACAACCGAGTGAGGATTGGAAGTCGCGGTCAATTTGCAGCTTCGTGTTGATGCTGTGGCCGGCTGCTTCATTCCTTCACTGCTGTTTTGGGCAGGCACCGAAGTGATGGGAATCTGTCACTTCCTAATGTGGAAAGAAGGGTGGTCGAATCCAATTACATCACTCATTGACGATAGGTGATTGGTTCGATGCTCCCCTCGTCCCCTAACTACCAGTTCCAGTTAAGGTCCTATCACGCACTAAAATATTACCGGTATCTCGCAGATACCTTCTACAGTCCACATCTAAGGTAATGGAATGAATCAATATAGGAGATTAAAGATGAAAGAAGGCAACGTGCGGAAGACTTCATAATGGTTGGTTTGGTTTTCGGGTTTCATTATATTAATCTATTTATCCCCCAGTTCAAATTCACATGTGCATACATCAATCATGATGGTGTTTCATTAGACCGACCCAGCTCTGGCCTTTGCAGCGATATCATACGAGCCACAGCTCCAATTTCGACGGGAATTCGAGAGGGAAATTCCATTGAATTGACAATCCCCCCTATCCTTATGCCGGATTGAGCTCTACTTAGGTTCCGCAACATAAGGAGTCTCAATCGGGGCTTCTCCCTGAGGGGTAATGCGAGCCAAAAGTCGTCGTTCGCCGGTCGTCCAATCAACGATGGCAGAGTGCGAAGTGACGCGGTTCTGTTCTAGTTAGCCACTGTTACCACTCAGGCCTTGGTGGAGTTGAACTTACATCCCAAATAACCACAGTCCCAGGGGCCCATTTGACGCGAGCCTGATAGTCAATGCCCCGGCCAATGTGGTCGTACAAGAAGTTCAAGAGTGCTTCGCTCTCTTCGTCCTTAAATCCGACTATTTTCCGAGTGACTTGATGCCAATTAGCTAAGGATTTAGCTGCTGGGTAGGAAGACTTACAAATTTTATTCACAAATAAGGCTTTCTCGCCAGTTGCCGGGTGAGTACGCACGAGAGGATGCTCCGAGGTAATGCCCTCTCGTTTCACTATTCCCTCACGTTTCTTGCTAAACTCGACTTGTTCGATTCCAGAGTGAACAGCCTTGAGTCCATGCAGACGCTCCTTGAAAAGTGGTGACAACCGATTGTAGGCCTCGACCTGATTGACGAATGCAGTGTCGCCACCGACTTCCGGAACATCCAAGGCGTACAAGAATGTGGTGGCAGGTGGCTGCTTCTCATATGTGACGTCAGAGTGCCATGCGACAGTGCTATTCCGATTGCCCAAAATGAGGTCATATTCGCTCGTATTGACAGTTCGATGCACGATCATGAGCTCCGGATGGCCCTCAGCGGTTGGACCGGTCGGGTGGATGTGGAGAGGGCCGAAATGGCTTCCGAGGGCGACGGCCTCTTGAGGTGGCAAGTCGGCGAGGTCCTGGTTGCGGAATGCGACAACCTTTCGCTGGGCAACGAGCAAGGCGAGCTGGTCTTTGCCAGCGTCGCTGAGCTTGCTGAGCTGGACTCCAGAGACTTCGGATCCCGTGGTGGGTGTGAGGTGCTGGAGCTTGAAGCCTTCCGTCAGAAGGTCCTTGAAGGTTGGATCCGCGCCTTTGCCCTTCTCGATGTGCTCGAATGGCTCGAGGGGTGGATATTTCTCGCCATGGTCCCAGACAGGCAGATAATGGGGGTACTGTGTGATCGTTAGTCCACGTCTACGGCAATTGGAGTGTGACAACATACAGTCGCAGGGACAGCGTTATCACCCTCTTCGTCAATTGCCCTTCGGATTTTAGGCTTTGCCTCAGCGGCCTTTTCCTCAGCGGTCTTTTCCTCAGCGGCCTTTTCCTCAGTGGGCTTTTCCTCAGCGGCCTTTTCCTCAGTGGGCTGAGGATCGGCCTGAACCGAGATGGGGAGATTTTGGGTTTCGGTAGATGTCACGGTGGCCATTTTCGGTGAATAGAAGTTGATGATCTAAGTACTCTCAGTCTTTAGCTATGGATTAAAATAGTAATCTCGATCCTGATGAATCAACAGCATCGGCGCGGGCCACTGAGAATATATACTGCATCACCTTCGAAACGGTCAACACCATAAAGCATCAATATCGGATATAGCGGCACCAACAGGATCGTCATTTGATCATATTTTGTCGATTGATTCCTAAGATGCTCCAATGGTTCAGCGTCCAATTTTGGTGTCATTTTTCAACACGAAGGCGTATGAGATGTAGTGGATTCCCTCGTCTGAACAGACCAATTGGTAAGACTTCTCAGACGGGTCAACCCCGCAGTCTCGCATACTACTGATCCGATTATCTGATAACCCTGTTCGGTGTATTTGCTGCTACAGACCCGTATTCCAATTTCAAGCCGTTGCTTCAGTTGCGCAGTCGACAATGCCGGATTGCGGGGATCCCAACCTTTTCTGACCTTCAGAGCAAAACGATCCCCCGTTTAAGCAGTAAGACACCTATTAGCTCATTATCGAACGATAATAATCGTCTCGATGATTCGTTCCCCGGTTCCTGGCAAAAGTAGTGCGCTGTAATGTTTATAGTGCTAACGATTGATGGGCTAGAAGTGCAGATTGCGTTATTACGACCATGAAATGATACAATCGAGCCGTGGGGTATTTCTGGTCCCATATATCCCCCTGCATTCTCCTCGACATTCCGACTTCGGAATACATAACAAAATCCTATTGATAATATCGTGAAATCAAGGGGAAAATCAGAAGTCGGGCGTGAAGCTGACTTCTCGATATAACAATTTCGGATCGTGACATTAAATCAGAGAGGACTGAATTGGTGATAGAGTGACGGGAATGGGATCATCAAGGGATAGTGTCGCAGACCAAGGTATCATCTATGGGGGCCTTGGCCTACATCTCTGATACTGAACCCTTATCAGTCACCACATCACTATGGCTGAGAAGGGCTTTAGCCTGTATCTCCAATACTGAAAGCATATCAAGCACATCATACTCACGATGGATGTCATGCTATTCTTGGTTACGATGCAGGAGATGATAAGGGCACATGGTTCTTACACCATTGCTACATCGCTTGGTATGGAGTCTCATCGGGACTATAGAAATCTCGAGAAGTATATTTGACCTTTCTTTCCTCCCCTCCGATCCATCTACCGAAATGAATTGGAACGTATCCCTATTCTTACCTGCCCTACAACGCAATGACAGACAAGCGCCCCAAGGACAACGGGAAGATGATTCCAGCATATAGTCCGAACAGTATGGAATTGAAGTAGGGCCTGCGGTGGCAAGGGTTGTCCTGGACAATGCAAAGTTGGTGACAGCAAAAGGCAACATTATCACCAAAGAGGGAGCTATCGCGGCCACTGGAGAAACCGACCCAAACATTTCCGCCAATCCCTTTGAGGATCCCCAGATCCGAGACTACTACGTTGGTGTCTATGAGAAAGCAAAATACGAGTGTCGACATGTCTTCGACGCGGAGGCCACATGTACAGAAGAAGAGGAGAAGAAGATCGTCAAGAAACTTGACTGGCATGGTATATACGCGATCTAGTATCTAGGGATTCGACTTATGATTACTCGTAATAGTATGCTTGTGGGCATGTATTATGTTCTTCAGTCTACAGATTGATCGTGGAAACATCAATCAAGCCGTTTCGGGAACATTTTTGAAGGATCTTCACCTTAATACTAACGGTGGGTGGTCCGGCACTACCTTATCATTTGATATCTGACTTACATTATTAGATTTCAATCTTGGCCATACCGTGTTCTTGGTGTCTTTTCTCTTGGCCGAGTTACCATCTCAATTAGTCTCGAAGAAGTTTGGTCCAGACCGCTGGATTCCTACCCAAATGGATTTATGGTCCATAGTCGCCATGTCGCAAGCGGGGCTTCGAGGCAAGCACGAATTTCTTGCAACTCGTGCTCTTCTTGGAATGCTTGAGGTGTGTTAGCTGATTCCCATAATGCGTCCCTGCTGATCGAATCGAATCTAGGGTGGTTTCATCCCAGATCTAGTACTTTGGCTCTCTTACTTCTACACTAGTCGCGAGCTTCCCCTCAGGTTGAGTTTCTTCTGGACAGCCTTGAGTATCACTGGTATCATTGCTTCGCTTCTTGCATTCGGAATCTTCCATCTCGAAGGCCACCATGGTCTTGCTGGCTGGAGGTAGAGTTCCATTTGCTTTATTCTGGGACAATGATTGACACACTTTCAGGTGGATCTTCTTAATCAAAGGAACGCTCACACTTGCCCTTGGCATTGTGTCCTTCTTCCTCATGCCGGCATCTGCAGCCCAGACAAAGACGTGGTTTCGACTTAAGGGATGGTTTACTGATCGCGAACTTTCTACAGTGGTGAATCGAGTGTTAAGATATGATCCCCGCAAAGGTGACTCAACCCTATATCTAGAGGCGAGCCGAGACTGATCCATCGCAATAGGAGGCATGCATAATCGACAGGCAATCACCCCACGTCGACTGTGGACTGCATTGGAAGATTATGATCTCTGGCCAGTAGGTATTTTCTTAACTGGGCTCCAGCGGATGCTAACTGTGGATCAAGATTTACATGCTCGGTATCATATGTTTTATTCCACAGGGACCACCAGCTTACTATCTCACGCAAATTCTTCGGAATCTTGGGTTTAACACAGTAAGTATTCCCTCTACTGGGCGTTCCACCAGCTAATGTCGTTAGTTCAATACCAACCTTCTTACCATTCCATCAGGAGTGGCCCATATGATCACTCTTATCGGCGTTACCTGGCTAAGCGAAAAATTTAATCAACGCGCGCTTTTTGCCATGCTACAAGCCATATGGACCCTTCCTTGCATTATTGCTCTCCGAGTGTGGCCAGGTCTCATGAAAGAACAAATGGGCCACCTTTGGTCTACTCGTCGTGTTACTAAGCTATCCATATTGCCATGCTATTAACGTGTAAGTATACTCCAATGTCGGATAGGCGCGAACTCCCGTGACTGGAGCTAATGACTTTCGGTATTTTTGCAGGGCTTGGGTGTCGAGAAACTCGAACAACGTTGGCTCTCGCAGCATATCTGCCGCCCTATGCAATAGTAAGCTATGTTCATTTCGGCTTCCAGTGCCACCAGACCTAACGACACCGCTCCAGTGGCCGTTCAATTGGGCGGCATCGCCTCGGCAAACATCGATCGTGACGATGACAAGCCGTTGTATAAGCGAGGCAACCAAGTCTTGATTGGAATCAACGTACTGAGCATTGTTCTGTGCCTTTACGCAAAGGTATACTACGTCATCAAGAACAAATTCGTGATCGCAAATGGAATGCAATGACTCCTGAGGTAAGTTTGCCGAGTTTAGCTTCGTGGATCCTGTCTACTGAGGATCAAGACTTCGTGTCGTTTGCTGACTATCATCCCAGGAGCGCATTGACTACACGTACAATACTACGGACACTGCCAGTCGGCAACTCGACTTCCGATTTGCCCATTGAGACTCAATGTCCGATATATCGAGCTCTATTCGGCTTCCCTTGTCCGTGTGGAAGCGCCAGCAAGTGTACCCAAGCGGAACTGCGGACTGACGGGCAAGAACTTGTCCAACCTTACCTATAAATTCAACGTCATTCGTTTCCAAACGATATCCCTTCGGTCACCAACTCCTGTTGATGTTTAATGATTTCATTTGCATTATGGAGATGTTTCCCGTCCTAGACATGTCAATACATTTGTGGTTTCTAGCAGGGGTTTATCTACATTATATTTCATATCATCGAACACACCAATGAAGTGGCCGTCATCTTTCAACGTATTGACTTGGGGGTGTACGGTTGAGTGAAAAGCGCTGGTTATTAGCTATCTATGACAGTCAGTCAATATACGTCCTGGATAGTCTTACATTTGCTTTTGTATCCGAACCTGATCTGTAGTATGACTGATGAATCGTAAATATTCTTGAATGGTCCTATATCGTGCGACTTTGCGCTGGTTCGCAAGAGAACTCACTACCGATATCCTAACGCTCGAAAACAGCCTGCCGCTGCCGATGGACAGTCCTATTAGCCCTAAATCTGACTTCTTGCTGTTGGACTCTGGCCTCAAGCTAGATCTCAATTTTCTGGTGGTATATTATGATCTTTCAGGGCAATGAAACGACACTCCTCGGTCACCAAGTCGATGACGGGGTGTCGCAGCTCGCCGATGTTGGGCAGCATGAGGCAGTGTCGAACCGAATCCCGCATCGTGTGCTCCGAATAACTAAATCATCTAACTGACACGGCGGGAGAAACAAGTACTACCGGATTGAACAGACTTAAATGGAATATCAACACGGCTTTCACCCTTGTTGAATATCCACATCCCAAATGTCTCAGCACCCCGCAACACCGACTATGAAAAATGCCAGCAGAGTTCAAGGGGTGGAATGAGAACACTCTCACCGCGTAGAAACGTCCCAAGCACCCCCAAACTCCAACCGTAAAAAATTATCCAAGTCCCGACGGGAAAGGACGTCAAACGACAGCAAACACATGGGCGGCAGGGAGCGGGGGCATTGGAAGATGTCGCTCTATTCGCCTTCTACTAGATTATCTATGAGCTGGCTCAATCTTCATGCACCGTTAAGTCAACTTCCTTCTGCCTACTTCCGCCAACACTTTTTATGCCTTGGAAATCTCCAATCTGGCTGGTTGTGTTCTCATATCATATCTGCTCAGGTGCTCAGGGGCCGAAGCGGACGCTATACCCAAAGGGAACTAGCGTGTTAACCACTGATACGACTGATGCTGCATTATATGAGAGCCTGGAACATTTCGCTTGCTTCGGGCTCGATATGCTGAGGGGAGTTACCTTAAAATATGGGAACCATGAAGGTGTTAATTCTAAGCCATTAGACACTTATTGCTTGAGGTAGAGATCACCAATCTGCACGGTTGCACCAAACAGGCCCCTGAATCGGGTAGGGAAACACAGTGTCCGCTGTACCACCGCCGACCGCTTCCAAATGTTTCCTAAGTAATTTTGAAACCGTTGTACAGCCAGACTCCATGGATATATGTGCCGCTACATATTCTCATGGTAAAATGCTCTAGATGTTGGATTTGGTTCTGCACACCCCGCTTCAGTGTCTGAGACAGAGCAGCTCGGTTCATGGGCAACAGGTGAACATCATCACAGGACTTCCGAGAATCTCCAAAGGGGGAGAATAAAGGTAATATCTGTATCATCATCACATGTGCCCATCACATTGCCGTGTGGGGCCTAGTTCAAACCTGAAGATAGCACATGCAGGTGACCGATGGTCAAACACAAATAAAGTCGACCTTCCCTCTCAGTGTTTTCTACATTCCACTCCTACATTCCACTCCTACATCTCACACCTACCTAAATCAACATCATCCAACTCTCTGTTCATTCGCTTGAAATCTCGCACACTAGGTACGTATTGGCCTTGTAGGTGATGATATTTACTGACAGAAGTCAAGCTTCGTACTGCAAACCAAATACCAAACCATCAGTCCTCAAGTCGACCATCGTCAAAATGGTTGCGATTTCTAAGCTCTCTGTTGTTGCTGCGGCGATGAGCATCACTGGTAAGTTCCGGTGCCTTCTCCACTCCAGAAGTTCTGCAATCGGGATTTTATCAATGCCTATTCCCATGACCTCATGTCTTGGTCTACAGGAGATGATGGTGATATGGGATTCAAGCGACGTTTTTTCTACTCCAGATTGCCAAGGCTTTTATGCTAATCGGCAGTCCCAGTCTCTGCCAATGACCTTCTCGTGGCGAATGCCAATGGGGTTGGATTACAGGCCCGACATGGTAAGCATCAGTTTCCTCACTTCTAGCTGCTGAATATGACACTGACACGGTAAAGATCCCGAGACTGTCACGGTCACGGTGACTCCGGACTCTTGCCTCCATTGCGCTCATGAGACGTCCGCTCCACCTACGGCCCCGATCGCCAGCTCTGATATTCCTGCAGAGTCCACCTCGGAGCCGTTCCCTCTCCCTCCTTCGGGCATCCATTCCTCTACTCCTTCCGGCGGCGATTACTCAGGCACCATTAGCACCAGCATGACGGCATCTGCTCCGTCCTCCATTCATCATGCCACTACGAGCACCGGCCACAATGAGAGCACTTCTTCTGTGCCGTCCAAGACCACGGTACCTGCTGAAACCAACAAGGCTGCTGGAAAGGTCATCAACGGTGGAGTCCTTGGATTTGTTGCTGGTCTTGTGATGGTAATGGCCTAATCAAATCATAACTCATCCCTGACGACACACCTCCCTACTCCACTACGCCGGATGGCATCCCATAGCTGATCGCGCATTTCCCTCTGCTTTCTCTCTCAAATACCCAGGTGAACGGCGGAGGATTGGTGGACTGGTTCCTTGGGTATAAAATTTGCATTCACGGATAATACTGAGTGGCTTCCATCTCTACATAGCAAAATGGATCTCTGATTCAACCCCTGTTGTCCCCATCTATGCCGTGGTGATGCCGTAGAACACCTTCTTGGGTCCGAAAACCTGAAAACCTGAAACCCGCGGATCACAACCGAACGCAGGTAAAAACGAAACCAGGCCGCAGCGGATCACTGCAGTAGTAATTCCGAGGTGTGCGCGAGATGATGGTCAATCGTCCGGCGCTTACGCATGGTCAAGATCCGGCAACCGCCTCGCGCTTCGTTTGTTTATATTTACTGACCCTTCGGTAGCGTACCGGCAGTAGGGTGATGCAAGTTTTCTTGCCTCTGTATTGGTAGTGATGCGCTCAACACCTTCGTGGCACGACCTTAGCGTCAACGGTCAAGCCCTGAATCGCTTCGTGCTGCTGTGTGACCAAAACAACTCTATGTAACTTCGCACAATGCTCAAGTATCGAATATTGTACAACATTATTAATTCGGCACCCCGGAAGACCGAGCTCCAACACTCCTGCACTTTAAAGCGTAGTGTAAAGGAATCCGGTTGACGATCCCTGGTTCCGTTTGCCTCTGTTCGCCATTATCCGTCATCATCGTCAACTGCCCGACAAAGTGTGCAGCCATTCTGTACGGCGGCGCGGATAATGTGCGCATGCGCAACTTTCGCTCCCACGCTTCTAGTCGACTCGATGAACTCGTTACCCGTCGCGGCATCGACGGCCAATCGGGCCTGCAGACGTTCCGCCGCTGCAATGCTGTCCGGGTTGGACGATGGGAACGTTTTGAGCATGCAGGATAGGTGATAGACATGCCCGCACGCAAAACCGAGGAGTGTTTCATAATCTGCGAAATGTTAGTTGCATGCAGGAAAGCGACGATGCAAAAAGGCTGACCGTCTTCGTGGAAAACTCTTCCGCACTCAACGCAGTGTCCGGCTTTCGCTTCTTTCGGGCTTCTCCCTGGCGACATTGGCAATTCACCTGCGTCATCCAGATTGTTCGAGGCGTCTGACTCCAGTTGCGGTTGTGCCTCCGCCGATGTTTCTATCTCGCCATCCGGCTCAAGGATTTGTGGCAATTCGTACTCAATGTCGAACTTCACCCCTTTTCTTCGGCCTTCACGCAGTTTATCCAAGCCCGCAGCAACTTCGCTATAGAGCACGCGTGCGACGCCTTCGGAGATGCTGTTCTGCAGCTCGAACTCTTTTACCATGCGGCCGATGCCATCCCGAAGTCCATCGATCTCCAGTCCCTCGGGGATGCGCCGAATAAGCTTGATAGGGTCGATGGCAGTGCCGATTTCATACAGTAGTCCGCGAATGAAACTGGGTTTATCCATACTGTAATCCAGGAGGTCGTCCCACAGGTCCTGGTCAGCTTGATCTTTAGCATAAGAGATAGCCATCGAGACGTCGGCAAGGGAGTCGATTATGAGATATAAAGCACGCTTGGTTTCACCAGTTTTGGAGAGAAGGAATCTGTGGATATCATCAATTAGTTCCATGGAAGGAGCTTGGGATGGTAAGTTTCCGACTTACACCAGCTCTTCAGTGTAACCTCTTTTCTCACAGATCGCGATAGCTCCACCCAAAGCGTAGCTGTCCGATGCCCGAAGAAACTCCTTGAGAAGGGGCCGATCATATTCAGCGAAGAGTTCCACCGCCAGATCGCCAAACTCTTCGACGAAAGACTGCCCCTCGATGGCAACACGATCGCGCATCCTCGACGTTTTCGTGCCTTTCTCACTCCCGCCACCTTTCCACAAGGCTTTCAAGTAGAAGTACAGAAACGGCTGAATCTTCGGTCCCTTCGTCTGTAGTTGATCGACCACGGTGTCGGACGGCACTATGCCTTGGTAGGCTTCATCGACGAGCAGCCGCACGGCTTCCGAGCTGAGTTCCTCAAGTTCACTGAGATGACCTGCGCTAAGCTGCTCTTTCGATATTCTTAGAAGAAGGAATCCTTGGATGTCATCCGACAAAGCCCCGACGAGGTGGTAGTCTCTTATGAGCGCCATTGCCGCGTCCGCATCTTGCAATTGAATGTAGCACTTCAGCGCATCCTTCTGTCTGCCGCTGGCGACGTAGAGTCGAGCGAGAGAGCTCAACAGGAACCGCCAATCTCGGCCCTTTTCGCCATCCTCTACGGTTTCTTCTGTCGCAAGGCCGGAATCCAACTGGCTCTCGATGGCCGAAATGACGCTTTTCGAGTCGAAAAGGTCGGGGTCCCAGATGTCAAGCAGGTCCCGTAATCGAGATTGATCATGGTGGATGTAATGGCCAAGGACGACGGTGTATACATCTGAAGGCAATGCCGGATGGATGTCGTAACTTGGGATGTGAGGTGTTATCTCATCAAACCGCCCAGCATGTGCAAAGGTAAGCACCCAGTGTTCCCATCTCGATGACGTGCCCAAAACTTGACCCGCAACTCGACCAGCAGTGACCCAATCTCCGGCAGAGACGAGCTGCTGAAGCCAGAGCTCGCCGACCCTGCGTTTCTCCTTCGACACGGCCGAATTATGGGCCTTGTTCATGGAGAGGGTAGTCTGCGACGCGCTATCGTCGGCCAAAAAGTCCGCCAAACTTTGTCCTTTCTTGGAGGGGGTGGTCGGTGTTTCGTCGCCGCTGGGCCGGTCGGGGGCAATGGCAACCACTTCCGGATGCTCATTGATGAGCTCCCATGCGCGTTGATACTTTCGGTGGTCCAACAGGAAAGAGAGATGATCGGATAGATCCCTCTTGATCGCCAAAATCGAGTCATAAGGGCTTGCGAGGAAAATCTTCAGTCCTGGACGGATCGCTGCAACGGGAACCTCCTTTAAAGCCCTCGTCGAAGGCGCGACTTTTCCCGAGCCAGTAGAGCCTGGCGGTGTCGAAGCTTTATCCTTTTCGCTACTCGGAAGACTGAAGATACTTGCCCCCGAGCTAAATACTCTTCCCGCGCTGGCTCCGGCATCCCACAAACTGCCAGAAATCGCCCCGAGCGCGCCTCGCTGCGTTTGCAGCGGTCCTTGGTTCGCGGGCACGTACAGGGTGCTGATGTGGTAGTCCGCGGCGGCCAATGACTCGTATCGACTAATTGTTAACATGTCTACATCTACTTCGTCTTTCGTATTCACGTCGATCAGACGGACTTCGGGAGACAATCCATTCTGTCTGTGATGCACGCCTCGTCGTGGTGTCGTCTCGAGCGAGGGAGCGATGGGTTTATCGTCGTCGTCCTTGGTCCGGTATGCAAGAATCAGAAGTAAAGAAGGGGTATAGAGCGCCAGACCCGATAATATGCAGTCGTCAAAGAACAGTCTACACGTATTAGCTTCTTGATCACGATTCGGGCTCTTCTTACATACTTGTGTACAATATCCACACTGCCGGAGAACCTCTCGCCGGCATCTTTCCCAACACCGGCTCGCTCCGATTTGACGAGAAGTACCCATGCTGTATCGCCCCACCCGACAACCAGCTTCTCTACCGAATGTTTTGCGTTGGTCCCATTCTGCACAACTGGACCCTCCTCATCGGATTCGAGCCAGTCCGTGTTCACCCAGTCGGCGCGGCCTTTCCATCCACCACCAAGATCTTCCCAGTTCCCATGCTTCGGCCTGTCGATATGGCCGATGGTCTTCCAGGCGCGTTCGGAATCCAGGCTGTCTAGCTTGAGGTTTGTCCGCATGATTTTGATTCCATGCTCGTTGATCCACACGACAAACTTCCCCGATAGCGACCACTTGATCGTGCTAATGCTACCCTCCCCGGAGTGCAAGACCGCGTCCTTCCCAGGGTTGGATCCGATTCCAAGCGAGCCCAGCCAACCCGACGCCGCCGCAGCTGCGCTGTTCGTGTTGGCATTGGACGAGGCGCCAAGTCGGCCGCCACTTGTGAGGATCAATTGCCCGGCAAGGCCCCCCGACACGAATGACCGGTCGCTCTTATACTCAGGGGACAACGCCACCGCCTGGATCGGCCGGGCGAAGTTCCGCAGCATCACGTCCTTTGGGTCCACCAACGACTGGACACATACGTGACCGTCGATCGAGGCAGTCGCGATGTATATCGAGTTGGAGGGCGTTGTGGGGATCTGAGCATGTCGTGGAGTACGAGGGGACGACGTTGGCGGTGCCATGGGAGCCGACCGTCGACTCTCGGGGCTCGTGACTCGTGGTTTCGTCGCGGCCTCGGAACGCGCTGATGGCAATGGCGGAGGGAATGGCGAGACGGAGACGGAGGTAATCGAGGCGGTATGTGCGCGATAGTGCCGAAGGCTTTGGAACGAAGGAATCGTGAGGACATGGACGCTTCCGTTATGTGTCCCCATGATCATCTTGTCTCCCGCAACCATAAAGGCACTTGTCGCGTCGCCATTGCGATAGACGGGGCTGAGCATCGATGTGAGGCGGGTGTACTTGAGCTTCGGCTCGTCCTCGTCCTCTCCATCGTCTTCCTCGGCCGTATGATTGGGGTCCGGAGAGGCATTCTGGGGAAGTGGTGGAGGATTCGGCGGCGTCTCCGGGCGCCTTTTGAATATATCATCTTGGTCTCCCTCTTCTGATTCCCCAGCCATGCTGAGGCATGCACTGCGAAGACTCAGGGGTGATGTAGCAGCTTCATGTATGGTATGGTCGACCTGGGAGTTGGTTTGGCTGGTGTCCGTATGGGTGAATCGAAGGATGATGTCGTTGGTTCTCTAGTTCCACCATCTGTCCGACACAGTGATCTCACCCTGTTCTGGTCCAACACAAAGGCACCAAGGCACCAACTCCAATGGACCGAGGATGCCCCGGTACCTGATTCCCGGTCCTGGCTGATCCGTGAATAATACGCTAATACATGCTAAAATGCGTAACTATGTGCATGAGTAAATTACTGAAATATTCCGTATTGGTACACTAATTACCGGACAGTGGACGGAGACATGACAAGGCTAATACTCCATATTAAAGTGCGATAATACGGAATACAAAGTTTGAATAACGATATCTTGCATTTCTTTGGAGGTGCTCTAACAGAAGAACGTTGCCGTTTAACACCTACCGCTTCGCCTTTATATTAGTAGCATCTGTGGAATCTGTAGCATCTGCGGCATTGGATATTGCCAATGATGATTCCTTCAGCTCTTCATCGATAAAACCCCCGACCTTACCTGTCCATGCAATCGTTGCTCCGCATCTCCGCTCCTGGCACCCTTCGAACCCTCCACCGCGCACCACGATGCCGGTTGGACTCAATTGCCAATGGAGCGGTTGTCTCAGTTTCTACTACTCGGACATCTCATCCCCAATGCTTCTCGGTAGCCCCACGACTCCATAAGAAGAAGGACTCCGCCGAAACGAGCAATGAGGGGGATGTCCAATCGCTCAAGATCCCCCCGTCCAAAGCATCGCGGTCTGCTATTAGCGCCACATCTCTTCGGAGAGTCGCCGTCGAGGCCGAGCGGTCACGAGGCACGTATCTCCGACAGAGAGGCGGGCGTCACTTCGTCGACCCCGATGCGGTGACCAAGGTATTCGCGCCCACGATTCCGCGTCCGTCGCACCACTGACCCGCGGATCGCAGAAAGTCTTCGCGTATTGCGCCGCCGAGCGATACGACATCGCCGCCGTGGCGCGCCTGGTCCGCCACGACGGCTTCGTCCTCGACCCGTTCCGCACGGGGCTGTATCCCCAGGTAGTGCATGTCCAGACCCCGATCTACCCCGATCACCTCACCGAACCGGAGAAGCTGGACGGCCACGGCGATGTGTTTATCTTCCCGTCTGGGACCATGGTGGCGTGGAACGTCCCGGAGAAGATCCGCACCCGGCTCGTGCAGACCGTGCTGGCGCCCGCGGCGGAGAACCCCTTCGAGCCGGAAACGGACAACTTGGAGTATTTGGAGGATCCGTCCAACGACGTTAGCTCCGTCGTGGGCGACACGATCGTGCTCGGCACGCGGTCCGAGAAATCTGGCTTGAGTCGTACCGTGCCGAGAACTCATGAAGATGGGCTCGACCCGATGCCGCCTGAAGGCACCGGGCAGGAGCAGCATCCGATGGAGTCGCCGGAGGGCGACACGATCCTCGCCAAGATTGCCTTCTCCTCTGGCCTCGCGCGGTCCACCAAGCTGCAAGTCCTGGAAACGCTCCTCGACCACTACTTCGAGTCGACCCGGTCCATCCCGCTGGAGCTGTCGCGGGGCAAAAGCCTCCCGTTCGGCCGGCAGGGCATCCTGCGCAAGACGGGCGAGCTGCTGAACATCCGCGCGCAGCTGAACCTCTACTCCGAGCTGACGGACTCGTTGCCCGACATCTTTTGGGACAGCCGGCATGAGCTGGGGCTGGAGGGATATTTCGACAACGTGGGACGCGCGTTGGACGTGGGCGTGCGCATTAAGGTGCTCAATGAGAAGATGGACTATGCGCAGGAGATCGCCGCCGTGCTGAGGGAGCGGCTCAGTGAACAGCATGGCACCAGGCTAGAATGGGGTATCATCGTTCTCATTATGATCGAGGTGCTCATTGAGTTCCGAAGGCTCTTCCTCGAGGATGCGCCTACCGAGGAAGACATGAAGATGCTGCGGGAGTGGAGGCGTAAAACGGAGCAGGACAGGACCATTTCGGATAAAAACTAAACTTATAGGCTGGGAGTTGCGAGATCGTCTAGTTCTCTCCACTTTCATCCTCCTTGGGCAAACTATTGCTGGCTAGGAATGAATCACCGCAACGAAGTTATGCTATCCTCGCTCACATCAACTCATAGACAATTTATTAGGCCCTTGATCCCTCAAGCGTACAGTCCTATGAATTTTATCTCATAAAAATGGTGCCGCTGATCCCGATCAAGGAGTATGCACCACCGCCCGCCCATCAGTCCGAGTGCACCTCTAATCTCAATGCCATCAACCCAGCGCGAGCCATATCGACATGATAGCAAATATGTACAATGCCTGTCAGCAAGGGGTCGAACACAATGCAGTTGCATTATGTTTCCTCCTCGCTGCTCTCATTCAACTTCACTTGCGTGACGTCCTCCTTTATTAACTGGCCTGCCTCGGGGCCCTTGGGAAACCAGCCAAGACGATCATAGACGCTGCGCGCGCGGATATACGGATCAAGCTCCCAGTAGTTGTCTCGTAGCTCCTTGGCAATAGTGTGTCGTTTCCTCTTGATCTTCTCGATGGCCGCCTCGTCGATCTTTTCATCGCCTTGCGTCGTTACTCCGCGAGAGAGGAGGGTGCTTTTCAAAACCCACTCGAACGTCGTCTCTTCGAAGCTCGAGACGATCTCTTCTCTTCGCTTTTTCAACCGTTCCGCGGTCTCCGTATCCTTCATTTTGTCATTCTCGCCCGGAATGCCCTCACGGTATTTCCACTCAAACTTGTTGTCGCCGCCGAGCTCTTGGATTATCCGTGACTTGGGGATGAACTCTTCGAGGTCCTCGACGTTCTTGGTGAAATGGATCTTCGATGCGACCACGGGGTCAAGCCATCCTTTGATGATACTGAAGACACCTATTTCGGGGTTAGGAAGCACGTTCAAGGTCGGAGAACTGGGGGTGGCGCATACTTGAAAATATCCAAGGCGCTTTGTGAATGAGCACGACGCCTAATGACTCGGGGTAGTTGGCTTCGAAGCATTTGATCATGAATTTGACAGGCGCGTAATCCTTGCACAATGTCAGCGGTCGGCCCCATGAGCTATCACGAGGCGACAAGACTGACCATGTTCGCAAGAGAAAAGCCGGTCATATCGAATACGAGGGCCTGTAGGAGGTCAGCCAAATCCAACGTCCGAGATCACCGAACATACCGCTGTGTCCACCGGCGGGCGCAGCATCATCCTCGCGGTTTCGATGGTGTAGATGGTGTATCGCTCGAGACTGGACTCGGATTGATCCCCCGCATGGTGTAATCGCGTCCGAATCAAGCAGATCGGCCTCCCAACCTTATCCGCGCCGACGATGAAGCTCTTCCCCAACCGCAATTGCTCCAGGAAGTCTTCGCCTTCCCCCTTGACGTCTGGGTCCTCGCTTTGCGCCCATCGCTGCGCACCTTCCTCGCCCTCTTTCATGATTTCCACGTCCACCTTGCCCTCAGCGAGTCGCCAGTGAAGCGCGCTCACCGCCATAACCAGCGCGGCTTGTGAATCCCATTTTCGCGCACGGAGGAATCGTAGCAAGAGGGCGTCGGGGTGGTCGTGTTTCGTCATATCCCAGAACGCGGTTCGTAGATCCGCGCTCGAGTATTTCGTCAGGGCCTCTTTGAATTGCTTGGTCATACCGTGCTTGTCGTCTTCGATGCTGAGCTTGGAGACGTCATTCGTCGCCTTTTCGACCGGTTCAGATGTATGGCTATCGGGCTTCGAAAGCGAATCCGCCTCTCCTTCTTTCTTCTTCCTGCTAAACAATGCCCGTGCCTTCTTCCGCTTCGAGCCATCGAGGGCGACGTTCTCGTTCGGAACCCCTGACGTCGGATCGTTCAAGACATCCAACAATTCCTGATCCACGATTCCGAAGGCGCGTGCTGCTAACACCCAAAATTCCCGCAGTATGACCTCTTGTTCCGCGGTGAGAGTCCCCGGCCGCGCGGGATTGATCTTGGAGGGATCGCCCAGCAAATCGAGCAACTCGGCATCGTCGACCGCAACAGATGTCTGGCCATTGGTCTCGCTCTCGGGTGCCGCCATGTCACCGTGGGAGATCGAATTCCGCTCGGACCGGATATACACAGACAAGGCGAACGAAAGCGCTGCGACGACCGCAAATGTCAACAGGCTCTTCGGCGCAAGGGATGGTGAAGCAGGATTCGATGTGGTTGTCAATGGCCTCCGCACGGTTCCGCAGCCGACGCAATTGCGAAGATGAAGTTGTGGACGATGTGCTTTGGCGTGGTGGAGGACGAATGCCCTAGTGGAAGGACATGAAGACGCAGGAGGAAGCGGGAAGGGCCGTTGCAGCAGTTTATAGACTTGATGCGCAGGAGAGATGCGGGGACGCATCGACGCTCCCACGGAAGGAGTATCCTCGCACGTCGCAACGTAATGGCGAAGCGAACGGATAAGAAGGGGCCGAAATCCGTATGTAAGTGGAGTCTATTGGAATTGCAATTCAAGGAGGGTATTAATATACAGCACCAACGTCCAACACCTGTTGTCGTCTGATGGTCTCGCAAGATATGCCGGACTCATTCACAATTCACAGTTTCCATCGATTCCCCGTCTCCACTAATCACGGCGGTGCATTTCGTCAATGATCAATGATCAACTGAACCCCAACATGAAATATCTGGCAAGCTTCATCAGATGGCGCATATATGATGACTAATATTAGATATGCATACCGGCAGTCGTAACAATTACGAGTCCATCATGGTGCAGTTACAATGTTACCAGTACATAGTGAACAGCGTAGAACATTCTGTTGAGCTGCCCTGCAGCGTGTAAGAACCTATCGCACGTGTTCTGTGGCTTTGACAGGGACAAGACGGGATCCAATGCAGACGGAGTATGGAATACACAGAATTAATTCCGTACTACTCAATTACATCATCTCCTCTTCGACACGGCCTCGAGGTTTGAATGCATCTTGTCTACGGAGTATTCGTGTTTGTTGGACATATCACGCGACACGCAGCTGACAGGAGAGCCGATCCCATGTATGGCTGGGAGCAAGACAACTGATAAAACCACACGTGCTGCGAATTCAATTTCAATATTAATACGAAGTACAACATGATTGATAGAGGATTGATACAAGAAGAACGGAAGAAGGTGCGGAGGAATAGTACCTGCCTTAGTTAAGTTAATAGTACCTGCCTTAACTAGTTAGTTAATTATATCTGACGATTTCCGTACTACACAAAGTACCCGGGCCGTGGAGGGTAAGGAAATGGTAATTACTGGACTGCTGCTGTGAGGGGAACCTCTACTAGTTATGGATCACACTGTACCAAACAAACAATCAAGACACGACAAGACCGAATATCAAACTGCTTCCCCGACTCCATCCACACAGTGTTCAAGAATCGACAACGCCTTATTTCGCCGCTCACATCCTTCCATTGACAATGGCAACCACCACCCCATCCAACCCCTCCTATCCCGAAAAGCGCTCCTCGTCACGTACCCGCAACCCCCCTTCGCGTCCCACCACCCCTCTCCGCCCGACCTCTCGCTCCTCCCTCCGCGATTCAACCCGACAAGCCACCCTCGCGGCCTCGCAAAGCGCCGTCGACGGCGGGTTTCCCCTGGATGCGCTCGAGCCGCGGTTTGCGGAGCTGTCGGACGCGATGGGGGACCTGGAGGCCAACTTCATGCACCTGCAGATCATGCACGAGAGCTTGGGTCGGTTCAGCGAGGACTTTGCGGCGTTTTTGTATGGGATGAATATGAATGCGTTCTGTGTGGACTATCCAGAGGTACGTCCCCTCGAAGGAGAGGCATGGTCGAGATGCGGAGAACAGAGTAGTCCTGATCAATATAACAGGCTCCGATTCCAGAGTCGTTCAAGCGAGCCAGTCAACGTCAACCGCAGGAGGAAGGTCCGATGTCAAGAGAACCCGATTCAGATGCAGAGGCAACGTTCTTGTATGACCTCTTTCCTACATTCAAACCAATGCGTCCCCTACTGACTCATTTCTTAGGACTACCGATACGTCCTTCGTCGACAATCCACCTACATCGTCGAAAGCATCTTCGAGGTTCATGACCCCCGGCCCAAGACGCGCGGGAATTGGACGCGGAGGACCTACGAGAGGGACAGGACGCGGCTCCGCCGCTGCACGAGGGCCCTCGACTAGAGCGAGTGGCCTGGCACGAGCGACGACTCGAGGAAGAGGCAGGGGTCACTGAACGAAAGTCTTCCAACCCAACGATCAACCGAGAAATCCAGAACGCAAATGATCATTTAATGAGCGTTACAACATTATTTCTATTGACATTAATCCACCCCAAATCCACCTCCGATTAACTAGCCCACGAAGTACGATACGCTCCGAAGTTGAGGAATTTCGTGCATCGCCGTCGTCTCATCGCCGTCGTCTCGATCTTGCCCGCGCCAGGGATATATATGCTAATGTCATGCGGCTCCTACCTAGGGCCTGGCGCCTCAAGGAAATCATAATAGGAGTAAGTCCTAGTGCCATCGCAGAAGTGGTATCTCAAAGGGATTGAAAGGAACACTCAGAATGCAAAGAAGAGGTGACTGTTGTGTTTATGGCGCGAAAAAAAAGGATGAAGGTTTAGGCATGGGCCTGCGAGAACGCCGACCAATTCTCGCGGCGGACTGCCCAGCCCTTGATGGCGATCACGACTGTTTCCCACGCCATGATGAGACAGGACAGACCCATGGTGACGGTGAAGACAAACATGGCCTCGATCTTGTTATCGTCCAGGGCATAGATGATGGTGTGCGTGCTCTCCATGAAGATCAAGCCGCCGCCGATGAGGCAAAACGCCGTGACGATTTCGGACGGAGGTCGGGATGGAAGGTATGAGGTCGGCGGGGATATGTACAGGGTGACGTACGTGACGGCTCGGGAAATGGCACCGGCCACGAACAGCATGCCCCATTGCTTGTGCACCATCGCGGAGGTCATCGAGTGCTGGTGGTGGGAGCTCATCATGATACCAAGAAGGAGGACGATGACACCAGGCATGGGATTCATCGGGAATCGATATTGCTTGGGGGCGTCCCATTGGTCGTCTGTGGAGTCAGGACCAAACCGCTGGGGGAGTGATGCATCCTTCGTCACGAGGATAGAAGTGTTCAGGAGCTCTCGAACTTTATGGGACTCGATGAGCATTCCGAGCTGCAGCACCTGTTAGCGAAATTGTATGGCAAAGCATGGGAATTCGTCTACGCACCAATCCACCGCCGAAGAACATAATGGTGATGGACACATGCTCCAAATCTTGCGCCCGCCACGGTCCACCGGCCCCGCCCAAATGCTCAAGGAAGATGTTGGAAGCTCCGTAGAGGAAAATGAGGAACGATTCCATGAATTCGGCGGACACAAACCCGGCTTTGCGTGGACCAACCAGCGTCGCCGGAGGTTTCACATTCCACGCCCACCCCAGGTCGGCGAAGCTGCCCATCCATCTTCCCAATGTCACCAACCCATACCAGAAGAAGATGCCGCCTTTGACAAAATGCGCAAGCCCTCCAAAGACGTCTTTGCCGCGCTGCAACACTAAATTAACCATCATGGTCATCGCAGCTCTCGCGAAACTCGATCACTTACGAAAATGCCTCCGTACACGACACCACCTGACGTCAGCGCCAAAAATCCGAGGATGAGGATGGTGCGCTCAACTGCCGTGTAAATGAAGCTCATAACCTTCAACGTCTTTCGGAAAGCTGCAATGCGATACACGTTGCGCGACAGCATCTTATCGACATACGTGTTCCGCAAAAAGCTGCGCTTCTCCGGCTCGTCTGGCTCGTCGTCCTCGGCATCATCAAGGCGGATATTGCTGTGTCCAAGGTCGAATGGCCGGGTTTCGGAGGCGATGCTCGGCGATCGCGTGTGCGCACCGAGCAGCGAGGACGAGTGGCGCTCGGTGCCCTGACCCGAGTCACCGGACCAGCGCACTTCGTCGTACGGCGACTGCTCCCGCAGCCGGTCGTACTGGGCGATGTTGGCGGCCGACACCGGCTCGCAGTCGTACGATGTGCGGTGGGTGGCTTTCGCACGGGAGGTATATACGTTGAGGATGGCCATGACCGCCCAGGCCACGGCGATCCAGGTAATCGCCCACCCAATGGGATGATGTACGTTGTGCTCGTAGAGATCCGGAGTGGAGGCATTGTAGATGACGGCGAACAAGACGGCGACGGCGTTCACCAGCAAGAACAGAAATTGTGCCGGGAGCGTGTATCGAGACCCGGCCACGCTAAACACCACGCCAAGCGGTAAAATCACAACCCAAGCTATGACGCTCAGGATGATATGAGCCGTGATCATACTGGGGTGGCCTCCATCTGCGAAGTAACTCGGTTTGTAGGTCGGCATCGGCGCATCGCCACCGACAGCCAGCGTGCTCGACGCTTCATGTCCGGAGCTTGTCCCACCCATGTTCATGTCGTGCGAGGTGTCACCATGCTCGTCGTCGCTGTGAGCTACTACCAGCGGCAGAAGCAGGACCAGAGCGGTAGCTATGGGAAGGGAAAAGCTAGTGGGGCCCCACATCGACGCTAACTGTCGAGGGAGTTGGGGACGACAGTAGGTATATGTTTGAATAGGGACTTGGGATGCGGATAGGATTGGTTAGGAAATTGTTTCTGGAGGTAAAATCCGTGCAGTGAATGGCTCAGTCACCAATATCCGTCTTAGCGTGAGGTGGGGCATACGGAGAGAGAAGCCGGCGAGACGTCGATTGACGTGCGAGGAGGGGGAGGTAAACGGATCTAAAAGGCACTGAGGATAGGACAGCAATGGAGAAGGAAAGGCAGACTGAGGTTGTAAATATACATGCAGGATGGGTCATAGGGCGGAACGCTGCGGCAAGGGACGGGGCTACAGAAATCTTGAAGGAATTGGTCGTATTACGAGTGTCCCAAGCAGAGCTTCGCGCAGCGATTTTTTTTCCAACAACCCTCCGATCTTTTCAGTTCCTACTATCCTTCTACCCCCCCGTTCAACAAGTTTTGTACCGCTCGTCTACGACCATCAAGAGTACCAATACCATTTCCTTTGAGCGGCTTTGAGGATTGACCGTCGTCTTGACGATACGCGGGACCGATTCCGCATTTCCGCATTTCGCTCGACGATAAACCGTGACGTCCGCCGTCCCGTTCGCAAATCCAGGGTCTTTTTCAAGGTATGTCCCTAGCTGTATGCTATGCTAGTAGCTCCAGGGTTTTTGTCACTTATGTCAGGCCTCCGGGTGTTGTTGGCTTGCTGCAGCCACGCCACTGCATACGCATGCCACAGCATCATGATCATCCCCCGCGGGCTTGGTCGGTGTTAAGACACAACCCTGTCGGTCGGAGGGTGGTCGGAGGTTGGATGCCGATAAATCGTGATGGATCGTGCCGTGTATACGGGTATTCCGGAAGGTAGGTACATAGTCACCGTATAATTTGTGTACCTGGTGGTGGCGGTGATAATGGTCGAAGCATATTCCGTATTGACGATTGTTCAATATACCATACTCGTGATATCTTCATATGTCTACCCTCCATACGATAGTGGTCCCAACCCAAGTCCAAAGGGTGCTTGTTGTACGGAGTATCTAGAGGGTACTTTGTCCCCAGCTGCCAAAAGCACCGCCGCCCATCCCGAGCACCACATGCACACTCCGCTGCTACACACCATTATTAATTCCACTCCCTCTTGTTGGACTTCGGGTTAGCCTGTCAGCGACTCGGCCCTGACCTGCATGCTGCTGCCTAAGTCCTGACAAATTCATACTAGACAGACAACAGCCCACTCATCGAACAGAGCCGCGAGGTTCGTTAACCCCAAGCCCGACCTGGGCCACGAGATTCCGGCTCTATCCTATGTTCCCACAAAAGTCATCCAGTGCTCAAATCACTGATACGTCGTTACGACTGACGAGGCATCGAATTTATACGCACGTACGAACAAATTGCTCAAAACACCAGCAGGAAATATGAACCACCTGATGTCTGGATTCTGATTCTCACCCCGCGATATCGCTGATGCCAAAACCGTTGTGAGACGCAGATACATCCATCAGGCGCTGCTGTGGCCGCTCGCCAATCACTTTGATGGTCAAACAAGGGCCTAGCTGCCCATGCCGCATGCAGTATTAATAATAATTTGCAGAATGCAGACAAATCCAAGAGGCTTGACCGCTGGAGGCGTAATCAATTTCAGGGTTCAACCTCACATTCCGGCACTCCGAGTTCTGACGTCCACTGTCTCGTGGTTGTGTGTCAAGTGTGAAGAACACCCTATCCTTGACCTGTTGCGACGATGCCATCATATGTACGAAGACCCAACACCCTCGTGTGATGTTCTCCCCTTCTTATACGAATACCGCCTCCAATAAGGGCCAGCGGTCTTGAGGAGTAGGATTTGGACTGATGTTCCCCTGTTCCTGGGCAAGTCAACAATCGCCAATCAAACATGTCTTCTGCTTCTCCCGGACATCCGATTCTCCGACCGGGCTGGTACCATCCAAGTCTGAACTCTGAACTCCTCTGGGCTCTGAAGTGGTAAAAGTCCAAACCATGAGGCCTCTACGCGCTTCCGGTTGGTGGTTGGCGCCCAGAAGTGGCTGAAGTGCATCTTCCATAGGCACTTCAACCGCAGTCTCATAGATTCCTAGCGCTTGGCAGCGTCTCAGTCCTCCCAAGTCCAAAAGACCAAAGACGGGACTTCGGAATTTGGAATCCTCTTCCGCGACCTTCCGCAGTAGGGTTTCCAAAAATTATATATTTCAAGCGCCAGTCTCCAGCTGCACCATCTGGTCATCCGACAACCAGTCTCGGTCAACCATAATAGCTTTGACGTTTGAACCGATGGTGGGGTTTCAACTTTCAAGGAAAAACATTCGGAGTTCCGCCGAACATCAATATAAGTTGAAGAACGTTTTGAGATCCCGTCCAGAGTCTAGATCTCCTTACTGGTACCCTCTGGTGGGGACGAAATTGAGTTACGTTTCTTGGCATTCCCCCAACCATCACCACCATTACAGGCAGGCCCAATTCGCTCAAAAACAACATAATACCAAAAAGTATACTCTTTTCCTAATTAAGCAACTACTAGAGGTCTGTTTTAGTGAATTCTCTGCCGCGTTTTGGTTAAGATCGTGGGAACTGTGCTTAGGGGAATGCCAAGAAACGTAACTCAATTTCTTCCCCCCGGAGGTACGTATTTATGAGGATCATCATGTATGAACCCCTAGTTGCTATTAGCGGGTACTCCCCACCGATCAGCAATACCCGATAATACACGATATTACTCCTAACGGGAATGCATTGCATCACTCGCCATTGTCCAAGTTCTTCATTTATCAATGTATATTCCAAGCCCAGGAAGTAAAAATCCGAAGTGGAGAACCACAAGGTTTGTTTTTGCTACAGCTCAACTACTCAAGGGTACGTTTTGTGGGGGAACAGATGCATGCCGATCGAAATCATACTACTATGTACAGGCATCTCATCCAAGCAGAAAATCCATCCATACTGCCACAGGTTGCTAGGGCTCCGACGTGCAGTATAACGTCTCGAATCGTTTCACATCCCTCCCTAGCCCCTATGATTGGTAGATCGTTCAGTTCGGAGAGGTTCTTGATGTCAGCACATTCTGGGGTGAAGTTTTTGGAGTTGGCACATTGGCGCCATGAGGATAGAGGAGCCTGCCCAGTATACCAAGGCCCCCCAACCGAAATATCAATAACTCATAACCGCCACATCTCATAATAGCGGTGGTTTTATGGGTAATGCCAAAGTTTGGAAATTGGAATCGTCTTGGAGACTTGGACCATGCAAGGGCTATCTAAAAACCGAATGGACAAGATCCAAACTCCAAAGAGAATGATTCTTGGTGGAACCGTAGAACGAATGCATGGGAGATTATTGAAGAGGAAGAAATGGTGAAGTGAGGACAAAGACTTACCATAGTAGTCATGGATAGTCACGTGCAGTTACATTCAAGGCTTCTGGACCTTCACGTGACAGTAGTACGTACCCAGAGCCCACTAATTCCGATACACAGCCTCTCTAATCCCTGTAAACCCCTCTTCCCCCTGCAAGCCCCTGAGATCCCCTCTGACATGAACCAGAATTGATGGAACAAACCTCCAATTCCTCCTGCGGCCAAGACAGCCATCCTCCTCCTCATCGTCTTCTTCAACTTCTTCAACTTCTTCATCGATATTCATCGCATCGTCCTTTTTTCCACATTCTCTTTCCTCTTATTGTATCCTCTATATCTATTAATTGAGGGCCTTTCTTGTCACTCGTTCGACTCATCCCTTTCACTTGACCTTGTTCACTCGCTGCTGCCGCTTTAGGCCTGCTTTTGGGCCCCGTGTAAATCCCTCCTGTAGGACTCCTTATTCTTCTGTTTATCGTCCCTGTCGTCAATTCTTCTCGCATCCTCCATCGCTCGTCGCTAATCATTGCATCAGTATCGGTCCACATTCCCATCCATCCCTTATTCCACAGTACCTCACCGACCTTCCACAATGAGGTCTTCAGTCCTCTCAACCGTTGCAACAACGGTTGCCATCCTCGCCTCAACCGTTGTAGCTGACGTGGACCCGATTGTCATCAAGGGCTCCAAGTTCTTCTACAAGTCCAATGGCACCCAGTTCTTCATGAAGGGCATTGCCTACCAGGGTACGACGTTACCTTCTCTCTCGAATTGGCCTACGAAGATGCTAACCATACCCAGAGGATATTTCCACCAACGGCTCCATATCCGGCGCGGATCTCAATAAATACGTTGACCCGCTTGCCGACGTTGCTGGCTGCACCCGCGATATTCCGGCTTTGGTTGAGCTCCAGACCAACACCATCCGTGTCTATGCTATCGATCCTACCAAGGACCACGATGCATGCATGAAGATGCTCGGGGATGCCGGCATCTATGTCATTGCCGATCTGTCACAACCTGCCCTGTCGATCAACCGAGACGATGCCGCTTGGAATGATGATCTGTACGAACGGTACACCGCCGTCGTGGATGCTCTAGCCCCATACGATAACACCCTCGGCTTCTTTGCCGGAAACGAAGTTTCGAACGCTCCCAACAACACCGATGCCAGCGCTTTCGTTAAGGCTGCCGTCCGTGATACCAAGCAATACATCAAAACAAAGAACTACCGCACCATCGGCGTTGGCTATGCCACCAATGACGATGCCGATATCCGTCAGAACTTGGCCAAATACTTCAACTGCGGCGATGCGTCGGAGTCCATTGACTTCTGGGGTTACAACATCTACTCATGGTGCGGCGACTCTTCTTTCAAGGAGTCCGGATTCGATGTGCGCACCAAGGAATTCGAGGACTACAATGTCCCGGTCTTCTTCGCCGAATATGGCTGCAACTCGGAACGGCCCCGTCTCTTCTCCGAAGTTGGCGCCCTCTATGGCTCTGAAATGACGGATGTTTGGTCCGGCGGTATCGTCTATATGTACTTCGAGGAGGCCAATGAATACGGTGAGATCAACCGTGCTAGTTTATCGGTTTTCATCTGCTAACTACATGAAACAGGTCTGGTTAAAGTCAAGGGTAATGAGCTCGAGAAGCTTGGGGACTTCTCCTCGCTTTCGAGCCAAATTGCCAAGGCTACTCCCAGCGGCGTCGACATGGGCTCGTACAACCCGACCAATACCGCTCCCGCGGAATGCCCGGCGGTTGCCTCCACTTGGGCCGCCGTCGCCAGCCCTCTCCCGCCGTCCGTGAACCCGGCGCTCTGCACGTGCATGATGTCGAGCCTCAGCTGCGCAGTCTCCGACAACGTCGATGAGGAGAAGTACGGCGATCTGTTCGGTGAGGTGTGCGGCTACGGTACGGAATACTGCTCGGGCATCGCCCACAACGCCACCACCGGCAAGTTCGGCGCCTACTCCATGTGCAACGCCAAGGAGCAGCTCTCCTACGCCTTCAACGTCTACGCGAGCAGCGACAAGAACAAGAATAACGGCAACGCCTGCGACTTCAACGGCGCCGCCACACAGAAGTCCCCCGCTTCCCTCTCCGAGGACTGCAAGTCCCTGGTCTCCCAAGCCGGCACCGACGGCCAAGGCACCGTCACCTCCGTTCCCACTCCCGGTGGCGCCGGCGCTGGTGGTAGCAGTAGCAGCACCGGTGCCAGCAGCGCCCTCACGGTTCCCAGCATCGACTTTGGCTTCGTCAAGCTCGGCCTGTATGTTGCGTGCGCTACCCTTGCCGGTGCCAGCATGATCATCCTCTAAACGAATACATGTTGGAGAATGCCGTCTCGTCGATCTGGTCCGATGCCTTGGTCATCAAGACTATCTATGCTCAGATCAGGGTCGGCTTCATGGGACAGCTTCTGCCTTTTCGGCGCATTATGGGTTCTCTTCCACAGAGCGTGGAGAGCGTTATATTCATGTTACTTTGTAAATTTGTCGCTTCGGGGGTGTGTCCGGGATTATGGGTCAACCAGCATAGTATCGCAATTCCATTCCTGCATTGATTCTTCCAAGTACTGTGCCGCGATTTGCGTCCTAATTTTCCGGTCCGCGGAGCCGATGTGGAGCAAGCTGGAAAGAAATTTGAATGTCGCGTCCTCATGCTCGTGCTTTGAAGTAACTGATGCTCTAGCCCACGTTCCTGCTCATTCCTGGCGTTCCGTACTGCAGTGGTGCATAGTGTTTTCATTCCGCCGCTCACCAAGACACAGCCACCAACCTATGCATGCTAGCAGGTTATGCTGTGCGTCGACTTTCAAACTTCCTGTGTGGTCAACTGCAATATATACATGCTTCTCCGTTTCGCGTCTCCTCGTTAGGTCATTCATTTCGACTTTTTACAATCGGTACGGCTCGACTTAGCATTATCGGGAGCCTTGGGGGTTCTGAGCCTCCTTCCCACTCCTTTGAATATATCGGCTCTCGCATCATTGCTTCTAGCCAGAGTACAGTCGTTTTCACACCCTTCCGCAGCTGATCGGAGTGTCCGACGTCTTCATCACCAACGTCAACCGCGATCTTTTCCACGTCGACGGTCTCCACCACGGTCCTTATGTTGGAGCCGACATCGCCATCCGTTTCGTCATTCGTGTCTAGTTTCGTCTTCGGAGCCGACCATCGTTTCAATCCCTTTGACGTCTTCGGAGATGGCCATCTTCCAACCCCTTCTCCGACGTCGGAATGGCTGGTCATCGTCCCAGAACCGTCATCTATATTAATCTATCCCAACAAAGCAAAGCCAGCCACGCATAGCAGCATATGTCCCTCCCGCCAGCCGAACCTTGTCCTCAGCACTTGAGACCGCCTCACCTATGACAGTGCCGTCTTCGAGCTGCCCTTCTACCACTATAACGAGCATTACGTTACTATCGGTATAGGTCTCTCGTTTGTCATCAGCGCCGTGTGGCAACGGGCTTCTAGTACAGTGTAGCGCAGGTAGAGGGCGACATATTTCAGGCACATCCAGCTTCGAGTCGCATGGGGAAGGCGCTGGCCCTATAATATTTGTATAACTCAAGATTCATTGGTATTACGGGTTTTATATTTTTCTATCCCCTTCTGCTACCCCCAGCTCTCTCTTTGCCCATCCAAATAGTCGATCAAGTGCCTCTAGATCCTCAAACGTGCGATTCCGTAGTTGCCTAGCCCCAGCGCTCCTCCGGCAACGTACAAGTCTACCACTTTGGGGTGCCCGTGCCAACAGATTTGTACTTGGTAGACGACGGCTTACAGTCCTTGCCGCACTTCCTCTTCACCGCCTCCTGAGCTGCATCGGCTGTCGCATTCCAGAACTCGCAGAAGGATCCCGCCAGCCCGACGAAGTAGAGGGTCTCCTCCTGCGTGCACTGGTAGAGGGCCGGGTCGTCGCTGCACGGCTCGATGAGAGATGCCGTGCCCCAGAAATTCTTGCAATGGCAGATGAAGTCGTCGATGGGGCAGTCATTGTTCTGGAGGCCGTTCGCGTGGCAGTATTGCGCACACTTGGGGACCAGCGCCGTATATTGCGGCTGCGTCTTGATACAGGTCCAGTCCATGTCGGGAAAGGTTGGGGGCGCGCTCTGAGACGCGGAGAGCATCGCGGTAGAGAGGGCGAGGACAATGGTAGACGACCGCATATTGACGGATCAAGGATATTGGAGCGGTGATAGCGCGAGATAAATAGACAATTGAGACGGATAGGGAGCAACTGGAAGACTCAAACGAGGGACTGACGGCTAGAAACGTAGAGATCAGGCAGACAGAGCAATAGTCAAGGAAGCTTAGAGGGCTTCTCCAGATTCTTCAAGGGACATCTCCTCGATTTATAAAGGTACGCAGGACTCGACCCTGTATTACATGTAGCTCGCACTGCATACGGATATATTGGTTTATGTCAGTCTCCAAGCGAGTGGAGTTCGAGCTGATCGACTGAAAAATCGCCAAGTTAATATTGCCAGGCACGTTGTATCCCGGTGGCTCAGTGTGGAGATTGTTATAGCTATCCGACAATTGGACGTCACTTCCTATGCAGCTGTAGTCGGGGATCCGATGCATATGTAATACACTCATGCAGGACAGCTAATGTCTCGTGGTCCGCCAATGTCGACGGTCAGTGGCGTACATTGACGGCTCTCTGGAGTCTCAAGAATCAAGTGACAGATACTTTGGGAATTGGGGATATCCGTCAGCCGATCCATTTCCGCATCTATTGGAGGCTGCAAAACACTGCACCGCACCCCCCCCTTTTCGCAACTCGACCGGCGCACGTCGAATTAGTATTGCTTTCTCGGGAAGCCATCGGAATGGCAGAAACTCCTGAGATAGGATACCTTGACCGGGTGACGGGTAATTCAAGCCTCTAACAGGTGGTACTTTTCCAGTCGTGTCACCATCCGTCTGCGGTCCCCGCGGTCCTGCAGTTCAATCTGCGGTTTTTGACCTCACAGTCATGAGGCAGGTATATTAATAAATCAGAATGGGACTTGATGGACGTTGGAATGATATGCCCGACAGCTCCCCTGCACGTTCGCTTACTACGTTAGGTTCGACTCCAGGGTTCCAGCTAGGCAGCCCAATATGCTTTCATTTGCATCATGTAACCAGACCTCGTGAAACCCAATTTTATTGAAAATCCCCATTCCAGGGCATATACTCCGTAGCAAATGAACCTAATTATAAACGAATAGGAGGGGATCGAACTTCGTTTTCAGGAAGGATGGTAGCATCAGGCTGCTACTCTATCAACTTCTTGTTCTTCAGTCGGCCGATGCTGGACTAGGATGAAGGGAAGAAAAGAGCATTGAGGGTCGGGTGGAAATAGCGCCTTATGATCGCCCAACCATTCCCCAAGTCCCATCAAGACGCGGGCGCCAATTATTAAGGGGAAGAGAAATTATCGAGATGCTATGCAACCGTAATAGTTAAATGACTGGAATGGTGGTGAACAAGACCATGTACACAGAACACCACGATACGAGCTGAGCATATGCCAGCGAGGTATCATCACTAGTACCCATATGGATAGGGAAGAGGAAAGAAATCCCATTCGTCATTGTCGTGACTATCTGTCCATGCTATCAAATATCCCATCTCACTCAGCCCGGTACGTTTTCCTGCATCAGCACTTGAATGAGGTCCGACTCATCCATCACATTGCTTCCATCCATCGCTCACGCTTCTAACCCGACGATGCTGAGCATCAACACCGCCTTCGTCCTCTAGAAAAGTAAACCAGCGCTACTCCGACAAGCCAACTCCGCAAAACGATAGTTACGGGAGGGATTGGAGACATTGAGATGTATTCCGAGTTCTGAAGGGAGGACGCGATCAAACACGCGGGAAAGAAAGAGAAGAGAAATCGCTGGCACCGCTGCCCAGGTTGCATCGGGTGCCCACTGCCATCGCTCGTAAAGAAGAGAATAGCTCGCTACAAATCGCATATCATGCAACGGAAATCTAAATCAAAGGTCCTCATTAATCCAATCAGAGCCGTCAAAGGCGGTGTTGCCATGACGCCCATCATGAGAAAGGCCCGCAAAAATGTCGTCCGTCCCATTTTGTTGCGAGAAGCCCATGCCAGACATGTAGTCATAGTCCGCAGCTGCGAAGCCCGTATTGGCAGGTGCAGGCCCGGTGGCGTTTCCGGAAGAGTTGGTCATGTTTGGGAACGTGCCCAGACCGGGTTCGTCGAACAACTGGAAATCTTGCCCACCATTGGGGTCGAATTCATCGCCGAGACCCTCATCCATTATGTCGTCAGGGGAGAAGAGCGTCAAATCTCCTTGACCAACCGGGGAGATGTGTGTGCCGAGAGTGGTATTCTGAGGGAGGGACGGGTCGGGAACAGGGAGTTGTGGAAAGCCATACACGCCATCGTCAAAAACCTGACTGCCAGCAGGGGCTTGGTTGGCATAGGTGACGAAAGGTGAGGCTCCACCGATAGTATTCGTAGTCGGAGAGCACGGCGAAAGGTGAAACTGGCCTGAGTACGCAGGGGTTGGAGGGTTGATCGATGTGTGGGCGCTCTGGTAAGAAGGATGGACATGACCCTCGTTTGAGACCGAACGACCGCCATTGAACGCATCGGGACCCATTCTGTACGAGGACTGCATGTCGCCTAATGAAAAATCGATGTTGCTATAATCGAGATTCGGTGTATCTGGGGTAATGGCGTCGTCAAAGGAGGAGTGACTCCCTGCCACCTCGTTTTGGTACTCGTACGCATTGTAGTTGTGGCCAACTTGTGCGGAGGAATTGTGTGAAGCGTTGGTTGCCACGGAACCGCGGCGGAAGTAATCCATGTCAGACAAGAATGGACTTGCACCAGGAGTGGCGAGATGGGGAAAGGCCTGGTTCGAGTTGGGAGTGATGAACGGAGTCAAGGGTGTTTGAGGCGTAACGCTTGCTAAAGACGCAGAACCAGTCGAAGCAGTCGCATCACTGGCACGCTTCTTGCCGTTGGACTTGGATCGAATGTATGGAACATTGTGCGCCTTCTCCATGTGCTGTTTGCAGTTCGACTCACGCTTTGACGTGTAGGTACAACCGGAGAAGGTACATCGGTATTGGTGGGGATTAGCAGCATGTTTGTCATTGTAGTGACGCTCGCACTCCTTCTCTGTGGGCCAGCCATATTCGTGATACTTGCAGCTTCTCACCCTGCACTTGAAGGGACGCGAATGCGTCTTCTCGTGCTTCGTCAGGTCACAAGGACGTTTGAACTCCTTGTCACAGCTGGGGCAGTGATGGATGACATCCGACGGCGGTTCGTTCTTCTTTCGGCGAGCCATGGAGCGGTGGACGCTCTCATCGTCTGAGTCCTCGTAAACTGGGCGCTTAAACGAGGCTGGTTTCGATTGAACGGGGTGCAGTTGGCTTTCTGCGGCGATAGGGATGGGCTCGCCACCCTTGCGGGTGCGAACAAGTTCGATGGTGGTCCCGTCCTCACTCAGGCCGCCGCGAAGACTGAGTTTCTCGCTTCTGTTCCAATGTAAGTCATTGTTACTGTACCATTGTTGTATTTGTCTTGAAGGGGGGAAATGGGACAAAGATATGGGTGAGACATACGGATGATAGTCGTCTTCCGCTAGAGGCTGACCAGCGGCCTCTCTAGCACGAGTGGTCGCCATGATCTGTGCGTAATTCCGGACCTGTGCGACGAGGTCAAGGAAGTACCCGTTAGAATATGGACGGTCGGAAGGGAGTTGAAGATCGCGAGGTGGAAGGTATTCGACGGTGGAGATGAGGACGCGAATCGACTGTTCGCAGAACCGGAGGTAGTTCTTGGACGATACGGCGATGGTCTTTCCGGACATCGAATGATAAGCCTGCGAACCACACAAGATTGTATGGGGACTTACTGGCGCGAGAAGGATGAGAACTTTTTCAAGGTCACGAAGGTTGCTGATTTCACCACTGCCAATGCGGCGAGGGATATCGTCAATGAGAGGGTGGAATTCCTGAAGACCTGCTTCCGCTTTAATCGGTTTCAGGATGAGACGATCAATGTGTTGCTGCGCAGGTGAAGAGAGCGGGCAACCGGATGGGACCGATTTGAGGGGAGAACTAGTGAAGTTTCCAGTGATGGAGGAACCGAGAGTAGAAATAGACGAAGGGGAAGTGCGAGTGTGAGATTGAAGTGAATCGTCTGGGAGCGGGCTATTGTTAGCCATGGTCACAATAGGAAGTGAATAGGACAATAGCTCACCTGCACTTGAAACACTCGAGCCAATCCCACTATCTGAATCGTGACTATTGTGCTCAATAGGGTCTTTCTTATCATCTACATCCATGTCATCTTGATCGGCGACAATGTCATGCAAGCCGAATACAGGGAGCGTGGCGTGATCGAAAGCGGGGACGGCGGAACGAGAAAGTGCGCCAGTCTGAGGTCGTCGATAAAAGGTGCGGTCGAAGTCATCCAGTATGTCCCGCACACGACCTTGGCTTGACTCGTCAATGAGTTGCTCGAGTGCCTTAGGGCATGTGGGTGACCGCTTGGGCATGAAGCGGGAATTATCGACAAGGTCGGTCGACAGCGCAAGAGGTACATGAAATGTTTCGCTCTTGGTGAGAGGCATGACGCCGAGTCTCGAAGGAGTCAGTGCCGTGGATGGGGACGGCGAGCCCTTTTGAGGGCGGCGACGAGGGTGGGGCGAGGCCATGCTGTGGGATGGAGGTCGGAAGAACAGAATAGAGCCAATCTGCTGGCGAGCCCAGAAAATTAGCTCGAGTTTTCTTTGAACAAGTGGCCTATTGCAGCAAAGGATTCATGTATCTTAATGAGTCACGGAGATGACTGGAAAGACAGATGTGTAGGTATCGAAACGGGGAATTGTTTAAAGGGATTCTCTTCCGAGGATGGAGAGACACCCCTTGTTGCTGGATAGACCAAAAGGAACTGCGCCTTCTTGAGACAATCGAGAGCTCCGCTTCGTTCTCGGTGATGCGTCACGAGAGTGAAGAATGTCCAGGGCGTACGATTGAATGATGAGGGCGCATATGACACTGAGATGGAGGCAATAGGGCGGGATGATATGGAATTCAACAGACAACGCAGAGATCGATAGAAGGAAATGGAGGTTGAGAGAGGACTCCAGCTTACCAGAAGGGTAAAAAAGAGGTAAATGGGCGATGAAAAGGCGCAGCCGCGGGATCCAGAGTTGGACAGCGGAGGAATATAACAGATCCTCACCAGTGGGTAGCAAGGATGAGGGTGACGGGAACGCGGCCGAGAGGAAGCAGCTGGGCGCTGGACACAGGACAGGGCCAGGGATTTGTCTGCCTGATCGGGGTCGTCTCAATGTCAAGCAGTGCAAAGAGCCAAAAGGATGTGAGGTGAGTGGTGAAGTGGTGAAGTGGTGAGGTGGTGATGGAAAGTGATGGATATGAGTGAGTGATGAGGAGCATTGGTGGAGGTAGAGGACGCGTGGGTCCGAAGCGGGAAGGACCAGAGCACGCACGCCCCTGCCAGTTGTGTCGCTGCTGCCTAAACTAAAATTGCGTGGACTCCGCCCCGATTGGCCCGTGCTCCCGTGACATCCCAGCGCGGCAGCGCCTTACGACTTCCAGTCTCGATCATTCCATTCCTTCGTAATATCAATCCGATGTCTGCATGTGCAGGACTGTCAGTCTGTCACGTGTATCAGCGTCTTCCCTCGATGATGATATCTGAAATATAGTTTGCCGTCCGGTAGTATCGCTTTACTGTTTACTAATATCAAGAATCAACCCATAGACAGATACAGGTACCAACCGATGCAGACAGCGACCGGAATTGGCCGCTTCCTCCAAGTTTAGACACAGCCGGACAAGGAGGAAATTCAAGTCCGAAGTTACACTATACCTGTTTGGGCTGACCGGCGACCATTCCTTACCAGATCGTCAATTGGCAGTAATCGCCCACTTGATCAATAATATTAGCATGTCTGGATTCCGTGATCGTCCCTGTCGGTTGGAAGCTGGTATGTTCAGGTCTTCAGGAGAACAGTTGGCAACAGGCCAGCTGACGGATATGATTGTGGCATTATTTTCCATGGCATGAGAACTTCTCGGAGCAAATTACTGGCTTTTTTTCTAATCACATCCCACAAAAGTCTAGTTCTGTAACCTTTGTTAATACGACTTGGAGTTCAATCGGGTCATCAAGCACGCCACACAGCCTCATCACGTCTGCGCCGTATGGCTCGCTCCGTCTCGATTTTCTGCGCCTCTTTGAGTTGATCAACAATTGGTATTCCGTACTAAATCACCAACTCTATTCTCAAGGATTATATTCCTTCATGAAGCGGATTTCTTGCGCTCATCCAGTTGCAGTGCCCATAACTCCGCATTTTGCCCAGGGGCTTCCGCAGGAACCGCGATAAATCACTGATAATGTCGCAGACCCCACAGCCCTGGATGTTTCGAATGGTTTGTATGACGGTGAAGGAAGCTGGCACGGGAACTATTGGCTGTTCCGAAACAAACTTTTGTCTCCTCGATTCCTCATGAACCACTTCTGGCACCTGGTGAGTGGTGACTCAGGTAGGCACATATGCAGGTACTGATTATCCAGTCATCGAATTCAAGTATTCAACCCCCATCAGCAATCAGACATGTGTGTGGTGGCGGAGTGCGGCGGGGCATGTCAACCCTCAACAATCAACATCGATAGTTCAACACCTTAACAGTTCGACCCCTTGACAGTTCGACACCTTGACATGGAAGTCCCTCCGTCCTTGAACGTATCCGCGTAGCCACAGTTCGCTAAAATTCCCCAGCGCCAGTCTTTTTAGCGTCAGGGCTGAGGACCGAGCCCCGCCTTGCAACAGCAGCGATGTAGTTCTGTCCCCTTCTAGCCCCATTATCACTGGCTAATCGATGCCCAATTATTGGCGGCTTGAGCCTCTTCAGTCTTCAGTCTTCACACCTGCGATCATGCTAGCAATCCATTTGGTACAGAGGTCGGAAAGCACGGGCATGTTGACTGAATCCTGATTGAATCAGCATTTGACAGCCCCAGCTACTGACGCCCTATTCCGTATAACTCTGCTCGTTTACCGGTTTGCAAAGGGCGCAAGTGACTGATACCGCCGCTTAAGCTAAGCCAGATGGCTATGCTAATCGATGGACAGGGCGACGTGTTCTTCTCGAGCATGGTTCCGTCCATGGTCGCTGATGAGTCCCTCGCAGTTGAATGCTTTCATTTCTTCATCCTCGGATGAACAAATGGCATCTACCGAATTGGGCAGCCCATCTTCCGCGTTTCCGCCCATGACGCCAACCGTTGACGTTGCATTTGTTTGTTACTGTCTTGAAGCCAGGATACGATATTAGGCTACAGCATTCTCGGGACTCGGGAGTAAATACACCTTGTGTGGAAGGTTTGTACTGGATGCCGATCATCTCCAAGGGTGGTGCATGCGAAAGTTCCTAGGTCTCGAAGACGTTGGTTTTGAATTGACAGGCAGGTCTACTACGTATTCAATTCACCTGTGCCCTCCTCCCGTCCTTACCAACTCACCATCCAAGAGCAAGATGGCGTGTTTTCATCTCTTCTCTTTCTTTGCACCTTTTCTATTATCTTACTAAGAATATCAGTATGGTGGCATCGACTTGTGTCTTCAAGACACGTCCATGAGCCAATGCTGGCACCTGCCCTGGCGTTGGAATTGCCGTATTCTTTGCCTTGAACTTGATATCAGCTCTACTCCAGGGCCAGCAGGGGTTTCCGGGACCAAAGGTCTAATTATGTTTGCTTTGATCTCTACCAGGATGGACCTCCCATGCACCCATCGTAATACAAAGCGTCCAATATTCCTGGATACGCCCCTGATTTTGCCTCCACGACAAACTGTGTCTCCCTTTGCTCAGTACCGTGCCTGCTACTGATGATATTCTTTCCATTAATTAGTTCTATTAAGCATTTACTGATTGATCTACGAGCTGGAGATATACGTTATGGTTAATCGGTGATCTCCACTACCTGCGAGTCCGTCTTAATGTATCGTCATTCTCAACCTGCAATCGCTTGAGCCATGACCCCAGCAAAGTCATGAACAGGACAGTTTCCAAACGTCGAGTCTTCTGACCATCCTGATATCGTTTTCTTATTTTTAGTCTCGGAAGTCTATATTGCTCAATATGCAAACGCATTTATTTCCCGGGACTACCAGTCTATCGACCCGTCTTCCCTGGATCTGCACCCTGGTCATTCATCAAAATATATGGCTCACGAAATTGCATGGCCAACAAAGAGTCTATCAAATGCACGCAAATCGAATGAAGTAATATGGTCTCGCGATGAGCACGCCGGACTAAGCTTTCTTGCCCTCCATGGCCAACGAGCACGACTCTATCTCGGTATCGATGAATTACTATGCAAGGATTTTATTGAGATTTTCACAACTTAAACATGTGGTTTCCATGTAATTTCCGGATTATTGCTTTCAGAGGATGCGACACTGTTTGATACCAGTGGAAATTGACGCTGCACCAGTATCGAAACAATGCCTCTCTCGTCCCGCTTCGACACATGGCGTTCATCTGCCTTGTTTCTCGTTTTCCTAAGTCTAATATCGTTCACAGCAGCAGACATTACAATAATCCCCGGAAATCCAGATCCGAGACCGTACAATGAGGAATTCGATCGGCGAGTCAGCTCCGTCCAGGAGCTATTCCAAACTGGCGCCTTCAATGAAGCACACTATGTCCTCAACGACACCCATATCATCGCCTCTTCTGCAGACACTCCAAACGGAACAATCTCCAAGGACACTTATGCATCGTCTGACTCCTTCGTCCGGAGTGCCATCCAAGCATGGGGCCAGCACCACCACCTCGTCATTCGTCCCGACGAAATCTGGTTTACCATATTGGCACAGATGAACTTCTACATGAACGCCCACGCCGAGGACGTACGTGAAGTGTTCGTTGCATTTGAGGGAAAGCAAGAAATCAAAATCCAGGACTTCACATGGAACCTGGTGATCGGACGATTCGCTGAGGAGATTCAAAAACGAGTCAAAACTCCCTGGTTGCTCGACTGGGTGATGCCGAAATTCAGTACCAGCACTGACAACGACGCGATGACGGCAACCGTTCTCATGATGGGCCTCTTCCAAGCTTACTTCGACTACTTAGGGGGCATCATTTGCGGATTGCCCTCAGTCACCCTCCTAGGGACCAAGGCCGACTGGGAGCGACTGCTAGCCAAACTCGATCATCTGCCCGAGTTTGGTGCCGAACCGTCCCTGTATCGAGACCGTTTGAAGCCCATCCTGAGCCGGTTCATAGAATCGTTCGACAAACCAAACGACCCGAAGATCCGTGAATTTTGGAGTTCCGTTATCCATGCTGAGCCCCAGTCCTTGTGCGGAGCTCCGCCGTATCGCATCTCCGGCTGGCTGACCGGGTTCATATCCTGGGATAAGGACGGGAAATACACGGCGACCGGGACGATGAATGAACTACTTGACGGGATCTCATATCCATCTTATGAAATCGACAAACTGCCAATCGGGTATGCAGGGGCACCGATCACGCTGTTGGACTATCCTGACCCAGGGACCCCAGAGTTCCCTGCGTACATCCTCGCTGGCAACCTAGGGAAGGAAATCAAACAAAGCGTACCAGATGGCTACCTTGACGCCCTAACCAGCGTCAACTCGAGTTTGGCAGCTACGGAGCTTGCAGCTATCAATGCTGAACCAAGTCTTGAATCACCCAAGAAGCATTGGACGGTCCAGCCTCGCAGCGCCTGGCTGATGTATGGCCCAGTACCAACGAACGAGACCGATCGCCGGGACAGCGGTGATACCGAACTGAGCAAATTGGTCAGCATGATCAGAACTGGAACTTGCGACGCATCTCAGGACTCAGGACAGCCGTTTCATGTCGCGAATCCGCCACGGAAGATGAGGAGGCAATTAGCACCAGGGGCTGGGAACCGGATTTCTCCCCGGCAAACCAAGGGGTTTTCAGCGGGAGGGAGCGGTCTTGGTTTGCTAGGAACCGACTTTTCGAGTTCATCGGATACCGCTGCTCTAGGCTCGTTCGACACTACCGTACAGATTGGCCCTGCAAATGCAGCCGCAGAAGCGGCAGTGCGGGACGGATCGAATGCCGGCGATGGTGCGGCATGCCAGTGGCGGTACAAGGCTACCCGGACGTTCAACTGTGACATAGGACAAAGAGCGGAGCCAACTGCATGAATTTGTTTATATTGTACAGTCATCTTAAATCATACTGCGATTATCACCAACATCATTTGACGTGATCTTCATCCTGGTGCCATGTTTATTCCAACCCAACCATCCTCACGCTTTCTTTCCACAACTTCCTCTCTCCGGCTGGGTCGTATGCCCATGTAGCATGCCCGTCATCGCTGACACCTAAGGCGTTGTCTTCGCCAGTGGGCCCAACCACTTCGCAATTGCTGAAGTATTTCCCGCCTTTACCTTCCCATTCCGCCGCGACCGCGCAGAAGACACTCGTCGCCGCCCCTTGCTCGATACTCTTCATGTAGGTGTCAGCATTGGGAAGAGTCTTCCACTTTTCTTTTGTCGCCTCGTCAACATGTTGTTGTAAATTGGTATAGATGCCACCCGGATGCAAGCTGTATGCGTGGATGGGGGCCTCCGTATCCGCTCCATAGACTCGGTCGATGTAGTTGGCCATCCAAATGTTGGCAGTCTTGGCTTGACCGTATGCGACCCAGGTATTGTAGCCGTCTTTCTCGAAGTTATAATCGTCAAAGCGAATAGACCCTGCACGGTGACCGATACTGGACACCGCTACCACCCTGGATGTACGATTGGGGGAGGCTTTGCTCCCTGCTTTCAGGGCAGGGAGGAGAAGTTGGACCAGCAAGAAATGCCCAAGGTGGTTGACACCGAACTGGGTCTCAAAGCCATCGACTGTTCGGCCCTCCGGCGCGGCCATGATTCCAGCATTGCACACCAACACATTCAGTCGGCTCTCTTTCGATAGGAATCCCTCGGCTGCACTTCGCACGCTCGCGAGGCTGTTAAGGTCCAAATGAAGAATCTCGAGCTTCCCCGTCCCTTTGGTTTTCGAGATAATGTCAGCCGCTGTCTTCTCAAGGCTGGTCACGTTCCTTCCGGTGATGTAGACGTCGGCTCCAGTGGAGTGAAGCGCTCGAGCGGTTTCGATTCCGATTCCATTCGTGCAACCTGTCACGAGCATGACTTGGCCAGGCAGGGTATTGTTGAGATTCTGATCGTCAATGATCTGTTGCGCGGTCGGTCGAGCATCCCCTGGACCTTGAGGCTTGAGGTGAGCCTCATGATAGCATGAAATGGCACTCATATTTGAGTTGGAGAAAATATAAAGGCAGAAGTTATGCACATGAAGGCCTGATAGAAATGGCTTGCCTCTCCTATGTCCTCGTAGAATGGTGAGTGTTCAGGCACGTCAAGATATTGTGAATCTGATTGAAGGCGGTGGTCTGTGGTAGAATGAATGTGAGGACTGATGATACAGCCAGCAGAGACCACCGCCCATTGCTGCTCTTATACTCTTTGAACGGGGGTTAAGGTCATGTCCTTATATCCGTCTGGATTTATCGTCAATAACTAACAGTGGCTATAAAAGTGTACGTACGTAGCCATGGTGCACTAGCCACGATTACCTAGCTCCGTAAGACTTGCAGCCTCATGGTTATCTCAGTTGGGACTCAGTCGGCAATGGTGCCCCCTGGCCAATATGGCATTCCGCTATACTCAATGAAGCCTAGACTCTTCTTTAGCATGCACCACTAAATATTGACCAATCATATGCCATAAAGGCAGTTGGCACAACTGCCGTCTGAGAGACTCCTACATAGTTTGTGTGGATGTGTCGAGTATCAAATCATGATATAGGTGAGGGAACTTCCATCGCTAAGTGTGCTTGATCCGGAAAGGCTATCGCTAATCTGTTTTCAGAAATTGATCGTACGCGTTGACTTCTACATTTCATCAAGTTTTAGGACCAATCCAAACACTCTACATGTTATGGTTCTGATCCTGCGTGCCGAACTTGGTATCACGTGACTATGTCATTCCTCTCAAGCGATGTATATTCTAATTATCCGAAGTTCGCCCAGCCAAAGCACCTCCAAATCTTTGTGTTCTAATTTCCACTCTTCCCCCATAGATCCCTCCTTTTTGGCGTCAACTGTACATGAGTACGAAGACCAGCTCGTTTAGGTGTATTCGACCTATCTTGTCTGGTAATCTGCCCTTTCTCCTGGTTTCCCGATACCTCCCTAAGAGGCGTCCGGCTTCTTGTGCGCATACCTGAAGAAGAATCTTGAGCAGCTCATTTGGCCGTTTGGCTGCGCGGCCAAATGTTAACAGGTATAGGAGTTTTAATATCTGAGGGGATTATAGTCGAATCATCTGCACCAGAATCTAACTTAACGCTAATTTGTGATACGAACGATAACTCCTCTCCCACGACAAACGAGCTTCCTCATTCCTGCGACCCTTCCGATGCCTCCGACTGTGATGAAAACGAGGGCCAATGGCAGGGTTTGAATGTTTCCCGATACTCATTAAGCTGCTGCGCAAGTAGCTCGTTATGCATGGTAACCCGGAGCCCATCCCTATCATCTACCAGCTAACGACTACGGACATGTTGAGCAACCTTTTCCTCTTTAGATAAAGTGGGATTAGGTACAATACTCGAGTCTTGACGATTACTCCTCAAGTCTTGAGCAGCAGCCTCTGTAGCCTTTCCGGCCAATGCCTTAATGTTCCTCTTGTACTTTCGTTCCTCTAGTATCGCGTCGTGCTTCGAGTATACGTCTGGAACAATCTGGACAAGGAATACCAGCAAAGGATCGAGGAGGGTATTCTGATATTCCCAGTTTTCGATATCAAAGAGGGCTGACAATGCCTCCTGATCTGGTATAGGTATCGTTGTTGAGTTCTTCACACAGGTATACATACGAGCAATAGCCCACTGCGCTTCTTGAGGAATGATCACCCCAGCTGGAATTGGAATCCTTTGCTGCGCTCGTGGGAAGATCGATTCCACATTGCTCCATAACATGGAGCTCGTCAATTGCAACCACACCAGTCTTATTCTTTACATTAGCATTTAACAGCAAATCACGAAACTTATCGCTAACTGCTTGCTCAGGACCCATCAAGATATGGGTATATAACCCAGCTGCAATCTCCTTATACAGGTTCGGATTCGTGTGCTTGGTCTCCACTGTAACAAGGCAAGGCCTGGCCTCTAGTAACTGTTCAATCGACCGCTTCTACTCCTCTCCAAGCTTGCTTGAAGGAACCAACTGGATGACAATTCTGCCAATAAATATTAGGATAGCATAGAAGATGATGCTCTTCCTAAAACCAGTCTTAGCAGAGACAATAGTATCCCTATAGCGAAAAACAATTGGTCGAAGAGCCCGAACCTGGTTAATACGTGGGAGCTGACCACCCAGGAGTCGCTGCAAACCGTGGAAGATAAGGTCATGCTGGTATGTGGCATTCTTTCGTATCAGACAGGCCTTGACTAACTCTTACAGTACCGAACATAACTCTTTCTCTAGCGTCGTTGCAATGATGGATATCCGTTCTTTAATCGTTTTCTGGATAGAAGCTGATTAAAAAGAGGCCGGATTCTGGTATGAGGGGATTTCACGCTGATGGGCGCGGCCTCGCCGCCGCTTCACTCGCATGGAGGGTGACCTGGAGATTGATCCGGTCAAGTGATGACGCAACGAGCAGTTTTAAAACTCTAGTTACAGAATGAACTGTTAGAAATTTGATATTTAAAAGCGATAGGACGGTTTAACAAACCCTTATCTATATTTCATCAACTTTTGGAGCCCACTCAACTTCTCCATATGATGTTATTCGAAAATCTCATCAATTCTAGCAATTCTCATCATGCCGACTCCACAGGAAATTCGCAGATGTTTCTCAGTTACCTCAGCTAGCTCAGGCTATCTCTCAGAGGAGTCTAGCCTTTTTTGGACAGTCACGTTACTTAAACTACTCCTCTGATAGATAGCCTGAGGACGCTGTCCATCAGCCGCACTGCTCTGCTCTTACTTTCTAGTGTTTTGTGTGTGTGTCTGTCCGTTTGGCAAAATCACAATCCATCAATAACTACATCAAAACACGACCTGTGTACTCCAAAATTCAATCAATTGTGTATTAAAGTATGCTCTATCTCGTAATTGATTTTTTTTTTACATGCCCATGCTTCTGTCTG